GCTTTCGCCGCGGCGGACGCGGCGCCGCGGCGGCTCTGCGACGCGAGCGCGGCGGATTCGCGCGCCTCCGCCGCGGCGTCCGACGCGGTCGCGGCGGCCGCGGCGATCTCTCTCTCTGTCCGCACCTTGGCGAACTTTCTCAGCGCGCGGTGCGACGCGGCCGTCGCGGGCAGCGACGACGTCATCGCGAGCGAGAAGAGCCCCGCGCTGACGATTACCGCGTCGTTTTTGTTTTCGACGTCGGCGAGTTTCTTCGGGCCCGGTCCGCCGCCGCTCGGCGTCGCGCGGACGACGACGTCGAACAACCGGAGCGTCGCCTGCGAAGCGTCCGACGGCGACGACGCGATCTGAAGCAGCGCCGCGCTCGCGGCGCGCGGGACGCGCTCGAGCTGCTGCCCGAGTAAGTTGACGCACGCGGCGGCGGCGGCGGCGCGAGTCTCATGGTCGTTCCATACGAGCGAACGTCGGGGTGGAGTTCAAAGGCGTCAGAAGCGGAGTTGAAAAGCGCCGAGGGCGGGGATCAAAAGCGAGGGACCCTGGGCGGAGAGATGCGCCGGGAAAAGTCCTTAAGGAACGGCGTTCACCACGCCAACGCGGCCGTATGGGAACCAGTGTGAGATAGAACGCACCTTGATCATCTCGCGTAAAAGCCCGTCCCCGTCCCCGCCGCCGCCGCCGCCGTCGCCGTCGCCGTCGCCGCGCGTCGTCGTCGACGCGCGCGACGCCTCCGCGATCCTCGGCACCGCGAGATCGATCGCGTCCTCGCCGAGCTTGAAGTTCGCGACGACGCCGAGGGCGTCGAACACCGTCTTCGCGCACCGTCGCCATCTCGAGCTCCTCGCGTCGGCGCGCGGAAGGCACCGCGCCAACGCGGTCGCCGCCGCGTCCGCGAGGCTCGACCGCTCGTCGTCAGACGGCGACGGCGGCGCGTGATGAAACCGGAGCGTCGCGAGCGCAAGCGCGTGCTCGGTCGCGGCCTCCGCGACGTCGCCGTGGGGGGCGCCCGCGGCGCTCTCGTACGCCGCCTGCGCGACGCGCGGCAACGGCGCGAGCCACGCGTCTGAGGGTCGTCAGGGTGGAGTTGAAAGGCATCGAGGTCAGGCGTTGAAAGCGAGGGGCGGGCGGAGAGATGACACGCCGAGCGGACACGTCTTCGAGGAACGGCGTGCACCGCGCCGACGGGGTCGTTCGTATGGGGACGAGTGTGAGATATCTAGAACGCGCCCGACGCCGCCCATATCGTCTCGAGACTCGCGTCGAACTCCGTCGTCGCCGCTCGCCGCGACGTCATCCTCCGCGCGAGTCTCCACAGCAGGCACAAACCCGCGGTCGCGCGCGAGAGCGTCGACGCCGCCGCCGGCGTGAGCGCGAGCGCGAGCGCCGGCGACCCCGCCGCGAGACTCTCGATCGTATGAGCATTTAGTCTCACGTCCGCGGCGACCGTCTCCACGAGGGACGCGACGCACGAAGGCGCGACGCCGCCGAGCGCCTCCACCATCACCTCCGATCGCCTTCGCGCCTCCTCCGCGGTGGAGTCGACGCCGAGGGTCGACTCCGGCGGCGCGGCGGTCGCGTGCTTCGAAGACGTCTTGTGCGACGTCGAATCGGAGGCGGCGGCGGCGTCGCCGCGCCCCGCGTCCTCCGCGTCCCTCGCGCACTTCTCCCACACGCGCCGGACAACCTCCTCGGAGCAGTACCCGCGCTCGACGACGGCGTTCGACGCTCCCGCCGCGCGCCCGCGCGGTCGCGCGGCGGCGGCGAACAGCGCGACGTGCCCGCGCCACATCTCGAACCCGACGACGGACGGCCCCGGCGTCGACCACCCGCCGCCGCCGCCTCCGCTTCTTCCGAGCGTCGACGGCGGCGCGTACTCGAGCGCCTTCGCCGCGGCTAAGCGTCGACACGCGCGCCGAACGCCCGCGTCCGTCGCGCCGCTGAGCTCGTTCCCGGTCCACCCGCGCACGCGCTCGTCGTCGCCCCACCCGCCGAGCGCGGCGACCGCGCGGCTCAGCGTCTCTTCCCCCACGGACGCCTCGTTGGAGAGCCATTTTAGTAAACCTCCTCCGACGCGCGTCGCGACGGCATCGAGGTCGCGATCGTCCTCGTGCGCGGCGTGCATCGCGAGCGTCGTCGCCGCGCACTGGTCCACGAGGTCCTCCGCGGCGGCGAGGAGCTCCGCGGCCGCGGCGTGCACGACCGGGGACTTGTGCGCGGACGCGAGGAGGACGACGGCGGCGGCTCTGGGGCCGGCGTCCGCGGCGGCGGCGCGCGCCACCGCCGCGGCGTTCGAAGCGAAGTCGCGCCCGCCGCCGTCGAACGCGGAGAGGTTTAAGCCCGCGCCGCCGCGAGGGCTGCGAGGGCTGCTCGGGAAACCTAGCTTCTTGTTCGGTCTCGGCGGTCGCGCGCTGCTTCCCGCGAAGGGCGACGCGCCGTCGGCGTCCGATTCTCCGCCGCGCGATTCGCCGGGCCCGCTGCTGCCCCACTCGTCGTCCAGGTCGTCGTCCGTGTCGTCGTCCCACTGGTCCTCGTCCGGCGCGGCGACCGCGTCGTTGTACAGATCGTCCGCGCGTCGCCCGACGGCTTCGGACAGCGCCACCGCCGCGGTCGTCAGCCGGCACGCCCACTCCTGTTCGGTCGTGAACGACTCGCACGCGCTCTCCGCGCTTCTCAACGACAGCGTCACCGCGCGCCGCAACGCGGGGCCGGGTAACGCCGACACGTGGCGTCGTAACGCAACCCTCGCGGCCGTTTCAACATCCGCGTTCCCGCACCGCGCCGCGGCAGAGATTAAGCGCAGCGTCTGGTTCGGCCCGCCGCCGTTGCTCGGGATGCCGTCCTCGTCCGGCGCCCACGCGAGAAGCAACGGCGTGCACGCGAACGCCGCGAGCAACGCCTCAGCGTCGTCGCCCGTCGGCGCGTCGATCGGGGACGCGTGCGCCGCGTACGCGACCGTGCGGTCAAGCGGCGGCGCGGGCACAGACGCGGCGTTTCCGGCGGCGGCGCTCTGTTTGCCGCCGGCGAGCTCGGTGATGGATGAGGGCGGCGGAGGGATCGTCAGCGCGCTCGCGACGCCGGGCGCGAGCGACGCGACGGAACGCCAGAGCTCGTCCGCGAGTTCTCCCGCGACGCCGTCGCCGCCGCCATTTTTGGCGGCGGAATACGAGTCGTTCGCCTTGCAGTAGTCCAGGGACCACGAGAGGACCCTGCACGCGACGACTTTCGCGCCGACGGAGCCGGCGCCGAGGATGGCGCGCCGCGTCGATCCCGCCGCCGCCGCGGGCGCGGACGCTCTCTTTTTCTTTTTCCCCGGACGCTCGCCGCCGCCGGCGCCGCGTTGTTCCGGGAGAAGCATCTCCGCGAGCATCTCCACGGCAACCTTCGGCGACACCCGCGCGGCAGCCTTCAGGACGCGCTCCACCTTCCCCCACGTCGTCGCGGGCGGTCCGCGCGCGCCGCCTATCGCCACCGCCCTCGCGAGGAGATCCCGCAGCTCCTCCTCCCCTCCCCCGACGCGCTCCCCGCTCGTCGACGCGTTGTCGTCGTCGCCCGCGCCCGAGCCCGCCGCGTCGAGCGCGCGCGCCTCCAAGTGCGCCGCGAGCACGTCCAGCGTCGCGGAAGTCGCGCCCTCCTTGGCGCTCGCCAACCCCGCGGCGATCGCGTCGCGAAGCGCGGCGCGGATCGCCTCGGGGGACGCCGCGCCGGCGACGTCTTGCGCGCGCGACGAGCCGCGTCGCCGCCGCGTCACCGCCTCGACAGCCTGCAGAAGCGACGCGCTCTCCGCCGCGGCGTTCGGCTTCTTGCTCCACTCGCGCGCGAGCTCGCCGAGTTCGTCCAGAGGGAGGTACGCGAACGATTGCGTGTTCGCGGCGACCGCTGCGACGTCGTCGACGTAATCCGCGCCCGCGCCGTCGGATCGCGCCAGCGCGCGTAAGATCGCCGCCAACGACAGCGCGAACGGCCGCCGCTCCGCGCCTCGCTTCGCGCCGTTCTCCATTACGTCCATCGCGAGCCTCAGCACGTGCCCCGCGGCCTCGTCGCCTTTGCTTATCGCGCTCGGGGTGCCGTCCCCCGCCCACTCCCATCGCGCGGCGACGGCGAGGAGAACCGCCTGTCGATTCCAATCCTCCTTCGACGCGCGCATCGCCGCGAGGAGCGCCGCGCACGCGGCGCTGACGTGCCCCGCGGCGACGAGTGTCGCCAACGCGGTCGCGGCGGTCGCGCCGGAGCCCAGGCCCGGCGTGCCGTCCTCCACGCTCGACGCGAGCAGGAGCGCGCAGTGCCTCGGTTTCGCGTTCGCGCGTGCGAGGTACGACGCCGCGTCGCGAATCGGCGGCGACGCGACCGCGTCCGCGAGCGCGTCCGTGAGAAACTTCCTCGCAATCGCGCGCGCGTTAGACGCGGAGGGCGGCAGCGCGTCCAGCGCGCGCACGAGCGCGTCCGCGACGTCGCCCCACGTCGCTCTGGAGCCGTCCGCGAAGGCGGGGAGCCAACGACGGATTCGCGCGAGCTCGGCGTCGCACCGCTCGAGCGTGGACGCGCGGACGCGCGACGCGACGGCTTCCGGGACCGCGTTCGCCGCGAGGCTGCGCGCGTTGGCGACGAAGGGTGGAGACGAAGGAAGCGCGGGGACGAAGCGCGGTCAGAGAACGCGGAGGAGGAGGACGGGAACGGCGTCGTTGTTAGATGGGATGGGACGCGGAGCGAGCGACGACGATTAACGGTTCGCAGCAATAAGCATCGCAGGTGCCGAGAATCGCTCCGCGGCGTCGAGCCGAGGCGCACCTCGGCGGAGGCTCCTCGTCCGTCAGCTCCGCGCGACGGTGGATATTCGCCGCGAGCACGTGCGAGACGTGCGTCAGCGCCGCCTGGCACGCGCCCGCCGCGCCCGCGCCCCCCATCGCGCGGTCGGATGTGCGGACGACGGGAGCGCACTGCTTTCTCGGATGCGGACAGGAATTTCAATCTGTTTCACGCGACGCGGCACAGCAGTCTCTAGCTAGCTAGTCCTCCTTCTCCCATGCCTTCTCCGGCGGCCACAGGAGCGCGTCTCTCGGAAACTTCATCGCGCACAGCGCGACCATCCCCAGACAAACGCTCGAGAACAGAAACAGCGCGGCGACGACCGCGCTCGACGCCGTCGACGCGCGCCGCGACCGCTCCGCCTCCTTTTCCGCCTCCGCCGCCTCGTCCTCCGCGGCTTTCAGCGCTCGTCGCCGCGCCTCCGCCCTCGCCTCCACCTCGTCCTCCCCCGGGAACGTCATCACGCCGACAGCCTCGCCGCGCCTCGCGTCCGAGAGTTTCTCCATCGCGATGCGAACCGCCGCGGCGGTCAGACGAACCGACGCGGCGTACTCCGACGACCGCGCGCCGTGCACGCGTCGAACCTTCTCGGCGGCCGTCAGCGTCGCGCGAAACAACCGCGGCGGCCGCGTCCGCGTCGCCGTCGCCGGCGCCTTCTTCCGCGCGCCGGCGCCTCCTCCTATCTTCGTCACCCTCGCGGCATCGTGCTTAAACGCCGCGTCCACGTTTATGTGAAAGCAGACGAGCTCGCCGATGGCGTCGTCGATCGCGGCGGCGCCGCCGCCTTTCGGGAGCGCGAAGACGCCGCTGCCGCCGCCGCCGAGGGTCGTTCTGCATACGAGCGAACGTCGGCGTGGAGTTCAAAGGCGTCAGAAGCGGAGTTGATAGGCGTCGAGGTGTGGACGGAGAGATGCGCCGGGAAAAGTCCTTCTTAAGGAATGGCGTTCACGACGCCGACGCGGCCGTATGGGGACCGGTGTGATACTAGAACGCGCCCGAGAAGATCCTCCGCGTCGAATTCGATCGCGCGCGCCGCCGCCGTCGCGTTTGCCGCCGTCGCGATCTCGGCGATCGCCGCGCCGACGCCCGGCCACAGCACCGCGCCGTCGTGATCGTCGCAGTCGCCGGTGAGGTCGCTGTAGAGAAGACCGACGCCGTCGTCGCCGTCGCGCAACGCGTCGACGGCGTCCGCGGCGAGTCGCGCGTCGCCGGCGATTCTTCTCCGACGCAGTACAGCTTGCGTCGCCGCCGCGACGCGGTGGCCGAACGCGTCCTCGAGCGCGCGCTCGGCCGTGACGCCGGCGACGTGGACGCTGAGGAGGGCTTTAGGGCGCGACGCGGTCGCGGCGTCGACGTCTTCGGGCGGCGCGAGGAGAGACTCGACCTGTGGGCGGGGAAGAGAGAGAAGAGAACGCGCCGACGCGGAGACGCGTCGTCAGCTCCTCTACTTCGCGAGCGTCGAAGGCTGGGCTGGGAGTTGCTGGAGAGGACGATCGGTGGACGGGTCGCGATCGCACCTCCGACGACGCTTTCGCGTTGACGTGCGCGACGGGTTGGACCGTGAGCAACGCCGCGGCCGCGGCGGCGATGGAGACCGCGTCTAACGCGCCCTCGTCGCCGCCCCCGCGGAGGTAGGACCCGTTCGGACCGTCCACGAAGAGCGCGACGCCGTCCTGTAGTTAAATCGTCGTGGTCGTCGTCGTCGGAAGAGGTGATGAGCGAGCGTCGTGAGCGGCGCCGTCGGACGGGGAACAGGGAAGCGGTCGAGGATCGAGACGCACCGCGAGCGCGCCGGTGATCAGCGTCGCGCTCGCGAGGAGCGCGAGGAGCGCGAGGAGCGGGGTCCTCCGCATCGTGGTCGACGCCGCGCGGCGCGGCGACGGTGTGCTGTTAGCTGTGACTGTGGACGACGCTTGAAACTTAACAACTCACCGCTCATCTCATCATAGCGACGGGGCGCGATGGCGGGGTCGCTCGACGACGACGACGACGACGCGACGCCGATATTCGCGCTAGAGACGCGCGTCCGCGACGCCGCGAAGGGCGCCGGGCGCGTGACGTGCGCGGACGCCTCGGACGGCGTCGTCGTCGTCGGCACGGACGCGGGCGCGTGCGTCGTGCACGACCTGACGAAGAATGCGAAGAGCGCGTCCTCGTCCTGGACCGTGGACTGCGACCCGTCCTCCTCCGAGCTTCGACGCGCGGCGGCGAACGCGGAGACGTCGTCCTCCGGTCGCGGTCGCGTCGTCGTGACGCGCGTGTTCGTGTCCCCGAACGCGGCGCACGCGCTCGCGTGCGTCGCGCGCGGCGGCGGCGGCGACGACGACGACGACGACGCGGACGTCGAGATCGTCCACTTCCAACCGTCGCGAAAGCCGACGCGCGGCGCGCCGCTGGCGTCGTTGCGAGGCAAGCGCGTCACCGCGGTGGCGTGGAGCGCGTCTCGGTGCGACGACGTCTTCGCGAGGGACGTCCTGCTCGGCACGCGCGACGGGTCGCTGTTCGAGCTGACCGTCGACGCCGCGGACGCGTCGAGGCGAGATCGCAGCGCGCGGCGGATCTTCGCGGTCGAGGACGAGGACGAAGACGAGGGATCGGGGTCGACGCGCGCGTCGATCGTGGGGTTGCACGCGACGCGCGACGCGAGCGGTGCGCACGCGGTGCTCGTCGCGACGCGGAACGCGCTCCGGCGGTTCGCCGGCGGCGCGACGCTGGAGGCGACGCTCAACGGCGGCGGCGGCGGCGGCGCGCGGCTGGCGTCGCGTCGTCGAGACGGGTCCGGATCCGGCGCTGAGGTGCGTTCTATACACTGGTCCCCATACGACCGCGTTGGCGTGGTGAACGCCGTTTCTTAAGGACTTTGCCCGGCGCGTCTCTCCGCCCACACCACGCTTTCAATCCCCGCCCTCGACGCCTTTCAACTTCAACTGACGCCTTTCAACTCCACCCCGACATTCGCTTGTATAGAACGGCGCCGACGACGACGCCGCCGGCGTCGCGTTACACGTCAGCGAGTCCGCGAACCGGCTCGCGTGGCTCACGCGCGATGGCGTGCACACCGCGACGCTCGCGCGCCTTGACGGCGCCGCCGCCGGCGCGACGCGCTTCTTCCCGCTCCCGAGGGGATTCGATCCCGTCGCCGTCGCGGCGACGCAGTCGCACGTCGTCGCGCTCTCCCGCGACGGCTCGCTCCTCGCGACGTGCGCGCTGACCGGCGCCGTCGCGCAGCGGCTGACCCTGACGATCGATCGAGACGCGGACGCGGAAGACGATCGCGAACAACCCGTTGGCGTGGCGCTCGTCGCGAGCGGCGGCGGCGGAATAGGCGGAGGCTGTCTCTTCGCGGCCACGACGACGGCGGTGACGGAGGCGACGTCGACGCGGGAAGGTCGCCGCGCATGGAAAATTCTCGCGCGTCGCGGCGACTACGACGACGCGCTGCGCGCGTGCGAGACGGCCGCGCAGCGCGGCGTCGTCCTCGTCGCTCGCGCGAAGGCGTGCGATGACCCCATGGACGCGGCGCGGTGGTACGCCGCCGCGGGGAACGACGCGATCGCGTTCGAGACGGTGTGCATGGGGTTTCTAGACGCCGGCGCCGGTGCGTTCTATACACTGGTCCCCATACGACCGCGTTGGCGTGGTGAACGCCGATCCTTAAGGACTTTTCCCGGCGTGTCTCTCCGCCCACCCCTTCCTTTCAATCACCGACCTCGACGCCTTTCAACTCCGTCTGACGCCTTTGAACTCCACCCCGACGTTCGCTTGTATAGACGACGCCCTCGCGCGGTATCTCACGCTGATGCTCGACGACGTCGACGGTCGCGGCGGCGGCGGTCGAGGTCGGGAAGGTCGCGAAGGTCACGAAGGTCACGACGCCGCGCTCGCTAAGAAGCTCGCGTCGTGGCTGTTGGATTTGCACGTCAGCAGGGCGTGCGCGGCGGAGGAGGAGGAGGAGGAGGACGACGGCGGGGCGGCGGCGGGAGAGCTGACGACGTTTTTATCCGCGTACGCGCCTCGGCTCGACGCGGCGGCGACGAAGAAGCTCCTGACGGAGTCCGGCCGGCTCGACGACCTCGCGCACTACGCGGAGGTGATTGGCGCGTGGGACGACGTGTTGTCGCACCGCGTGCGGCACGGGCAGTACGCGAAGGCTTTCGAGGCGATGCGAGACGCGAACGTCCCGTCGGACGCGAAGGCGCGTTCTATCTCACACTGGTCCCCATACGACCGCGTTGGCGTGGTGAACGCCGTTCCTTAAGGACTTTGCCCGGCGTCTCTCTCTGCCCACCCCCCGCTTTCAATCCCCGCCCTCGACGCCTTTCAACTCCATCTGACGCCTTTGAACTCCACCCCGCCATCGCTTTGTAAAGGCGCGGTGCGCGCCGGAACTTTTTCGAAGGCTTCCCGGCGAGGCGGTGGACTGCTTCCTCGCGTGCGGGGTCGACGCGTTACCCCCCGCGAGGCTCGTGCCCGCGTTCAAACCGTTCGTCGGGCCGGGTCGAACCCCGGGGTTGACCGAGAAGGAAGACGCGGAGAGAAAGGCGGAGGCGACGCGGTACTTACAGAGCGTCGCGTCGCCGTCCGTCGGCGGCGGCGGCGGCGCGGGGCCGCCCCGGTGCGAGGACCGGACCGTGCACGACTGCCTGCTCAGACTGCTCGTCGACGGCCACGAGCGCGATGGATCGAAAGCGCTGATGCGGTACGTCGCCGGCGTCGGCGTCGGCGCGAACGGCGACGCGCTGTTCGATAAAGAGCTCGCCGCTCGTCTGTGCGAAGAGTTTGGCGCGTTCAGAGCGGCGATTCACGTGCACTGCGACGGCGCGGACCACGGCTCCGCGCTCGCGCTCGCGCTCGAGGCGGGCGACCTCGCGACCGCGAAGCTCGTCGCCGCGAAAGCCGCGGAGATGTATCATCTCGGCGGCGGCGACGACGACGACGACGAAGGGAGGAGAGGTGCGGACGACGGACTCGACGAGAACGGCGAGGACGCCGCTGCGGCGGCGCGCCGCCGCGGCAAATCGCTCTGGCTTCGAATCGTCGACGCGGAGATTAGTAAAGCCGGGGGCGACGTCGACGCCGCCGTCGCGCGCGCGCTCGCGCTCGTGCACGACGCGGAGGGCGTCCTGACCGTCGAGGACGTCCTCCGCGTGCTCCCGGACTTTGACGCGATCGACGTCGCGAAGCCCTTCGTCCTCGCGGAACTGAAAACCCGCGCCGGGGACATCGAGCGGTCGCGCGCGCGCGTCGACGCCGCGGAGGCGACGACGCGGGAGACGACGAAGGCGATCGACGCCATGCGCGCGCGGACGATACGGCTGCCGGCGCGGACGCCGTGCGCGAAGTGCGGACGGCCGATCTCGCAGCTTCCGTGGAGCTTTTCGTTTTTCGCGCCAAACGGCGTCGACCCCGACGAGGTCGCGGAGGGGTCGCCGCTGTCGCAGTATTACGTCTTTCCGTGCGGGATGGGGTTCCACAGCACGTGTCTCGTCGAGGCTGCGCTGCCGTGGATGCTTCCGGACGTTCGCGCGCGGTGTTTGGAGCTCATGAGCGTCGTGCGACGGGTCCCGTTGACGCGCGAGTTGAAGCGGCTGCGGAAGACGTTTCGAGAGACGGGCGTCCTCGCGGTCGGGCGAGGCGCGAACACCGCGGCGCTGTCGGACGACGATAAAACGTACGCGGTGCAACGGTTAGAGGATATATTGTGCTGCGAGTGCCCGATGTGCGGAGACATGATGCTGCGGAAAGTCGAGGCCGCGAGCGCTGGCGAATAGTAAGTAGTCTGAGTACGCGTCTTCTGACGTTAGCGTAGAGGCTGTATTGAGGGGCGTTTGCGTCGTCGACGCCTCCGCGCGTCGAGTCTTTTCCGCGCCGTATGCTACGCGCGCGCCGCGCGCGACCGAGTCGACTCGAAGCGTCGTCGAATCGAAGAGTGATGATATCGTATTACTTTACCTTCGGTAAAAAAAGAATGTAGCGTTCGTCGCCCGCCCGCGCGCTCTCCTCGCAGTTCGCGGCGCGACGCCGCGGCGAATCTGATCGTCGTCGCGGCGAATAAAAACGCGTCGACGATCGTCGCGACGCGTTTAGATGGCGGCGAAGTACTCCTTGGATCCCTCCGGGTCCGGCTTCATCGTGACGTCGCCGGGCTTCCACCCCGCCGGGCAAACCTCATCAGGGTTCTCCTGCACGTGCTGAAGCGCCTGCAGCGTGCGCAGCGTCTCGTCCACGGAGCGGCCGAACGCGAGGTTGTTGATGGTGGAGTGCTGCACGACGCCCTCCTTGTCGATGATGAAGAGCCCTCTGAGGGTCGTTCCATACGAAGCGATGTCGGGGTGGAGTTGAAAGGCGTCAGTAGGAGTTGAAAGGCGACGATGGCGGGGATTAGAAGCGAGGTGTGGGCGCAGAGAAACGACGGGAAAAGTCCTTAAGGATCGGCGTTCACCACGCCAACGCGGTCGTATGGGGACCAGTGTATAGAACGCGCCTGAGCGCGACGCCGTCCTCGGTGAGGACGTCGTACGCGGACGAGATCTCCTTCTTGAGGTCGGAGACGAGCGGGTACGCGATGTCGCCGAGGCCGCCGGCGTTGCGCTCGGTCTGGATCCACGCGAGGTGCGAGAACTGCGAGTCCACGGACACGCCGAGGACCTCGGTGTTCATCTTCGCGAACTCTTCGTAGCGATCGGAGAAGGCGGTGATCTCCGTGGGGCACACGAAGGTGAAGTCGAGCGGGTAGAAGAAGAGGACGACGTACTTGCCGCGGTAGTCGCTCAGGTTGACGTTCATGAACTCCTGGTCGAAGACCGCCTCCGCGGAGAAGTCCGGCGCGGCGTTGCCGACGAGCGGCGCCGCGGACGCGGTCGTCGTCGTCGCGCGGCGCGCGGAGGATTTCGTCGCGACGGACGACGCGAACCGCGCCTTGACGGGCGCCTTGGACGAGAGCGTCGCGCGGCGCGCGGACGCGGCGGACGCGCGCGCGGAGACGCGCGCGGTCATCGTGGAGGAAGCGATGCAGGCCATTTCGCGGACGTTGATTTCGTGTGAATGACGGGTGGGCGCGTCGGGTGAAGTGCGTCCTCGCGGCGTCGACGTCGTCGCGAACGATCGAAGGCGGCTGCGACGAGATGGGAGCTGATGACATGGAAAAAAGGACTGCGAACCGACGGGCGATCGACACGCGGCACCCCACGTCACCCGTAACTTTTCGCACGCGCAAACAGTCAGAGTAGTCGCCGAAACGTAGTACGAAAAAACGTCCGAAACGTGAGAGGCTCATCCGCAGTCATCCGAAACGCGAGGGCCAATCACGTCAGGGAAGGGCCGATGAGGCGGTTGGGTCGGCGGGGGGTGGGTCGCGACTCGAGAGGGGTTCCGCGTGATCGCGGCGCGCGCCACTTCGCGTCGCGCCGCACCGTCGCATCGAACGGAACGCGAAGTTGAAGAACCCGTAGCACTCGAGACGTCATGTCCGTCGTCGCGAGCACCGCCGCGTCCGTCGTCGCGCCCGCGGCGCCGTCGTTCGTCGGGTTACGGCGCGTCAAGGGACCGGGCGCGCTGTCGCGCGATGTCGAGGCTCACCCTTCCGTGACGCTCGCGGTGCGTCCCCTCGCGACTCGCGCGCCGCCTCTCGCGCGTTTCTCCTCGCGCGATGGCGACGGGCGCGCGCGCGGCGGCGGCGTCGCCGGCCGGCCGCGCGGACGCGCGCGCACGGACGCGCGCGACGCCCGCCGCCGCCGCCTTCGCCGTCCGGCCGTCGCGCGCGTCGCGCCGCGCGACGCGCGATCGATCGATCGATCGATCGCGAAAAATATCGTCGAGATCGTTCGCTCGTTATCCCTCCCTTCCTTCGCCGTCGTAACGGAGCGCTGACGCGTCCTACGTCCCCCAACTCGTCCGTCCGTCCGCGTCCTTTCTCCTCAGACCTCCGTCCGCGGCGCGCGCGCCTCGCGCGGCGCGTCCTCCCGCTGCGTCGCGACGATGGCGGGCACGGGCAAATTCGTCGTCGGCGGAAACTGGAAGTGCAACGGGAACACCGCGTCCATCACGCAGCTCGTGAAGGACTTGAACAAGGGCGAGATCGACGCGGACGTGGACGTGATCGTCGCCCCGCCGATGCTGTACCTGCCCAAGGTCCAGAGCACGATCGACCGCCAGTTCAAGCTCTCCGCGCAAAACTGCTGGGTGAGCGAAGGCGGCGCGTTCACCGGCGAGGTGAGCGCGGAGATGTTGGCGGACGCGAACGTGCCTTGGGTCATTCTGGGGCACTCCGAACGCCGCGCGCTGTGCGGCGAGAGCGACGAGTTCGTCGGCAAGAAGGTGGCGTACGCCATCAAGAACGGGCTCTCCGTCATGGCGTGCATCGGCGAGACGCTCCAGGAGCGCGAGAGCGGCGCGACGCAAGACGTCTGCCGCAGGCAGCTCCAGGCGATCGTGAACGAGCTCTCCGCGGGCGATTGGGAGAAGGTCGTCATCGCGTACGAGCCGGTGTGGGCGATCGGCACCGGGAAGGTCGCGACGCCGGAGCAGGCGCAGGAGACGCACGCGGGGATCCGCGCGTTCATGGCGTCCGCGGTGTCCCAAGACGTCGCGTCGAAGGTGCGGATTCAATACGGCGGCAGCGTCAACGGGCAACTGCAAGAGCTGGCCAAGCAGGAGGACATCGACGGGTTCCTCGTCGGCGGCGCGTCGCTGATCGGGGACGCGTTCATCACGATCTGCAACAGCGCGAAGTATAACACGTACTGAGTCGGTCGATGAGAGGAGGAAGGAAGGAGTATTACCTGTACCTGATGTATCCGCGTGTTGGGTTGGTGGTTGCCTGTGTGTGTGCGCGCGCGCGCGTTGAAGCGATAACATAGTGGACTAATGTTATGACGAACACGCGATCTCGCGAAAGGAACAAGACGCAAACGAGAGCGCGCGCGGCGCGGGCGCGGACGCGACGATGACCGTCGCGCGCCGTAGCGCGGTCGAGTCGTCGTCGATTAAAACGAACGGCCGCGTCGGCCTCGAAAGAATTTTCTACATTGTATCAACGCGCGCGGGGTCGCGCGCGTCGCGTCGCGTCGCGTCGCGCCCCCGCCCTCCCCCCCCCCCACCCTCTCCCCCTCCCCCTTCCTCGATCAATCCGATCGATCCGATCGATCCGATCGATCCCAATCCGAAAACCAACCACCAACCTCGTCTGCTTACCGGTAGTACCCCATGTGTCGAGACACGTTCGAGAACCGATCCGTCGCCGTCTTCTTCGGCGCCGTCGCCGCAATCGCCTCCCTCGCCCGCCTCTCGTCCCTGTCCACGCGCAGCCACGCGTCGATCGTCCCGAGCAAGTGTTTCACGCCCTTGAGCCCGACGACGTCGGACTTGCGCCCGCCGTGCGCGAGCGCGCCGTTGGACACGAACGCGACGTGCGTCATCCACGGCTCCATGCCGTCGAAGATGTGCGTGGCGTACACAACGGTGGCGCCGCGTTCTTCGCACTCGGACTTTAAAAACTCGAGGAGGTCTAATCGGCCGAGGATGTCCAAGTCCACGGTGATCTCGTCGCAGAGGAGGACTTTGAACGGCTTGAGGAGCCCCATGCAGATCTGCACGCGTCTTCGCTGGCCGTCGGAGACTTTCATCATGCTCCAGTCGAGGTCGATGTCGAGGAGTTGGACGAGGCGCGCGCGACGCTCGGGGTCGACGTCCTCGACGCCGAAGATCATCTTGCCCGCGGTGAAGTCGCCCGCGAGCGCGACGGAGCCCTGCGCGTCGTCGAGGAGGGGGTGGGAGGGAGGTCAGGAGAAGGGGACGGGAGGGAGGGAGCGAGGAAGCGTTGTTCGACGCGTCGACGTAACGGGCTGTGAGCGGCGGGAGAGGAGTCGCGACGGACGCACCGCGCTGCCGATGGTGCGACGCCACTGCGACCCGAGGTACCCCAGGTCGCCGCTGCACGTGAGCTCGATCTCGTGGAACGGCGGCTTCCCGATGACGCGGACCGCGTCTCGGTCCACCATCGTCTTCCCCGCGAGGATCTGAAGCAGCGTGCTCTTACCCGCGCCGTTCGCGCCGCTGAGAAGGCATCGCGACCCGGGAGGGAGGTCCAGCGTGACGTCGTTCAGGATCGACTCGCCGCCGGGGTACGCGTACGCGAGGGCTCTGATCTTGAGCGACCCGGTGTCGGTGGCGTTGTCGGTCGGCGGCTCCGCGGCGGGAGCGGTTACGGCGGTCATCGCGGCGTCGTCGGGCGCGACGAGGACTGAGGCGCGACGCGCGAGAGGCGCTGGGAAAAGTGCGAGAAACGGTGGGCTCACAGGCGCTCTCGAGCGCGCGGAGTGACGTCGACGAAACGTTCACGAGTCGTCGGTGAAACGAACGCTTGACCCCGAGATTCCAGGTTCGACCCGAGATTATTCCTTTCAAATCGATCGATGCGAGCGATGCGATGAAAAGAAAGATGAGAAAAAACGACTTCGTCTGACGAGCTGTCGTTATTTCCACGCTGTCAGCCATCGGCCGCGCCCACACCACGCGCGAGCGCGGCAGAACCCACCGACCTCATCACCGATGCTCGCGTCGTCGTCGTCCGTCCGCGCCTCCGGCGCGACCGCCGGCCGCGCGACGCGCGCGCCTCGCGCGACGAGAAGAGTCGCGTCGTCGTCCGCGCGACCCGGACGACGTCGCGCGCGGTCGTCCGCGTCCGATCGCGCGCACCGCCCCGGCCCCAACACGTCCTCCTCCTCCTCCGTCGTCGTCGCCGCGGGACCAACGCCCGCCGCGACGTTCGAGCTCGCCGTGGACGCGGCCAGGGCAGGTGCGATCTCTCTCGACGACCCGGCCTCGCTGATCGGCCCGGTCGGCTCGCTCGTCGCGGTCGCGTACATCGCGCGCGTGGTCTGGACCGGCACGGAGACCATCAAGCGCCTCAAGGCGGAGCTCACCGCGGAGGGGTACGACGTCGACGAGTTCAACAAAGTCGGCGAGCTGAAGGCGATTCGAAACGCGGTGGACAACGGCACCGTGGACGGCATCTACGACAAGGTGTGGTACAACCGGTTGGTGATGAGCGCGGGCGCGGGGAGCATCACGGACGTGCAAAAGGCGAAAGCGTACTGGCGGAAGCGCGGGGTCACGGTGAACACGCTCGCGGACATGGACAAGGTGACGAAGTATATGGAGAAGAAGTACGGCAAGTCCGCGAAGATGAACAAGTAGAGAGAGGGAGGGAGAGAGGGAAGGATGCGCGCGAGGTGGGGAGGGAGGGCGGCGCGCGAGGACGCGCGGCGCCGCCCGCCGCGCGGATGGTAGACGCGATTTTCGTTCTCTGCGGCGTTCGTTAATAGGAAGCACGACTGAGAGTGATGAGAACGAAAGGAACCCGGCCGCGCTCATGAGCGCGACGGCGAGCTCTGTCTTCTCCGCGGCGACGCCTTCGCCGGCGAGCGCGAGCGGGATCGTCCGCCGCGTCCGCGTCCTCCTCCTCCTCCTCCTCCGCCGCCGCCGCCGCCGCCGCCGATGCCGTGCGCGAACTTGCAGTCGCGGAACGTGCATCGCCCTCGCAAGAAGTCCTTGCACATCAGAATCGCGCCGCCGCGCTTGCCGCCTCTTCCCCTTCGGCCGCCGCCGCCGCCGCCGCGGAACCGATCCCTGGAGTCGTCGCGACCGCGGAACCGATCCCTCGAGTCGTCGCCACCGCGGCGCCGATCCCTCGAGTCGTCGCGACGCCGCGCGCCGCCGCCGCCGTCGTTCCCGCGACGGCGTTTCGCGTCGAAATCCCGCGACCGCGACCGCGACTGCGACTGCGACCGCGACCGCGATCGCGACCGAGATCTTGACCGACCGCTTTTGTTGCGATGTCTCTTCCCGCCGCGTTTCCTCTTTTTTTTCTTCGCGTCGCCCTTCGCCGCGGCGCCGCCCTCCTCGTCCCCGCCGTCGGGTCCTTCGTCCCGGGAGCGCTCTTTCTTCCTCTCCTCCGCCTTCCTCGCGCGCTCCGCCTCCTTCGCGAGTCGTCTCTCCTCTTCTTTCGGGTCGACGTGACGCTTCTCGCATTTATGCGCGGCGTGCCCGTCCTCGCCGCACACGAAGCACGCGCCGTCTTTCAAGTCGTCGTCCGGAATCTTCTTCGCGCAGTCGACGCGCTTGTGCCCCGTCTCGCCGCAGATGAAACAAAACAAGCTCGCGATGAACGCCGGGCACTCGACGCGCTCGTGGCCTTCCTCGCCGCACTGCGCGCACTTTTCCGGCGGCGCGTCCGGATCCGGGATCCGGCTCGGACATCTCGCGAGCCGGTGCCCGAGCTCGCCGCACTTGACGCACGCGCCCGCTTTGAGCGTCGCCTCCGAGACGCGCTCGGGGCACTTCATCGGTCGGTGGCCTTTCTTCCCGCATACCATGCAGTGTTTGGACTCCAGCGTCTTCGGGCAGTCGCGTTTGAAGTGACCGATTTCGCCGCAGACGTCGCACGGGGGAGCGGGCTCTCTCTTCTTCTTCGCGTTCTTCGCGGCGTCTCCGCGACGCGGCGACCGCGACCGAGACCGAGACCGCGACCGCGACGCGTCCTCGTTCGCGCGCTTCTTGACGACGACGACGCGCACGGCGCGGCGGCCGCGGTCGCGGTCGCGCCCGCCGCCGCGGCTGCGGCTGCGGCTGCGGCTGCGGCTGCGGCTGCGGCTTCGACTGCCCCAGCTTCGACTCGGCGACCGCGAGAGGTCGCGCTTCCTCGTCGCCGCGTCCGCGTCCTTCGCCGCGTCGCCCGCGTCCTCGCCCCCGCCCGGGAGGACGTCTCCGAAGTCGATCGCCTCGTCGCCGCTCATGAGTTCGTCGCCGACTACGATCGGGCGATCGGCGCGGCGCGGCGCGGCGCGGTGAAACGAAACGACGGCACGAGCGAATCGGTCCGATCCGCGCGCGCGAACGACGAAGAAGACGCGCTGGGCGGCGTGGAGACGGCGCGGATACGACGACGCGCGCGGCGTGGAGCACGAAGTAGTGCGGGCGGCACGCGTCGAAGGCGTGAGGCGCGGCGTGAAGTGATCGGGCGCGGCGCAGATCTGAGAGAATTGGGCGCTCTGCTCTGTTGAACTGAGCGTGACAGCTGTCAAACCGCGTGGAGATCGATAATATTGTAGACCTTAATCCTTCGCTCACGCGCCGTCCCCAGCGCCCGGCTTCGTCACCGCGACGAGCGCCCGAAACGCGCAGATAAGCCCAAGCCCGCCGGCGAAGACGACGGACTCGTCGATCGCGGGCGGCACCGTCATCTGAGTCGCGATCGCGTTCCGAACCAGGATGGCGATCGCGGAGCCGCTGCGGGTCGGCGCGGCGTCGAAAGGCGTCGTCAGTCGGAGCGGCGCGTCGGGAAGTAAAGAACGCGAGGTGTGGGCGGAGAGACGCGCCGGGAAAAGTCCTTAAGGATCGGCGTTCACAACGCCAACGCGGCCGTATGGGAACCAGTGTGACATAGAACGCGCCTGAACCACGTCAACGCGCCCGTGGACATGGCCCTCGGGACGTCCCCCCACAGCGCGGCGTTCGGCGAGTCCGCGTCGTAATCCCCCGCGAAGAACCCGGCGCCGACCCAGCCGAGGACGAACGGCGGGATCGCGATGATCGTCCCCGGGGAGAGCACGTCCTGGCCCGCGGCCCCGCGCGCGATCAAGACGATGAGGATCGACGCCGTCGCGTCTCCGAGGGCGAGGTATGACGGCGCGATCGGAGGCTTCCCCTGCCCGGGTTTCGTACTCGCGGGCTTCGGCGCCGACGGCGGCGTCGCCGGCGCGGCGGTCGATTCTTCCGTGTCCTCCGCGGCGGCGCGGACGATCGGAGAACCGCGCGCGCGCCGCGCGCGCGAGGAGGACTCGCCGCGGGCGACGACGACGACGGCGCGCGCCGCGAGCGACGACGACGACGACGACGCGAGCGATTTCTTCGTAACCTTCGACGAGGACGCGGCGGCGACGCGCGCGCGCTGGAAGTTGGACGACGCGCGCGCGGACGCGACCGCGACGGAGGACGCCGCGGAGAGGACGATAGGCGACATCGTGAGCGACGTTCTTCTGGTGTCTCGGCGTGCGCGCGCGACGACGCGGCGAGCGCGCGTGGAAGTGTTCGATGCCGCCGCTAACACCGCTGGAAAGTGGATCGCGGATCTGATCTCGTGAATCCTCGCGAGTCAGAGTACTCGATTCGTCCAAGAGTGCAAAAGCCCATAGAGTACGAATCGACTTCGTATCTATCGTAAGCGCTCGCGCGAAAACGCACTGCAGCCTCGATCGGTCCGTTGGGGGAACGGAAACACCCCCCATCCGCCCCGAACCTAGATTCTCTGCTCGCCCGTCGCGAGCGCCAGTCCTCGTCGCGCGCGCGCAGTCCCGCCGACGACGATCACGATGATCGAGGCCATCCTCCGACTGTACACCTTCTTCCTGGGGTTCGCGTACCCGGGGTGCGTCTCCCTCGCGCGCGCGGCGCCCGTAATCTCGCGCGCTGTACTTTTTCTTCCCAGAAGCAGAGGGAGGGAAGAAAATTGCGCGTGATTAGCGCGCGTCACGATTCGCGCGATCTCGCGCCCGCGTCCTCTCACGCCGCGGACCCGCGCTGACGACGAACTCCCCCCAAACCCTGATCCCGCGCCCCCCAACCCCTAAACCTCAAACCTCAGATACGCGTCGTACAAAGCGATCGAATCCGCGTCCAAGTCTGACGACACGCAGTGGCTCACGTACTGGGTCGTGTACGCGTTTCTCCTCATCGGCGAATCCCTCAGCGAGTACATGCTCGTGTGGATCCCCGGGTATCGGTACGTCAAGTGCGCGCTCATCTTCTGGCTCGCGTCCCCGCGGTTCAAAGGCGCCGCGGTGCTGTACGACAAGGTCGTGAAGGATGCTCTGAAAAAGGCTGAGCCGCACGTGGACAAGATTTGCGCGCTCGTCGCGAAGGGCGACGTCGGCGGCGTGCGCAAGGAAGTCGGCCCCGCGTTGGAGGCGGTGAAGGGGCTGACCGCGTCGCTGACGGGCAAGAAGGCGGCGCCGCCGGTCGCGGATGAGAAGAAAGCGGAGTGAGCGAGACCCGAGGCGTTCCGTCGTCGCGCGGCGCGGAGTCACGTGGAGTCGGAAAAAGATTGGATGTATGATGAACGCTCGGACGGACGCGTCGACGGATCGATCGTCGCGACGTCCCGCTCGTGTAACTCGACACTGTACATACGCCTCGCTCTGTTGGCATCGCTCGCCGCGTCGTCGTCCCGTTCCCCGAGCGATCCATCTAGCCGCCGCGGCGGCGGAGAGAGGAGGGCGTTTGGAAAAAAGAGCCTTTTCGGAGAAAAATCTCGTCCGCGTCTCGGGCGCGGGCGTGACACGGTGGCAAGACGAGTGCTCGCGAACCGTCGAGATTGCGCCGCGCGCACAACGCGCGGGCACGGCGTCGTCCTACCGGCGTGCGCGCTCGGATCGAGCGAGCGGCTCGCTTCGAGCTTCCCGGAGGACCTCCGCGGTCGATCGTCGACGGCGAAGCGCGCGCGCGCGCGTCTTCGGGTCTTCGCGAGAGCAGAGGGCGCGGTCGCTTTGAACGCTCCGCCCTCTCTCTCTCGCGCGAATATAAATCGAAAAAAAAAACAACACGCCGACGATGGCCGTCTCCGCGGGGCTGCGCGTCGCGCGCGTGTGCCTCAAATCGTTCGCGACGTACCCGGTCGCGTGGATCTGGCATCTCTACGCGCTCGTCTGCCTCCCGATCACGGTCACGCTCGCGCTCGCGCGAACGCTCGGCGGCGTCAAGGGCGAGGGCGTGGACGACGTCCTCGGATCCTTCATCCACTCGCGCGCGCCCGGGGACGACGACCGCAAGCTCTTGATCGGTTTGCGCGAGAAACACAACGTCGCGGTCGCGGCGATGAAGGACCAGCTCGGCGACAGCGAGTCGCGGTACAAGGCGGTGTACGAGAAGCTCCGCGAGAGCGAGCGGATGCGACAGAAGCTGCAGCTGCGGCTGACGACGGCGCAGGAGGCGCTCGCGGCGGCGCGGGGGAAGACGAATCAGATCAACGGCCGCGGGGGCGCGCCGGAGTCGCCGTCGACGCCGCGCGGCGACGGGGGATGGGACGACGTCAGTAACGGCGGCGGTAACGGCGGCGACACCGCGCCGCTGTACTTCACGACGTTGCTCTGCGTCGGCGCTCTGCTTTACTTTTACGACGTGCCGGACGTCCCGGCGTTTGACCGGAAACTCGCGATGCTCGCGCCGGGGGCGTGGATGTCCGTCATCGGGCTGAAGCACCCGGCGCTGAATAAGATTTTGATCTTAGGGAACCTCGTGTTCTTCGGGTATCTGACGCACATCATCGTCGCGCACCGGAGGGAGGGGTCGCCGGGGGTATCCTCGTCCGCGCTCGTGTGACGCGGACGCGACCCCGAGCGGAGGAGGAACGGTCGTCGGAAGAGCGCCGAGGGGGCGACGGCGGACGACGACGTAACGATAACGACGTGACGACGAGTGATTCATCTTTTAAGCGTAGCGTACCAACATCAAGCGAACAATTCTTTATGCGTAAACCCGTTTTCATCGCGTACACATCGCGAGCGTGGGTCAAAGCTCAACCGCGTCAACAGTTAATTACCCCGCCGACCGACCCCCCGCGAGGGAGTTCGCATCGCGCCTGCCTCCTCTCGCGATGATCTCGCCCACCTCGCCTACCCCCGACTGCCCTGATCCCACGACGCCCTTCGCGCGTTCTTCATGCACTCCTCGATCTCGTCCACGTCTTCAACGCTCCCCAAGTGTATCCCCTGCCTCTGGTGGATGCTCGTCGGCTTTATGTCCAAAATCCGCCCGCACCCGTCGCTCGCCTTCCCTCCCGCCTTCTCCACGATCATCGCCATGGGAAAGCACTCGTACAGCAGCCGTAACTTCCCGTCCGGATGCTTCCTATCGCTCGGGTACGAGAACGTCCCTCCGTACAGAAGCGTCCGGTGAATGTCCGCGACCATGCTTCCGATGTACCGCGCGCCGCGCGGCTCCGCCTGGTTCTTACAACGCTCGACGTAGGTCTTCATCCCCTCGTCCCAAAACTGCGTGTTCCCCTCGTTCACGCTGTATATGGACCCCCTCTTCGGGACCGTGATCTTCGGATGCGTCAGGATGAACTCCCCGAGGCTCGGGTCGAGCGTGAACCCGTGGACGTGCCCGCCGATCGTCAGGACGAAGTTGCAGTAGCTTCCGTACATGCAATACCCCGCGGCGACCATGCACTTCCCGGGCTGCAGCGCGTCCTCCGCGCGCGCGACGCCCTTCTCCGTCGCGCGATAAATCCCGAAGATGGATCCCACGCTCACGCCGCAGTCGACGTTGCTGCTGCCGTCGAGCGGATCGAACACGCACACGTACCGTCCGGCGTTGGAGGGCTTGCAGTACACCGGGTCTTCGATCTCCTCGCTCACGAGCACCGTGCATCGCTTGCACGTGTCGAGCATCCCGACGAAGACGTCGTTCGCGACGACGTCGAGCTTCATCTGCGTCTCGCCTTGGACGTTTTGCCCGGTGTTCGCCTCGCCGCCGAGCTTGGCGAGTCCCATCTTTCGCACGCAGTTCTGAATGTACTTGCACGACGTCGCGATGGATTGGATGAGGATGCTCAGGTCCGAGGAGTCCTCGTCCTTCGCGGTGGACATGATGAACGTCGCGAGCGTCTGGAACTCGTCGTCGGTCGGTTCCACGGTAAACGCCTGCGCGTGCTGAGAGATGCTGATGCGTCCCACGCCGTTGCTCATCAGCAGATCGCCGGAGTTCGTTCGGCGGAAGGGCGAACCATTCGGAGGCGACGCGCTCCCCATCGCGACCGGCGGGCGGCGCGTCAGGTAGGTCCGCAGAGCGCCGTCGCCGGGGAGGTGGGGTGTCAGGTCAGGTCGACGAGCGCGCGGACGGGGGCGCGGGGAGGGCGTGCGCTTTCGAGGTCCTCGCCGTCGTGAGGACGCGCGCCGCGCTGACAACTGGAGAATTGTCTGGCGCTTGCGGCGTTCGACTTATTCACCTTTATTCTGTCCCGGAACGCGAACGAGCAGCCCGGTCGATCGATCGACGTTTGCCGGTCAGTTAAAAGGCGGTCGGTCAACTGTTCACCCCGAGGCAAGGGTGAAAAGATTCCATATCGATCAAACGAAATGTGGACCACTCGCGCGAGGCGCGCGCGCGCCCCGCCCCGGACTGGAACGCCTCGAAGGAGCGATTATCGCTCTCAAGATCTTCCCTCCCCGCGCCGCGCGCGACGCTCGCCACACACGACGCGCGCGCGTATCGTGCGCACGGCATCGCACACGTCGCGCGAACGCGAACGAGTCAGAAGACAGTTCGTCGCGCGTCGAGAGAAGGGAGCGCGCGGAGAGCGTCGTCGGAACGCGCCGTCCCTCGCCGCCGCTCTCACGGTCGGTGACGTCGTCGCGCGCCGCAGCAGCGCGCGCGAAGCGAACGCGGGGAAGCCATGGCGGCGTTCGGCGCGGCCGTCGCGATGACGCGCGCGCCGGCGTACCCGACGACGACTCGCGCGCGTTCGAACGCGCCGACCGCGCGCGTCGCGACCGCGTCGACGACCGCCCCGCGCGCGTCCGCGACCGCGCCGTCGTCGTCCAATCGCGGCGGCGGTCGCCGAGGCGCGTCCGCTTCGCTCGACGCGCGACGGAGGATCCGGAGGATCGCGCCTCGATCGCGGACGCGCGCGGCGTCGATCGTCCGCGCGTCCTCCTCCTCAGCGTCCGACGACGCGCGCCCCGCTCCGGCCGCGGCGGGCGCCAAGGGGGACGTCGCCGGCGCGGCGTCCTCCGACGGACGCTGGTCGTCCGTCGTGAACGCGCTCGCGAACGTCATGGACGTCGCCGACGTCGAATCGCTGCTCGACGAGGAGCTCCCGGCGCACGAAGACATCCACCGCGGCGTCCTCCACAACGGTCTCAAGTACGTCATTCTCCCGAACAAGACGCCGTCGGACCGCTTCGAGGCGCACCTGGAGATGCACGTCGGGAGCGTGGACGAGCGCGAAGACGAGCAGGGGCTCGCGCATCTCGTGGAGCACGTCACGTTTCTCGGATCCAAAAAACGCGACGCGTGGCTCGGGAGCGGAACTCGGGGGAACGCGTACACGGACTTCCACCACACCGTGTTCCACGTGCACTCGCCGACGTACAACAAGGACAACACGTACATGGTGAACAACGTGCTGGACATTCTGTACGACGTCGCGTTTAACCCGCAGCTGTTGGAGACGAGGGTCGCGAAGGAAAAAAAGGCTGTGCTCGCGGAGGCGCAGATGATGAACACGATCGAATACCGCGTGGACTGCCAGCTGCTGCAGCATCTGCACTGGGACAACAACCTCGGGTGCCGCTTCCCGATCGGGAAGCTGGACCAGGTCGAAGGGTGGGACGCGGCCAAGGTGCGCGCGTTTCACGAGCGGTGGTACTTTCCCGCCAACGCGACGTTGTACGTCGTCGGGGACTTCCACGCGGACGTGCCCGGGGTCGTGGACATGATCGAGCGCGCGTTCAACGCCGCGCCCGCCGCGGTGGAGAAATTGCCAGAGCTCACGAGCGCTGGGGTTGGCGCTGGGGCTGGCGCGGCGGGCGAGGAGGGCGACGCGGCGGCGGCGCCGCCGCCGCCGCCGATGCTGAGGCAGAGGCACGCGGCGCGGCCGCCGGTGCGTCACGCGTTCGGCGCGCCCCCCGCGGTGAGCGCGAAGATCGACGCGGAGCGCCTCGCGAAGGAAGCCGCGGGCGTCGACGACCCGTACCAGCCGTTCGTCGCGCCCGAGAGCGGCGTGCAGCTCTTCCAGCACGAGCACCTGTCGCACGTGTCGTTTAACATCTTTAGCAAGCTCCCGATTCTGCCGCTGCGATGCATGGGCGATCTGCACCGCACGGTGAACCAGCGGATCGTCCTGCTCGTCCTGCAGTCGCGCATACAGTCGCGGTACGCGGAGCTCGACCACGAGCACTACAAGCGCTGCGAGCTCGACCACAGCGACAGCGCGCGGGAGGGGTGCACGGTGTCCACGGTGACGGTGACGTGCGAGCCGCTGCATTGGAAGTACGCGCTTCAGGTGGCGGTCGAGGAAGCGCGGCGGCTTCAGCAGAAAGGGTTGACCCCGGGCGAGCTCTCGCGGTTCAAAGCGGCGATGATGCGCGACAGCGAGCAGCTCGCGCAGCAGGCTGGGTTCGTGCCGTCGCTGGAGAACCTCGATTTCGTCATGGAACACGACGCGCTCGGTCACGTCGTGATGGACCAAATCCAAGGCCACGAAGCTCTCGTGCGCCTGGACGACGTCATCAGACTCGAAGGCTGCAACGACGTCGCGCGCGAGCTCTTGGGTTTTTTCGCGGAGTACGGCAAGCCGATTGAGGAGAGGGATCCCTGCGGCGGGCTCACGACGGCCATCGTCGCGTGCGCGCCGGCGACGACGACGGACGCGGAGGGCGTCGAGGTTGAATTTCACATCGACGAGCAGGAGGTCGTCGACGTGCTCTCCGCGGACTACGGCGAGATCGAGGCCATGGAGGACATCTTCGTCCCGGATGAGCTCATCTCCGAGGAGGACCTCGACGCGGCGACGGAGAAGCTGAAGCCCGCGATCGTCTCCTCGACGTACGACGACAAGACGGGCATCCACCAACGCGTGCTCTCCAACGGGTTCAGGGTGAACTATCGCGTCACGAACAACGAGCCCGGGAGCGCGTTCCTGCGCCTCGTCATCCCCGGCGGACGCACCGCGGAGCCGACGACGGCCGGGCCCGGCGGCATCGGCGCCGCCGCGGTCGGCTTCCGCACGCTGCAAGAGGTGGGCAGCATCGGGCGGTGGTCGCGGAAGCAGATCGAGCTCGTCACGATGCAGAACCTCGTCATGTTCGAGGTGGAACCGGAGGCGGAGTACCTCTTCCTCGACGCCGCGTTCGCGGTGAACGGCGGGCTGAAGTGCACGCTCGAGATCATCAACTTGCTCACGTCGGAGCCGGTGTGGGACCAAAACGCGCTCGAACGCGTCAAGGACATCTACCGCATGTTCGAGCTCAACACGCGGAAGAATTTGGAACTCGTGACGCACGACGAGGTAAACCACGCCGTGTTCGGCGACCGCAGGCTCATGGACCCCTCGCGCGAGGAGCTCGCCGCGCTGACGCTGGACGGCGTCGTCGCCGCGGTGGAGGCGCAGCTGAGAGCGGGGCCGTTGGAGGTGAACATCGCGGGCGATCTGGACCCGGAGGAGGTTGACGCGCTCATCACGCGTTACCTCGGGACGGCGACGCCCGGCGGCGCGTCGCCGGCTTCTTCTTCCCCCCCAGCTGGGTCTAAACTCCAGCTGTACCCGCTCACGCTCGCGAACGTCGACCCGCGCGACGCCGCGACGCGCACGCAGCGGCTGTGGCTGCGAGATAGCGACGAGCGCGCGTGCGCGGTGCTCGCCGGGCCCGGCCCGCGGATGTGGGCGCCGATGCGAAACCCGCCGTTGCCGAAGCTCGACGACGAGACGATGGACGCGCTGATGAACGGCGACTCCTCGAACGGCACCGGGATCGCGCAGCTGACGCTGCGCGGGCCGGATGGTCGGCCGTACCACCCCGCGGATCAGATCAACGCGGCGGCGGCGGCGAAGGGGAACCCGTTCGCCGCGCAGAGCGATCGCCGAAGGAACCCGCTCGCGACGTTCGTCGCGGGGATGCTCCTGTCCGAGGTGGTCGGAGGCCGCCTGTTCACGACGGTTCGCGACGCGCTCGGGCTGACGTACGACTGCAACTTTCAGCTCGCGTTCGGACTGCAAAACTCGGACGCGACGACGTATCGGCTCGTCGTGACGTCCACGCCGGCGAAGATTGACGACGCGCTCGCGGCGGCGATTCGCGTCTTGCGCGGGTTCAAGACGCAGAAAATCTCGACGCGAGAGGTGGAACGCGCGCGGATGACGCTGCTCACGCGTCACGAGACGGAGCTCAAGACGAACGCGTACTGGGTCGACCTGATGCAATACACCAGCTTGGGCGACGTCCTCGCGCCGCAGAAGGAGATCTCGTGCATCAGCGACCTCCCCGCGATGTACGAGGCGGCGACGGTGGACGATCTGTACGAGGTGTACGGCGCGCTCGGGTTGGAGGATGGCGAGACGTTCACGTGCGTGACGGTGGCGGGGAAGGAGGATCCCGCGATCGTTAACGCCGGCGCGGCCGCGCCTCCGGTGGTGGGGGAGCTCGCGGCGGCGGCGGCGGCGCGGATGGCGATGAGCGGCGGGATGGCGATCGCGGAGGCGCTGAAGAACATGTCGTCGGGGCGCGTCGGGGGGGCGGGCGGCGCGGGCGCGGGGGAGGAGATCACGCTCGAGGAGAAGTGAAGGAACGAAGGAAGGACGCGATATGATATCGGATCGCGGCGCCATCGCTTCTCGTTTGATTCTTTCTTCTTAGTTTCGTTTCGACATGCACTGTAAAACTTGAAGCAAAATTGACTCTTCTCCCCGTCCCTCTCTTTTCGTCCCTCGTCGATCTCTCTCCGCCAACTCACGTAAGTACCCGACAAAAAAAATACAGCGTTTCCGCGGCGCGGCGTCGACGGCTCAGTCGTCGTCGTCCCGTCTTCTTCGCGTCCCACCCCTCCCAAATCAAATCGAATCAATACCCACATCCCCCCCCCCCTCCCCTGGACTCGTCGTCGCTCGTTCAAAGGTGCCTCAGCGCCGCGGCTTTCGCAGCCTTGTCGTCCTCCCTCGCCTTCGCGGCTTTATCCTCCTCCTCGTCGTCGACGCTGCAGTTCACGACGAGCTCTCCGTCCTCGTTCGTGACGAGCTCGCACTCCGTGTGCTCGTTGCTCACGGTCCGGCACTCCATCCCGCCGCCCGGCTGCTCGCAGCAGTACGCCTCGACGCCGTTCTCGTCCGTCTCGCTCCAGCCGACGAGGCACGGCTCGATGGACGCGTCCGCGTCCTTCTCCTCCTCGGCCGCCGCGCGCGACGGCGTCGGAACCGACCGCGGCGTCGGCGTCAGTCGCGCGGGGCGTATCGACGGGATCGCGCCGGCGGTCTTCGACGTCGGCGCGCGCGGGGACGAGACGCGGTTGGAGCTCGTGCGCGAGGAATCGCACGTCACGGTGAACGCGACGGGGCGCGACGCGACCGTCGCGAGAGCCGTCGTCATCGCGTCGGTGAGTCAGATCTCAGACGACGACGGTTAATGAATGAAAACTTATCTCGCCCCGGGATCGACGCGGCGGGACGGCTCGAGCGCGATGCGCGGGAGTCGCGGCGTTCGAACGCGGTGGCGTATCGGGTATTCGGTGCGCGTTCGAGCTCGTCGGCGGTGGACGAGCGAGCGCGCGGGCGTGGAATGGCGCGACGTTCGTCGCGAGCGGCGACGCGCTCCAATAATCTTTCTTCCCACGTGCTGACGCGATCATATCGAAGATTCGCGGGAATGCCCACCATTCGTCGGCGATTGAACGATGCGACTTTCACCCACCCCTTTCGGTTTCAACATTTGGTCAAGATCGGTGATCCCTTTCAACTGATGGCCGATGAACGCTTTTCGTTATTTTTCACGCTAGCTGAGTGCAGTGTTTGTTTCTTCCTCGACGCCGACGACGTCATCGACGCCCTCTCTCGTCCTCGCTCTCCGTCCCGTCGGCCACAGTTCGCAGACCCGCGTCCTCCTTCGCGTCCTCCGTCCCGTCGCTCATCATGCTCCACATCGCTCGGTGACGCATGCACGCCGTTCGGTCGCGATGCTTCGCGGCGCTGCGCGCGAGCGCGCGACGGGCGACGAGCGCGACGAGCAGGCTTTCGCGTCGTCGTCCTCATCATCGCGCGAACGCGTCGAGGCGCGCGCGGCCGACGCGACGCGACGTCTCGTCCGCGACGACGACGCGCGAGACGGGCGAGGACGCGTCGCGCGGCGGCCGTTTCCTGACCGCGTCTCCGACGGAGGAGGGACCCGACGATCGTCGTCGTCGTCATCGTGCTCCTCATGCTCTCCCCGCGTTCGGCGACGTCCTGCTCCTGGGCGAGGGCGACTTCTCCTTCTCTCGCGCGCTCGTCGAGAGCGCGAGCGTCGGCGTCGGGCGCGTGACGGCGACGTCGCTGGAATCCGCGGCGGAGATCGAGACGCGGTGGGGCGGCGCCGCGAACGTGGACGCGCTTCGGCGCGCTTCGAACGTCGAGATCGTTCACGGCGTCGACGCGACGGCGCTGGAGACGACCCTGCCGGACCCGGGCGGAAGACGGTACGATAAGATCGTATTCATGTTTCCCCACATCGCGGGGAAAGGGCGCATCAGCCTGAACCGCGAGCTTCTCGACGCGTTCTTCCAGTCCGCGGAGCGCGCGCTGGCGCCGGGCGGATCGATCGAGGTGGGGCTGGTGAAGGGTCAGGGCGGCACGCCCGCGGACGAGGACAAACAGCGAGCGCTCGGAAACACGTGGCAGATTCAGGCGCGTTCTATACACTGGTCCCCATACGACCGCATTCGCGTGGTGAACGCGATTCCTTAAGGACTTTGCCCGGCGTCTCTCTCCGCCCACCCCTCGTTTTCAATCCCCGCCCTCGACGCCTTTCAACGCCAACTGACGCCTTTCAACTCCACCCCGACGTCGCTTCGTATGGAACGACCCTCAGGCGCGCGCCGCGGGGGGGGACTTCGTCCTCGTCGACGCCGCGCGCTTCGACGCGGCGTCGTGGGAGGCGTTGGGGTACCGGTCTCGCGGCCACTGGAGATCGGCGAGGAGAGGGGAAGGGGAAGACGTCGAGGAGGGAGGAGGAGTGAGGCGCGTTCTATACACTGGTTCCCATACGACAGCGTCGGCGTGGTGAACGCCGATCCTTAAGGACTTTCGCCGTCGCATCTCTCCGCCCACCACTCGCTTTCAATCCCCGTCCTCGGCGCCTTTCAACGCCAACTGACGCCTTTCAACTCCACCCCGACATTCGCTCGTATAGAACGGCCCTGAAGCGCGCGGATTTCGCGCGAGACCGCAGGCGCGGGTTCCAGCACCGAGACGGCGTGGTGCACCTCTTCCGGCGCGAGACGGAGTTGGGAGGGGCGACGTGCCCGTGGCCGGTCGAGTACGCGCGAGACGTGAGCGTCTTCGTGGATCCGAACGTCTTCAGCGACGAGGAGTTCGCGCGCGTCGCAAGGGCGTCCGCGGGTCGCGGCGTCGAGTCGGGTGCGTTCTACCGTCTCTGCGTGCGCGCGTTTTTCACCCACCGCTCGGTTTCAACGTAGCCCTACTGTATGATCGCGACCGCCCCTTTCAACTGACCGACGCGCGTGTTTTGTACGCGCACGGAACGGCCCTCAGACGTGACGCTTCTGGAGGAATTCGCGCACGACGACGGGAAGACGAGCAAGACGTTCCGGCTCACCTTCCGCTCGGCGACGAGAGCTTTTAGCGATCCGCGCGCCAACGCGGCGCAGTTCAACGTTAGAGACGCGATCGAGGCGAACGCGGTGAACGGCGCGACGCTCAGATAGAATAGACCAGACTACTACGCGAGTAGAAAAAAGTACCGCGTTCTATAGCTACACGTATAAACTACGACTAGACCACAGTAGAGACTCACTCCCCCGCGCCGGGCTTCTGTCTCTTCTCCGCGCGCCGCCGCTGTACGACCGCCGCGGCGATCCGTCTCAGGGCCGTTCCATACAAGCGAATGTCGGGGTGGAGTTGAAAGGCGTCAGATGGAGTTCAAAGGCGCCGAGGGCGGGGATTGAAAGGGAGGGGTGGGGGAAGAGAGACGCCGGCAAAAGTCCTTAAGGATCGGCGTCCACCACGCCAACGCGGTCGTATGGGGACCAGTGTATAGAACGCACCTCAACTCCTCCCCGCTCGCGTCCGTCTTCACCCCGCGCGCGTCGAAGTGCGTCCTCGACGCGACGCGACCCTCGCGCCGCAGCGCGTCCACGAGCGCGTCCACGTTCGGGTGCTCCCCCGTGGCTCGGTCGACGCACGCGTCCACGGAGCGAAACAACGCGACGTCCGCGGCGTCCGACGCTTCCCTCGCGAGTCGCCGCAAGAGCGACGTCGTCGCGGGCTCCACGCGACACGCGCCGTCGCCCGCGACGGCGCGCTCCAGCATCTTCGACGCGAACGCCGCCGACGCGAGCGCGCCCGACCACGCCGGTCCGAGCTTCGTCGGTCTCGGCGCGATTCCGAATCCGATTCGTTCGCCCGCGCCCGCGCCCGCGCGTTCGCACTCGCACGTCCACGCGCGCCCGTTCACGTCGTCGCCGTCGCCGTCGTCGCCTACTCCGAACGCCGCGCACGCGCCGCAGTGCCACATCGTCTCGATCCGCGCCGCCGCCGCGTCCGCGGCGGCGGCGCCGCGACGCACGCGAACGACGACCCACGCGAAGTGCGCCTCCTTCGGGGCGCACGAGAGGAGAACCTCGATCCCTCGCTCGTGCCGCGCCGCCGCGCGCGCGACGGCGGCGATCAGAACGCGAACGCCGAGCTCTTTGAACCACGCGGGGCGGCGGCCAACTGAGCCGGAGCTGTTTGAATCGGCGGCGTTCCGTCCGCCGCGATGACCCACTTCCGCGCCGTATCGCCGCCTGGCGACGTCCGGGCACGCGCCGTAGAGGCACGACACGTCCGTCGCGCACGCGCTCACGATCCCCCCGTGCGGCGCTCTCGCGACGGCGGCGTCTGAGGGTCGTTCCATACGAGCGAACGTCGGGGTGGAGTTGAAAGGCGTCAGATGGAGTTGAAAGGCGTCGAGGGCGGGGATTGAAAGCGAGGGGTGGGCGGAGAGACGCGCCGGCAAAAGTCCTTAAGAAACGGCGTTCACCACGCGAACGCGGTCGTATGGGGACCAGTGTATGGGACGCGCCTAAATGCGGCGCGACGCTTCCGAACGGATCCAGATGGACGTAGTCCCACGCGCGCGAGTGCATCGCGACGTCCGCGGGCGAGCGCTCCACCTCGAAGGAGGACGAACCAGGCCCCGTCGCGTCGACCAAGCGCTCGCAGTTGCGTCGCGCGAGGAGGACGCATCGCTCGTCGACGTCTGATATCGGGGTGGAGTTGAAAGGCGTCAGATGGAGTTGAAAGGCGTCGCGTAGGTGTGTCGGGATTGAAAGCGAGGGACCCTGGGCGGAGAGAGACGACGGCAAAAGTCCTTAAGGATCGGCGTTCACCACGCCGACGCGGCCGTATGGGGACCAGTGTGATAACGAGAACGCGCCTCGCATCGCGACGACGACGTCCGCGCGCGCGTCCGGCGCGGACTCCGCGAGCCATCGCATCCCGTGGACGCCCGTCGACGCGAACGCGTCGAGGCACAGCATCGGACGTGAGCGCTCGCCGGACGCCGCCGAAATCTCGTGCGCTTCGCGTCGCGCCGCCGCCTCGACGGCGAGCGCGAGGACGCTCAGGTCGCGCGCGCGTCGCGTTTTCGCGTTGTAGAACCCCGGGACCGTGCCCGGCTGGTCGCTCCGCCGCGCCGCGCACGCGAAGGTCACCGCGCCCTCGGTGACGGAGTCGTACTCCGGGTCGTCGCGGGAAGACGACGGCGCGGCGGCCGCGGCCGCGTCGTCGTCGCGGCGGCGGCGGCGGCGCCCCATCGACTGCGGCGAAGACGAGCGGCCGTCCCGAGGAAAAGTACCCGGGATCTATCGTCGCGTCGTCTTCGCGTCGAGAAAAACGACGAAAGGTGCGAATTTTTGTCGATGAAAACTCCGATTAAGCCGCGCGATGAGTCGTTTTCGCTCGGTTCAACTGTGGTTTCGGAAAATCCGGTGTCCGGTTTCGTCACGCTCGTTTCCCTGCAGCACGCCGCGACAGGACGACCGCGAGCGCGACCGCGACCACGACTCACAATTCGCGAAGACGTCAGAATCGCCTCGCGCTACGCGGTCAGATCGCGACACGCGCGGCGCGTCAAGTCGCGCGCGTCCACCCGCGCTCCCCTCGCGATGTCCTCCGAGAACCCCGCGAGACCGCCCGCGGACGCGCCGGCGTCGACCGCGCCGCCCGCGGACGCGCCAGTGCGCGATCGATCCGGCGGCGACGCGTCCACGTCCGCGACCGCCGCGACGATCGCGAGCGCCGCGGATCCCGCGTCGACCGCGCCCGCGCCGGACGCCGCGATCGCGCCCGCGCCGGACGCCGCGATCGCGCCCGACGCCGCCGCCGCCGCCGCGGCGGCGGCGAATGCGCCGCCGACGCCGACGGTCACCCCGCCGCCCACGCAGACGATCTTCGCCAAGGGCGACAAGGTGTCCGCGTTCGCCGCGTTCGACTCCACGCGCAAGCACGCGGACGTGCTCGAGGTGCGACGCCCCGCGGGGTTCGACCCCACCACCGGCGACCCCGCGAAGATCTCGTACTACGTCCGGTACGACGGGTTCGACAAGCGCCTGGACGCGTGGGTGAGCGGCGACAAGCTGTGGCCGGCGGCGACGAGGACGAAGGGATCGGGCGTCGACCTCGTCGGCGGCGGGTCGTCGGGGGTCGACGGCAAGGGCAACGCGGGCGCCGGACTTACCGACGGCGTCACCCCCGACGGCGCGGAGGGCGACCTTTCGGGCGCGGGCGGCGCGACGAGGAAGATGACGCGGACGCTGAAGCGGCGGTACAACGAGATCAACAACGTCGGCGTCGCGACGGAGGATCTCACGGCGCTCGATCAGAAACTGGAGCACGAGCACGACGAGAGGACCAAGGTGAAGAACATCGGGATCGTGGAGTGCGGGAAGTACGAGGTGGACGCGTGGTACTTCTCGCCGTATCCGGAGGAGTATCAGCACTGCGACCGTCTGTACGTGTGCGAGCACTGCCTGAAGTACATGCGCAAGGAGCGGACGCTTCTGAAGCACAAGGCGCGGTGCGCGGCCTCGCATCCGCCGGGGAAACGCATCTACGAGCACCCGCGAAAGGCGGAGGGCAAACCCACGGTGTCGTTCTGGGAGATCGACGGCGCGGGCGACGGGAAGGTGTACTGTCAGAACCTGTGCTTGCTCGCGAAGCTTTTTCTGGACCACAAGACGCTGTATTACGACGTCTCGCCGTTTTTGTTTTACGTCATGACGGAGGAGGACGAGACGACGGGGAAGCACTCCGTCGTGGGCTACTTTTCCAAAGAGAAGTGGTCCGTCGAGGACTACAACCTCGCGTGCATTCTCACGCTGCCGCCGTACCAGCGCAGAGGGTACGGCAGCTTCCTGATCGCGATGTCGTACGAGCTCTCGAGCCGCGAGGAAAAGCTCGGGACCCCCGAGCGTCCGCTGTCCGACCTCGGGCAAGTGTCGTACCGCTCGTTTTGGAGCAAACGCATTCTCGAGGTGTTGCAGCGCGCGAAAGGGAACCTCTCCGTGAAGGACATCAGCGCGGAGACGTCGTTCAAGGAGATGGACATCGTCAGCTCGCTGCAGTCGCTGAACCTGTTGAAGTACTGGAAAGGGCAGCACATCATCAGCGCGACGCCGAAGATCATCGAGGAACACCTGAAGACGTTTACGCGAAAGAACGCGATTGAGATTAATCCAGACCTGATGCGGTGGACGCCGCCGGTGTTCGCGCCGCCGCCGAACCCGCGCAAGGGCGGGGCGAACCGGCAGTGAAGGAGGCGGAGAGGCGAGCGAGAGAGAGAAAGAAGAGACGAGACGAGAGGGTGGAGGGTGGGCGGCGAGCGAGGAGGAGGAGGAGGAGGAGGAGGAGGCACTCATGAATAGAAGCAGCGCGCAAACTAATAGCAACCACGAAACCAAAAAATAAACGACGCGTTCGTCGTCGATTCTGATTCTCATCACGCGGCGACAACCTCCGCCGCGGGCGCGGCGACGGCGACGGCCTCTCTCTCCGTGCGCGTCTCTTTCTCCTCCGCGTCGTCCTCCTTCCCCTCGACCGCGGCGGTAGCCGTCTCGGTCGCCGCCGCCGTCGCCCCCCCCGCGCCGCCGCCGCCGCCGCCGCCGCCGCCGCCGGCTTCTCCGTCCTCCCACTCCGAAGATACGAACAGCGCGCTCGCGTTGCGCTGCGCCCACCGCAAAAACTCCGTGAGCTTCACCTGGACCTCTCGAACCGCCACCGCGTCCATGTCGCACACCGGGAGCAAGTCCGGGAGCTTGACGAACAGCCGTAGGAGGTGTTCCGCGCCGTACACGTCGCTCGGCGGCGGCAGCGGCGCCGACGACGTTTTGGTTTTCGTTTCGGTTTCGATTTCGTCGTCGCGCGACGGATCCGCGCACAGCGTCGCCGCGACCTCGCGCTCTTCCTTGTACAGCAACACGGAATGCAGCGCGCGGTCGAAGTACGCCTTGATGCCCGCGCACACCTCGGAGACGAGCTCGCCCTGCTCCGGCGACCGCGCGCGCGCTCTCGCGTCGGCTTCGTACCGAGCGACGACGTCGGACACGGTGACGCTCTTCGGGAGTCGATGCCGCTTCCCCTCGCGGGTGATCTTCTCCCACGCGCCGATGAGCTCGCGCTTGAGCGCGGTGGAGAGGTTGACGTGCAGGCGCACGTCGTCGGGGTTCACCGGCGGCGGCGGAGGCGCGGGCGGCGTCGCGGGCGCGGCGGCTTTCGTCTTCGTCTTCTTCGTCGTCGTCTTCGCGGACGTCTTCTCGGTCGCGCCCGACGATCTTTTGGCGCCCTCGCTCGCGACGACGCCCGCGCCTCCCGCGCTCTCCTTCTTGACCTTCTTCGCGGGCTTCCCGCCGTCGCCCCCCGCGGGAACGTCCCTCGCCGTCTTCTTCGCGTCGCCCTTCTTCGCGTCGGTCGCCGTCGCCTTCTTGCGCATCCGCGTCGTGTCGAGCCACTCGTCCCATTTCTTGTTCCACCCCTGGTAGTGCACGAGATACTCCGGCGGCTCGCCTCGCGTGTCCAACACGCGCGCCTCCCACGCCTTGCCCTGCATCGTCGCGAGCGCGATCTCGCCCACGGCGTACGTCTCGGACGGCATGACGACGGACGGACGGACGGACGGACGGACGGACGACGCGCGAGCGCGATCTGACGCCCGGATTCAAAAATACGATGCGAACACGAAATCCATCCCTCGTTCGGCGGTTTCAACACTTGATCGCGTCCCCTTTCAACTGACCGATGAACAATCAGTATTTTGTACGGTCCTATGCCTACGGAACGCTCAATACATTCGCTCTGCTCGTCGTCTAAAACCCGTACACCGCCTCCGTCGCCGCCCTCGCCGCTCTGAACACGTCGTCCACGCCCACGCCCTTTATCTCCGCGATCTTCTCCGCGATGTGAGGGACGAGCCCAGGGTGCGCGACCTCGCCGCGGTGCGGCACGGGCGCCATGTACGGTCCGTCCGTCTCTGCGGGTGAAAACGCGCGAACGCGCAAAGTGCGTCAGTCAGTCGAAAGGGGACGCGATCAAGTGTTGACACCGAGGCGATGACGAGGGATGGGCGAATAAAGGTTCGAAAGCTCGTAGAACGCACCCAAGAGGATGCGCTCCAGCGGCGTCGCCGAGACGACGTCGCGCACGTCCTTCGCGCTCTTGAACGTGACGACGCCGGTGAACCCGACGCGCAGGTTCGGGAAGTGTTCGAACAACGCCAACGCCATCGCTTTCGAGCTCGTGAAGCAGTGCACGTGCACCCTCGCGTCTCTCGGGAGGTGCGTCCTCATCAGCTCGAGCGTGTCCGCCTGAGGGTGTTTGCGCACACGAAGCGACGTCGGGGTGGAGTCGAAAGGCGTCAGTCGGAGTCGCGAGGCGTCGCGGCGCGTCGGGATCGAAAGAGGCGCGGGAAGTTACGTCCACGGGACCGGCGTAAACGCGAACGCGCCTCGGCGTCTCTCGTGTGCACGATGATCGGCGCGTCCAACTCCGCCGCCATCTCTATCTGCGCGACGAAGACGCGCTTCTGCGTTTCCCTCGCGCCCGCGTCCGTCTCGTAGTGGTAGTCGAGCCCGCACTCGCCGATCGCGACCGCGCGTTCGTTGGACGTCAGGTGTCGGCGCGTCGCGAGGGCCATGGAATCGTCCCACTGCGTCGCGCTCAGCGGATGGCATCCGAACGAGGCGTACACGCCGTCGTGCGTCGCGATCGCCTCGAGCGCGCGCTCGAAGGACTCGCGCGAGCACGCGACGGTCAGGCAGGCCTCGAAGGACGCGCCGTGGAACGCCGTCGCGTTCGTCTCGTCCGCGCGCGCGACGTCGCGTCTCCAGCTCGCGAAGTCGACGATAAGGTCGGCGTCGGCGTCGGCGTCGGCGCCGGCGTCGGCGTCGGCGCTCGCCGTCGCCGTCGCGTTCTTCTTCGCGGCCGCTCTTCTCTCCGCGTTCATCCTGTCGAAGATCAAGTCGAGGTGGCAGTGCGTGTCCACGTACGTCAGCGTGGATTTCGCAGCCGGGGACGTCGCGCGCGCGGACGGCGGCGTCGTCGTCGTCGTCGTCGTCGTCGTCGACATCGTCGCCGTCGCCGGGCACCTCCGCCGCGCGCCGCCGCCGCCGCCGCCGCCGCCGAGGACGTCGACTCGACGGACGTCGCGCCAACTCCGCGTCCACGCCCTCGACGCGAAGACGACGCGCGCTCGCGACAGCACGCACGCTCCGGGCATCGCGAGCAGCGCGGGGCGACGTGCGACGAGAACTGCGCACGAGCGAGCGACAAGTCAGCGCGGACGGTCACCGAAGTTCACTGGTAGCCCTAGACTGGTATCGACCAACCCACCAGACAAAACGCCCCCGCTTCTGTTGTTGTTTCTCACGTGTTTAGGGTAGCCCTAGTTTTGAAGTCGAGCGCCCTTTCGCGAACGCGACCGGCACAGCCGCCCGCCCTCCCGGCCGGCGCCCCCCTCCCCCCCAAACCCGATCGCCATGCCGATCATGGACGCGGTCCCGCTCCTGGACTCCGCCACGGCGACAATCCTCGCGAGCGTGAACAAGTACACGATCCAGCAGCACGTCAAGTGGCTCGATAACTGCATCGAGATGCCGAACACGTACACGGTCTACAACTTTCAGACGGCGCGTCCTCGACTCGAGACGAACGTACCTCGCGGCCCGCTCCGAGGACGCGTCGGTTCGCGCCGCGGGGCGACGCTGGGGAATCCTCGCTTTCGCGCGCGCGCGCGCGGACGACGCCCGCGACGCGATCGCTCGGTTTCTTTGACGCCCGCCGCCCCGCGAGCAAATCAAATCGACTTTTTTTTTCGTCGTGTTGAACGAATCGTTTTTTCCTCCACCCTACAGAACCAAGCGATCATGCGGATCAACGAGGTATCCGACGGGTGCACGCGCTGCTGCTGCGCGCCGAACCACTCCGTGGTCCTCAATTTCGACGCGCTCGACCCGAGCGGGCGGGAGCTCTTCCCCGGTGCGTCTCGAGAGGGGCCCTTCCCTCTCACGCGTCGCCGCCAGACGTAACCTCCTTTCGATTTCAGTTTGCGAGAGAGCGAATAAATGACGCCTCCTCCTCCTCCTCCTCCTCCTCCTCCTCCTCCTCTCTCTCTCCAGTCATGACGATGGAGCGACAGGGCTGCTGCGGCAAGCTCTGCCTCGGCGAGATCGTCTGCATGGAATGCTGCGCGAACGAGGCGTTCTTCCACGCGGGCAAGGTTGAGGGCAAAGCGGGCGAGTTGGACAAGTCCCGAGTCTTCGGCCGCGCGAAGGTTCCCATCCCCTTCGCGGGCGGCTTCACGCCGGTCATCCAGGTCATGGACCGCGACGCGACGTCGGACCACCACTTCGCGAGCGTGAAGGGCCCGATGTGCTTCGGCGGCTGCAGCGAGCTCTGCTGCTCCGTCCCGTTCACGGTGAAGAAGGTGAACAAGGATGGCAGCATCTCCGTGAACGTCGGCGACGTGGCGACCATCACGAAGATGAAGCCGAAGTCCTTCGCCGACGCGATGCGCGAGCTCCTGACGGACAGCGACCTGTACGAGCTCGAGATTCACGATTTGAGCTTGTCCGCGCAGCAGCGCGCGTCGCTCGTGGGGACGCTCCTGTTGTGCGACTACATGTTTTTCGAACGCGACATCGACGCGTGCAGCTACAACGTGTTCACTAAAGAGTTAAAGATCTCCCTCTGCAACTGCTTCTGCCTCGGGAAGATCATCCCGTGCCAGTGCACGTGCGGCGGGGATGATAAGGAGCGGGACTCTTAGGCGCGCGCCGGTCGGGGCGCCTGATGTGTGAACGACGCGTCGACGACGCGTGTCTATTATTGAATCATCTGTGACTAATCACTGACGTACTGTAATAAAATCAGACGACGCGATCAACGCGCGTCTTCTTCTTCTTCTTCTTCTTCTTCTTCTCTACTCTCCGCCGGTGCTGAGCCGCGTCGCGCGCTCGCCCGACCCCTGCCCGACGTCGCCGACGCTGACGCGTTTCTTCGCGCTGCCGCCGCCGCCGCCGCCGGAGCCCTCGGTCGCCGCCACGGTCGCCGTCGCCGTCTTCCCCGCGCCGCCGCCGCCGCCCCATCGCCCGCCGCCCGTCTTTCGCGCCTCCGCGATCGGATCCCACAGCCCCGCTTCTTTGACGTACTCCTCCGCGATGGACGCGAGCGCGGCGTCGTCGACGTTCGTCTTATCCGCACCGAGCGCGGCGACGAGCGCGCGGCGAAGCAGCGCGGTCGCGGACGCCGTCGCGAGACGCGCCGCCTCCGCGGCGGCGAGCAACGCGTCGGCGCGACCCCTCGCCGCCGCCGCGCGCGCCGTCGCCGCCGTCTCAGCCTCCAGCCTCGCCGCGTGTGCGACCGCGAGCTCGTCTCTCGCTCGCACCGCGCGCTCGAGCTGCTTCGTCGGGGACTGGACCGTGGCGGCGAAGACCTGAGCGGACTCATTTACGACGTCCATCGCGACGACGCCCGCGTCGCGCGCCGCCGCCGCCGCCGCCGCCTCGACGTGTCGCAACCCGTCCGCGGCGGCTTTCGCGGACGCGCTCGCCGCCTCCGCGAGCGCGTCCGCGTGGACCGCGTACCGAGACGCCTCGTGCGCTTCCGTCGCGGCGGGCGACGCCGCGAGCTCAGCCTCCTTGTGAAGCCCGAGCGCGCCGGCGACGACGTTGGCGTTGACCCGCCGCCGCGTCGCGGCGGCTTCGACGACGGCGATCGCCGCGGCGTCCTCGGCGTTCTCCGCGTCTCCGTCGTTCTCGGCGACGGCGACGACGCGCACGTCCCCCGCCGCGATCGCGCGCTCGATCGTCAAGACCAGCGCGTCGCGGACGAACGCTCGGAGTCGCGTCGCCGGCGCGGTCGCCGCCGCCGTCGCCGCGGCGGCGGCGGCGGCCTCCGCGCCCTTCGTCGCGCGCGCCGCGCGCTTCGACGCGTCCGCGAGCTTCTTCGCCGCGTCCGTCAGCAGCGCGCGTAACGTCGCGACGTCGCGTTCGTCCTTCAGCGACGCGACGTGCGCGCGCGCGAGCGTCTCGAATGCGGACGCGTCGACGCGCGCGTCGAGCTCGGGCCCGGCGCAGTTTTTCAACGCCGCCGAGAACGGTTCGCCCAAAAGTTTCGCCGGCGCGTCGTCGTCGTCGTCGTCGTCGTCTCCGCGCGCGGCGGCGGCGGCGTCGCGCTCGATCTTGATCTCGTGCACGGACGCGGCGACGGCTTCGTCCCACGCCGTCGCCGCCGCCTTGCAGCCGTGCTCCGCCCACGCGTAGTACGCGAGCTCGAGCGACCGCGGGTCCGGGACGACCGCCGCGCACGCGGCTGCGACGGCGCGGACTGCGAGACCAAACGCCAGTGACTTGATGTCGCGCATGCTCTTCGCGAACTTGTTCTTCTCGTCGCCTATGAACCCCGGCGCGGCGACGAGCGGGGATAAGTCCCCGAGCGCGAAGGACATGCACACGTAGACGCGCGTCGCGCGTCGAACGGCGCTCACGTATTTCCGCGCGGACTCATTTAAGCCCACCGTCTCCAGTTTGAACGCGCCGGCGACGACGCCGCGGCGACACGCGCCGCGCGTCACTCCCGAGTTGCCGTCTTCGATCTCCCACATGTTCACCGCGAATCGAGGCGGGCCGCCGCCGTGAGGGCGGTACTGCGCGACGTCCGCTTTCGCGAACCCGCTGGCGTTCTCCGCGGTCTTAAACAACGGCAGCAACGCGTCTTTCGCCTCGGCGACGCGCGCGACGGCGTCGGCGGCGTCCCCCGGTTTCCGCAGCCGCGCCCACGCGATGCGGTAATGCGCCTTGTGGTACGTCGGCAGCATCTTCGCGCACGCGCGCACGCCGGCGACGGCGTCGTCCCACAGCGCGTCCCACCCGGCGTCCTTAGACTTAACCGCCTCGGGATCGAACGCGTGCGACGCGACGAGTCGCAGGTCCTTCGCGAGCGCGGCTTTGGCGGCGGCTTTTCCCCGCCCCCCCGCCGCCCCCGCCGGCATCGTCCACCCCGCCGCGGAACTCGCGGCGATCTTCAACAGCGCCTTCACGCGCGTCGTGTGCGTCTGATAAAACACCTCCAGGTTCCCGGGCGCGAGCTTCAGCGTCTCGTCCACGCGTCGGAACAACACGTCGAGCGGCTCGCCGAGCTTCCTGCCAATCTTGACGCCCATGAGTCGATGCGTCCACTCCTCCGGCGCCGCGCTCGCGGCGCCGTCGAACGCGTCGCGGCACAACCCCAGCGACCGCCGCCACCCCGCGTCTCTTGACATCACGAATCGTCGCCCGTCGTGGAACGGCGGCGCGCGAGACACGTGCTCGTACGCCGCGAGCCCGGCGCGCTCGTACGCGGCCGATCGCTCCTCGTCGCACGTCGCGGCGACGATCGCCGCGCAGCACGCGCGGCGCAGCGCCAGCTGGCACCGCCGCGCGCGCGCCTCCGCCTCCGGCGACCGCCGCCACTGGTACGTCGTCACCAGCTTCGCCGCGTCGTTCAGCGCGAGATCTTTGCACGAGTCCAGGTGATCCGCGAGCGCGAGCCACGCGTCGAAGGAGGACGGGTTGTGCGTGAGGTCAGCCTTGAGAAGCGCCGCGTGGCGCGCGGCGGCGGTGGCGGCGGCGACGGGCGCGTCGCGCGACTTGGCGCCCTTCTTGGCCGTCTTGGCGCGCTCGGCGGCTTGGGTCGCCCACCGCGCCGCGCGACTCGCCGCTTCCTCGCGCGTCACCGGGACGCAGTGGTACATCAGGTCTAAGATCACGGGCAAAGTCTCGGAGACTCTCTCGAACGCGGCGTCGTTTTCCTCGACGTCGGCGACGCGCGCGCAGAACCGATGGAGCGTCTCGTGCGCCGACGCGAACTCCACCGCGGGGTCGATCAGAGGTTCTTTTTCCTCCTCCGCGTCCCCCGTCGCGCCGCCGCCGCCGCCCGCGGCGTCCGCGTTCGGGGACGACGCGCCGCGGTCCACGCCGCGGGTTTCGATCCCCGGGCCGCCGAGCATGTCCGCGAGCCCGCGCCACATGTTCCCGCCGGGGGACGGAGCCGGCGCGGACGCCGGCGTCGGCGCGGGCGACGGCCCGGGCGTCGGCGCCGGCGTCGGACCGTCCGCGAGGTCGATCATCGCGACGTCGCCGTCGCCGTCGCCGCCGCCGCCGTCGCCGCCGCCGCCGCCTTCCTCGTCCTCGGCCACCGCGGCGAGCTTCCGCGACGCGCGCGCCTTCGCCTCGCGTTGTCGCTTCGGCGGCGCGCGCGAGACCGCCTCGCGCGCGAGCTTGAACTCCTCGTCTCGCCCCCACGCGCCTCTCGACGCCTCCGACGCGACGTCCCACGGGTTTAGGACCTCCGCGTCCGCGAACGCGGGCAGGGCTTTCAAGTACTCGTCCACGACGTCCGGGCTGTCGCGCGGGAGCGCGCTCTCGGGCGGGAACACGCGCCGCACGGCGTCGAGAACCGTCTTGAAGCCGTGTCCGTTGCCGAGAGATCGCAGGTTTTCCGCGTACGGCAGCACGTGCCTCCACAACTCCGCGCACGCTCTCCTCGACGTCAACACGAGCTCTTTCCCGGACGCGCCGCCCTCGTCGCGGCACCGCCGCGGGACGTCTCCGAGCTCCGCGCCGTAGAGGCAGTACGTGCACTGCGCGATCATGTCGTCGAAGCGTTTGAGCGCGGCGTCGATTTTTTCGCGTCTCGTCGACGGCTTGGGTTTCGGCGCCGCGAGCGGCGGCAGCGGCGGCAGCGACGACGTCGACGGCTTGGGCGGGGGCGAGCCGAGGAAGTCGACGCACTCTCTCGCCACGTGCGGGTGCTTCAGCGCGTTCTCTTTCGCCTCCGCCTCGGCTTTCGCCTTGGCCTCTTTGAGCGCGTTCTCGCGTTTCTCAACCTCCTCCTCGGAGAGCCCTTCGCGCTCGAGGTACCTCCCGACGGCGATTTTCGAGCGCAGAATCGCCTGGTCCTTGCCCTTCGAATACTTCCCCGTCGCGTCGCAGTCTTTGAACGCGTACGACGTCTTGTCCTTCCGAAACAGCGCGAACGCGAGGTCGTGGTGCGTGCCCCCCGGTCTTTGCGTCGACTGCACGTAGACGTCCCCGGCGTAGTGCACGAATCCGTCGCCCATGACGGTGCCGTCGCCGCCGCCGCCTCTGACGTCGTTCTTTTGGTTTTGACGCACGAACGCGGCTTTCGCCTTGTTCTTCTCCTTGTCGTCGCCTCCCGCGCCCGCGCGCCCCCGCGGGCGCCCGCGGCCCGCAGCCTTCGTCTTCTTCGCGGCAGCCTTATCCCTCGCGTCCGCGTCGTCCTCCTCCTCCTCCTCCTCGTCCTCCTCCTCGTCCTCCTCCTCCGCTGCGTTTTCGCCCTTGGCGGCGCGCTCCGCGCGTAATGCGGCGCGTCGCTCCGCCGCCGCCTTTTTCGCGAGCTCCCTCTCCTCCTTCGCCCTCGCCGCGGCGCTCTCCTCCGCCTTTCGCGCGAGCTCCTTCAGCCGCCTCGACTCCCTCGCGAACGGCGCTCGCGCGGTCGTCAACGTCGGAATCGCGTCGCGAAGGAACGACCCACCGCCGCGCGCCGCCGCGCCGCAGCAACACCGGCAATCCGCGAGCGCCGCGTGCAGACGCTCGTGGAGCTCCAGCACGCTCAACGGCGACGGCGCGTCCGCGTCGCCTAACGGCGCGTCCGCGACCGTTACGTTATCATCCGGGAAATCTTCTTCCGGCGCGCCGTCGTCGCCGGTAAACACGACGTCGTCGGGCGGCGACGTGAGCTGCTGGATGACGCTGAGCGCCTCCGCGGAGAGCTCCATGATTGTCGCCGCCGCGTCTTCCTTCGCCTGCTCGACTTTGTTTTTTCGCCTCGTCGGCGTCTCCCCGGGCGCGATCGCGCGCGAGGCGTACTGCGCCTCGATCTGTTTCGAGAACAGCGGGGCGAGGGACGCGATCGCGCGCGCGGCGTGCTGCGTGGCCATCTCGCGCGCGTCGTCGTCGTCGTCGTCGTCGTCGTAATCTTCCATCGCGTCGGCGGCGGATTTTTTTCTCTCCGCCGCGTCGCGCGCCGCCGCCGCCGCCACCGCCGCCGGGGAAAACGCGCCCGCCGTCCGCGTCGAGCGCGCGCGCTGCAACACGTCGAACACGTCCGTCAGCGCGTCGCGCGTGACGACGACGTCCGCGTCGCCGGCGCCGCCCGCGGTGACCGCCGCGAACAGCGCGCCGCGCGCGCGGACTTCCGTCGCCAACGCATATTCCGCGACTTTCGCCGCCGCCGCGTTGCCTGCGTGGTCAGTCGAACGTCTTACCGGTCAAACGTTGAAAGGGAAGCGCGGGTGAAGAGTGACGACGGGGAAAGTCCTTAAGGAACGGCGTGCACCACGCGAACGGGGTCGTATGGGAAGCAGTCTCACCTCCCGCGGCGAGCGGGTAATGCGCGTCGCCCTCCGCCTTCGCCGCCTTCGCGAGCGTCCGCAGCGCCTTCTCGCGCTGCGTCGGGGTCAACACGACCGGCGCGTGCGACCCCCCGCGCTGCGGCGCCCCAGCAGAGGCTCCGCTCGCGTCGAGCGGGAGGAGCAACGGCGCGAGGACGGCGAGGAGCTCCGCGGTGTTCCCCGCCTGCAAGCTGGCGTCGGCGCCGGCGACGACGGCGTGGAGGCGCACGTCCGCGAGCGCCGCGCGCGCGGCCGCGGCGCTGAGCCGGTCAGCAGCGCCGTCGCAAGAAGCGTCGCGCAACAGCCGCTGCTTCGCCCCTTCTTCGGATCCAGATCCAGATTCCGCCAGCGTCGCGGCGTCCACGGACGCGCGGAGGTGCTCCTCGGCGAGCGCGATGGACCCCTCCGCCGCCGCGAGGTTCCCGCGCACGAAGTGGTACTCCGCCATGAGCGCGAAGTCGTCGTCGTCCGCCGCCGCGACCGCCGCGTCCAGGTGCGCGTTCGCCGCGTCCACGAAGTGCGACGCCGGGAGCCCCTCGGTGACCTCCGCGGCGGCTTTCGCGGCGGCGTCGGAGAGGACGGGCCCTTCGTAGCCGTCGGCTTTGCGTCGTCGATGATGCGTCGCGGCGTACGCGGCGCCGAGCGCGGCTCTCGACGCGCGCACCGCCGCGTCCGCGAGGCACAGGTGCACCCTAGGCGCGCCCGCGCCGTCGCCGACGCCGAACGCGGCCGCGAGCCTGAGCAGCGTCGCCGGTCGCGGGGCGTTTTTGAGGCAAAAGCCGCCGGAGACGTCGCGCGCGCGATTCTTCGTCCACTGGTTCGACCGCTTCGCCTTTAATTTTTCCGCGGCGGCGGCGTCCGGGGCGACGTCGTCCGTGCTCGCGCCCTCGCTCGTGGGGCACCAGCGCGAGGTGACGTGGAGGAGTAATCGCCACGCGACGTCCGCGGCGCCGCTGTTGCGCGACGTGACGCTTCCGAGGAACGCGGCGACGTCCGCGGCTTCTTCCTTGTCCTCCTCGGGCTCCGGCTCTTCCTCGGCGCCTTCGGGGGGCGCCGAGGAGTCGGGCGCCGAGTCGGGCGCCGCCGACTCACTCTCCCTCTCCTTCTCCTTCTCTGCGGCGTCGTCTTGGATCACGGGCGCGGCCGCGACGATCGCGGCGGCGTCCGCGTCCGCGCGCATCGCCGCCGCCGAGTCGCCGCCGAGCGCCGTCGACGCCAAGTCGTTCGCGAGGTTTTTCATCGGGCGCCACTTGTTCTCCTCCGCCGCGAGCGCGAGCGCCACCTGCTGCTCCGCGCGCCGTCGCTCCCAAGCCTCCTTGTGCAAGCGTTCGCGCTCTTCTTGATCTTCCTTTTCAATCTGGCGCTTGGACTTTCTCGCGGGCGCGGAATCTTTTTTCTTTCCGCCGGCGGCGGGCGGCTTTTCGACCGCGCCGGCGCCCGCGCCCGCGCCCGCCCTCGGCGCGTCGCTCGTCGCCCCCGACGCGCCCGCGGCTTCCTCCAAGGCGGACTCCGCGCCCGACGGCGCGGCGACGTCGACGTCCATCGCCTCCGCGGCGGCAGCCGCCGCCGGCGGCGGCGGCACGGCCGGCGCGGACGTCGGCTCCGTGGATATCTCCGACGCGCTCGCGCTGCGGCCGCGTCGCGTGCCTTCGCGTTTCGGTTTCGGTTTTCTCCCGGGCTTGGCCTTGGCGTTCGCCGCTTTACCCGTCGTCGTCGTCGTCGTCGTCGTCGTCCCGGCGGCGGCGTCGACGTCCATGGCTCGCGGCGCTTCGTCGATCCCCGCCGCGGTCGTCGTCGTCGTCGTGGCGTCGTCCTCGTCGCCGCCGCCCGCGCCCGCGCCCGCGCCCGCGCGCGACGGTCGGTCGATACCCGATACGGGTTTCGCCTCCTCGAAGCCGCCGCCGCCGCCGGAAGCGGGAACGACGAACCGCACGCGTCTACCGAGGGTGGACCCCGGGATCGCGACGCCGACGGCCCAGTGCCGCGGTTCCGGCGTCTTCGGGTGCGCGGGCGGCGGCGGCGGCGGCGGCGGCGAAGACGCGTTCGCCGCCTCTCTCGCTCTCTTGAATAATACGTTCCGGTACTTATCCTTCAAGTCAACGGGCGTGCGGTGCTTGAACAGGTTTTGTTTCACGCCCGCGGCGAGGATGTCCACCCACAGCGTCTTCGAGTCTTCTCCGTCCGGGCCAAACTGTTCGTACCCCTCGAGGAGAAAGTCCACGTCCTGCTCCGCCCACGGCGTCCTCACGCGGGTTTCGGGTTCCGACGCGGGGACGCGAACCGGCACGGGGACGCGAACCGGCACGGGGGAGTCGTCCTTCGTCAGGTCGATCTCGTCCGCCTCCGCCGCCGCCGTCGCCGAAAGGAGCGCCGCCTCCGCCGCCGCCTCCGCCGCCGCCTCCGAGGCCGTCGGCGCCCACGCCCTCTCCCACGCGCCGTGCTTCGAGAGATGGTTGTAGTACTTCTGCGCGTGCGACATTATCTGCGTCGGCGTCCGCGAGAGGACGACGTTTTGAGAGATGGCGCTCCAGTTCCCTTTCCCGTATTTCGCGAGCCCGACGAGAAACATTCGGTGTTCCTCCTCTGTCCAAGGTTGGGGTGGCGCACGGTTGGGGCACCGCCATGTCCGTCCGGCACCGCCTTCTCCGCGCGTCCCCGCGGGCTCCGCCTCGGTCGCCGGCGGCGTCGACGGCCGCGCGGCGTCGGCGTCGACGGCGTCGCCGGCGACGCCCCCCGCGCGCTTTTTCCGCGTCGCCGGCGCCGCCCCCCCGGACGTCGTCGGGTCCATCGTCGCCGCGAGCGCGCACGCGACAGCCTCCCACGTCCTTCGCTCGAGCTTCACGATCAGCGCGCCGCCGACGGCGACGTCTTCGCCGCGTTCACATTCGTCTCGCGTCGCCTCGTCGTCGCGCGCGCATCGCGCGGCGGTCTCCTCCTCGCGCCCGCGTTTCCGGTGGCGCGCGGCGGCGCGTCCGCGCCGCGCCGCGCGTCGCCGCGCCGCCTCGTGCGCCGCCGTCAACCGCAGTCTCTCCGCGCCCTCCCCCCCCGCTCGCATCTCCCGCGCGCGCGAATGCCGCGGGTCGAGCCTCAAGAGCAGCCCGGCGACGTGCGCGCACGCGGGGTAGTCGCCCACCGCGAGGAGCACCTCGGCGAGGTCTTCGAGGAGGAGGGGGTGATTCGGCCTCGCGACGAGGCCGCGCTCGAGCGCGTGCCTCGCGAGGTGGAGGAGATTTCGTCTAGACGCGAGCGCGCCGAGGCGACGCCACAGGCTCGAGTCCGTGGCGTCGATCTCGACCGCGGCGGCGTACGCGCGCAGGGCTTCCGCGTAGTCCGCCGCGAGGTCGCGTTCGGTCGCCGTCAGATCCGCGTCTTCGTCGGCGTCGTCGTCGTCGTCGTCGTCGTCCGAGCCGGAGCTTCCCGCGTCCTCGCGCTCGATCGCGAGGTCCGCGACGAGCCTTCCCAGGTTCTTCAGCGCGAGGAACTTCACCTGCGTCATCGTCGGCGTCAGCGACGGCGCGTCGTCGTCGTCGTCGTCGCGGTCGGTCATCAGCGCGTTCCGAAGGATCCCGCGGAGCTCGCGCACCGCGTCCTCCCTCTTCCCGTCGCGAATGAAGAGCAGCGCGGTCTCGTACGCGGACGTCAGCAGAGACTCCTCCGCCTCGGTCGTGCGCCGCGCTTCCTCGACGCCGCCGTCGCCGCGCGCGCCCGAGAGCGGGTCGTTCAGGGCGGCGAGCTGGAGCGCCATGACGGCGACGCCGGGCCTGCTTCGTCGACGAGGGACTAGCTAGGGAACCCGCGCGTCGGACGCGCGGTGACGCGGGCGCGCGCTCGTATCTCCGTCGCGCGCGTCTCTCCGACGGCGACGATCGCGCGTGGACGAGGGGGTCTTCTCTCTCCCGTCCGCGCCGCGCCGCTCCGCGTCGTCGTCGTCGCGCGCGCGCGTCGCGTGTGCGCGCGCGGGTGGCGCCGTAGTTCTTTTCGAAAAAAAGGGTTGAGCGTTTCGAAATCCGACCTGACTGACACGCGCTGCGCGCGCCAGTCGCTGAGTCGGCTCCAGTCGGCTGAATCGCCCCCAGATCTTGCGCGCCCGCCTCGTCGCTCGTCGCTCGACGACGACTCCGCGCGCGCGCATCGACGGAGCAGCTCGGTTCTTCCACCGCGCGCGCGACCCCGCGAGATCTCAAAGGGAGGAGGACGGACGAGGAACGCGCGGCGCCCGTCGAAGCGAAGCGCGCGGTAGAAGAAAAGAAGCAGAAGAACAGGGCGACGAAAGAATGTCCTTCCGCCGGCGCCTGAAGAACAAGAAGCCGCCCGCGGGGTGGGACCTCATCGAGTCCTCGATCGAGGACTTCGAACAGCAGATGCGCGACGCGGTCGGCGAAGAGCACGAGGGGAAGCGCAAGAACGAGCTCACGTGGAGGATACACCGCATCCACTGGGAGAAGAATCGCTTCATCTTCGACCTGAGATATAAGAAGAACGTGCTGAGCGACGAGCTGTACAACTACCTGTGCCGCGAGAAAGTCGCGGACCAGCCGCTCATATCCAAGTGGCGCAAGCCCGGGTACGAGAACCTGTGCTCGCTGCTGTCCATACAGAAGGGCGACACCAACTTCGGCACCGCGTCCATCTGCCGCGTCCCCATGGCGTCGAGGGCGCCGCAACAGCAGGCGCGTTCTATACACTGGTTCCCATACGACCGCGTTCGCGTGGTGAACGCCGATCCTTAAGGACTTTATCTCCCGGCGCATCTCTCCGCCCACCCCTCGCTTTCAATCCCCGCCCTCGACGCCTTTCAACTCCAACTGACGCCTATGAACTCCACCCGCAGCTCACGCCAAACGTGCGCACGGGGTGCATCTCGTGCACGTCGGGGGACGGCGCGCACGGCGGGCCGATCTGGTGGAACACGCCGATCACCGCGGAGATCACGGGAAAGATGTCGAAGGGCGGGGGGAAGAAGCGCGCGGCGGAGGACGGGATCGAGGATCCGGAGGTGCGGAAGCGACTGGCGGCGTTGAAGGGCGCGGAAGGGTTGGACTGATACGCGTCGAATGAATTTTCTGAGTGGCGGTCTACGATCCATCCGTTAGGGTTGCCGCGCGCGCGCCGCCACGTCGTCGTACTACCGTACCTACCCTGATGCAACACGATACTACCTATCATAAATGGAAGCATCCATCACGCGTCTTCCTCCTCCTCCTCCTCCTCCTCCTCCTCCTCCTCGCGGGGCCCGGTCGCCTCATCTCGCGCTCCTCGCCCGGTCGCTTGCGCGACGAGCCGCGCTGTCATGCTCTCCACCTTGGCGCGTCTCTCTCTCGCGCTCGCGCTCTCCCTCTGCCCGGGATCACCGCCGGAATCCGAATCCTCGCCCCCGGAATCGGAATCCTCGCCGCGCCTCCTCACCCCACCCTCTCGCGCGCCCCCTCGCGCCCTCACGAAGTTGAACAGCTCGACGTACTCCTCCATGCTCAGCTCCTGCGCGCGCGTCTTCTCCGGTCTGTGGGCCATTCCATACAAAAATAGTTCATCGGTCAGTCAGTTGAAAGGGGATGCGATCAAATGTTGAAACCGGGCGATGGGTGAAAAACTTTTGTATAGAACGCACCTGTTCAACGTCGCCAACGCGTCGCGAATCGTGTCGTCGTCGCACGCGGCGCGCATGTTGTTCTTCAACATCTTCCGCTTCTGCGCGAAACATGTTTGCACGAACGCGAAGAACTGCCGCTCCGTGCCCGCGAGGGGTAAATACTCTTCTCTGCGCCGCGGCCGAAACCCTATCAGACAGCTCTCTACGTTCGGCGGCGGGTCGAAGCACGCCGCGGATACCGGTCGTACGTAATACGGCTCGGAGTAGTACCGCACGCGCACCGACATGGGGCGGTAGTCGCTCCCGCCGGCGTCGTCGCGAATCAACCGTCGCGCGACTTCCTCTTGGAACATGAAGACCATGTTCTCGAACGTGTCGCCCATGGGGAGCAGCACCTTCAGGATGTCCGTGGTGATGTTGTACGGGATGTTCGCGACGACTTTCGCGCGTCGAGGCGCGCCGTCGCCGAGCGCCGCGTCGGCGGCGGCGGCGTCGGTGGGCTCCGGGAACGCCTTCGCGACGTTCCACTTCAGGAAGTCCGCCTCGTGCACGGTCAAGTTTTCGTTCCCGCGAAACGTCTCCGCGAGCTTATCCGCCAGGTTCCTGTCCTTCTCCACCGCGGTGACGACCGCGCCCGCGCTCAGAAGCTCCGCGGTGAGGTTCCCCGTCCCCGGCCCGATCTCGAGGATCGAATCCCCCGCGCGCACGTCCGCGGCGTCGAGCGCGTCGAGGATGACGGAGCGGTCGACGAGGAAGTGCTGCCCGAGCCATCGACGCGCGGCGTGCTTCGACGCGTCCACGCGCTGCTGCGGGCTCAGGCCGTCCAGGGCGAGCGCCGCGGCGTCGTCGTCGCCGCCGCCGCCGACGCGTCTCGACTTTTTCTCGCGCGTCCGCTCCTCCTTCGCTTTCTTCTTGTTCCGGGATAACCGCACGGGCTTCCGCGCGCACGTGACGTTCAGCCTCGACGCGCGCGCGCGCGACGGAGACGCCCGCGACGTCGCCCGCGGCGCGGGGAAAGACGCCGCCATCGAGGCCGCCATCGAGGACGCGCGTCGTCTACTAGCTAGAATGCGGATGTTGAATTTTGCACGGCACTTTTCGACGACTCTTGGCTCGTCGCTAAGTCGTTCGCTTCGAGCGTTTCCTACACGCACGCGCCGCCTCACTCGCCGCGCCGCCCGACGCGCACTACGAAACGACGTCCCTCGTCGTCCACCTACCGCACGAGCTAGGGCTACCGCCTACCTATGCCTACTCATCTACCCGTTCGCCGCACCCTCCCAGCCGCCTTTCCCCACTATCCTCCGATGCACTTGCTCCACGCGCGCGGCGGTTTCAATCATCCGCCGCGTCTGATTCTCCCGGCTCGTCGCGATGAACGCGCTCACCTCGCCGAACGTCTCGCCGTACCTCTTCATTCGCCTCTCCCGCGCGTTTTCGCGCGCGTTCAACACCACCGTCGCGCATCTCCTCGCGAGCCTCCTCTTGTCGTCGTCCACGTCTTTGATGAAGTCCACGCTCGCGCGCACGGGCCAACGCGAACACGCGATCTGGTAATCGCGCTCGGGTCCGACGCGCGCCTTGACGTCTTCGAGCGCGGCCGCGACGGACCGAAGCTCGTCGTCGTAGGACATGATCGCGATGGACGTCTCGCGCGCCTTCGCGTCGAGCGTCTTCGTCGTCTCCGCGAGCTCCGCGACGAGCGCGGCGTGGTCGGACGCCGCGTCGTCTCTACTCGCCGCGAGCGACGACTCGAGATGGATCGAGAACGAGCTCCGCGCGTCGAGCAGCGCGGCCGCGGAGTCGCGCGACGTCGTCGCGACCGCGGACTCGAGCGCCGCGTGCGACTTCTCGGACGCGTCCAGCTGCGTCGGCCGCGGGACGGAGACGCGAGCGAGGGTCATTCATCGTCATCGTTCGCGCGGGGTGGACGGGACGAGATCCCGCGGGGGGGTGCCGCTGCCGTGATTTGAATCGATCGTCTCGAGGGCGACGACGCGACGACGCGAGGCGGAGCGAGCCGGGGGGACGCGAAGCGGGGGGACGCGCGCGCGACGACGCACGTCTTCGTTCACGCGCTCGAGCATCAGCCGAAGCTCCTCGAGCTCCGCGGGCTCGAGGCTCTTGTCTTCGTCCGCTTCGTCTTCCATGGCGCCGCGCGGTCGGGACTGCGAAGAGCCGCGTTCGCGTCTGCGCGCTGCTGTGCGTGCAGCATCAGCGCGTGTAGCGCGGCGCGGGGGCGCGTGCCGCGTTTTAGCTCTTTCTGTTCAACCTTTCGCGAGGGGTCGCCACTCCGCGGTCGCGCCGCGCACGCCCACCGCGCACGCTCGCGTCTCCTCGCGGCCGCGCGCGCGCGCTCTCGAGGCGGAGCACGCGCGTCGGCGACGCGGAGACGCCGAGGTCGAGCGTCGCCTTCGAACGGAGGAAAGGTCGCAGCATCCGCGACCGCGATAAAGTAATATTCTGTCGTCGTCTCCATCTCAAACTCGGCAACCCGTCCATCCCACTCCGCCGCCGTCCCCTCCGCCGCCGCGATGAGCGGCCGCGTCCCCGGCGCGGAGCCGCCGACGCCGGAGACGCAGAAGAAGGTCACCGCGGCGAAGACGTACATCGAAAACCTGTACAAGAACCAAGCCAAGTCGCTCGCCGCGCGCATGGAACGCCGCGCCGCGGCGGAATCGCACGCGCTCGACGGCGGGGAAAATCCCGCGATCGCGATACACGAGCTCGAGGAGCAGGAGCGCAAGTTCACGCGTCTGAAGCGCGCGAAGATCAGCGTCCACGACTTCGAACCGCTGACGATCATCGGCCGAGGCGCGTTCGGGGAGGTGCGCCTCGTGCGAGACAAGAGCAACGGCAAGGTGTACGCCATGAAGAAGCTCAAGAAGACGGAGGCGCGTCCCATACACTGGTTCCCGTACGAACGTGTCGGCGTGGTGAACGCCGATCCTTAAGGACTTTGCCCGGCGCATCTCTCCGCCCAGGGTCCCACGCGTTCAATCCCGACACACCTCGGCGCCTTTCAACTCCGCTCCTGACGCCTTTCAACTCCACCCCGATATCATCGCTCGTATGGAACGACCCTAAGATGGTGCGACGGGGACAGGTGGACCACGTGCGCGCCGAGCGCGACCTCCTCGCGGAGGTGCACAACGAGACCGTCGTGAAGCTGTACTACTCCTTCCAAGACGAGCAGTTTCTGTACCTCGTCATGGAGTACTTGCCCGGCGGGGACATGATGACGCTGCTGATGCGTCGCGACACGCTCACCGAGGACGAGACGCGGTTTTACGTTGCGCAGACGGTGCTCGCGCTGCAGGCGAGTCGAGTTCTATAGACTGGTCCCCATACGACCCCGTTCGCGTGGTGAACGACGTTCCTTAAGGACTTTGCCCGGCGTGACGGCCGTCGTCGTTCGGTCATCGGTCGTCGGTCTTATTCAATATCTTCGGTCTGACCGCTTCCCGCGCGTCCGGCGACTCGACCCGACCGCGTTTCGCTTCCCTTTCCTTTCGACGCTCGCTTTCCTTTCGATTTCGACCGACTGACCCTCACGACGACGCGTTCCCCCACTCCCGATCCGATCGCAGACGGTCCACGCCGCGTGCTTCATTCACCGCGATATCAAACCGGATAACTTGCTCCTGGACGCGCACGGGCACATGAAACTGAGCGATTTCGGTCTGTGCAAACCCATCGACCAGAAGATGCTGAACACGCTGCCGGAGATCATCGAAGAGGATGGCGTCCCGTCGCCGCCGCCGGGCGACGCCGACGGCGACGACACCACGGACGCGTCGAACGAATCCGCGCGCGCCGCGCAGCTGAAACACTGGCACGCGAACCGTCGCAGACTCGCGTACAGCACCGTCGGCACCCCGGATTACATCGCCCCGGAGGTTCTCCTGAAGAAAGGGTACGGGATGGAGTGCGACTGGTGGAGCGTCGGCGCGATCATGTACGAGATGCTGGTCGGGTACCCGCCGTTTTACAGCGACGAGCCCATGTCCACCTGTCGCAAGATCGTGCACTGGCGGCATCACCTGCGGTTCCCCGCGGAGGTGACGCTGAGCGCCGAGGCGCGGGATCTCATCGAGCGTCTGCTGTGCGACGTGGATCAGCGGTTGGGTACGGCGGGCGGCGTGGAGGAGATCAAGGCGCACGCGTTTTTCCGCGGCGTGCCGTGGGATAACCTGTACGCGATCCGCGCGCCGTACGAGCCGGACGTGACCGGGGAGTTGGACACGCAAAATTTCGAAAATTTCGACGAGGACGAGAGCATGAGGCCGCCCGGGAAGAACCCCGCGGGGGGCGAGGACGCCGCCGCGGGAGGGAAGGACGGCAGGAGAGCCGCCGCGGGCGGCGGCGGCGGCGCGAAATCGTCCTCCCCGGCGAAGAAGGCGGACGACTTCATCGGGTACACGTATAAAAACTTTGAAGTCGTCGGAGAGGAGGTGCACAGGAAGAAATCCAAGCCGAAGCCGAGTCTGATGAGCATATTCCCGGGCGCCATGGGCGACGTCGACGGCGCTGGCGGCGGCGGCGGAATGGGCGGCATCGCTACCCCTGCGATGGACGTCGTCGGCGGCGGGATGGCGGGGCTCACGGTGAGCGATCCCCCGACGGCGGCGCCCGCGTTCGAACGCGGCGGGAGCGTCGTCGAGAGAGGGAGCTCGCCGATCGCGGCGGCGGCGGCGAGGGAGGAGAGCGGCGGGCAGGCGCCGTCGGGGTTAGGGCGGACGTTGCGGTGACGTAGAGTAGCGCGCCGCGCGAGTCGGGCTCGAGAAATTACATCTTGTTTTCCGAGATGCTCTTTGAAGTCGGTCCATACAAAAACAGTCCACCGGTCAGTTGAAAGGGGACGCGATCAAATGTTGAAACCGAACGATGGGTGAAAAACTTTTGTATAGAACGCACCTCAGCACCAGACGACGGCCTCGCGTGTCGTAGAAAGCGCGTGATGAAAACGCGTCGCGCGTCACCGCGCGCGGCTCCGCTGCACCGCGCGCTGAGGCGAGAAGGAGAAGGCGCGCGCGACGCGCGGGAAGCCGACGCCGCCCGGCCCGGCGCGATGACGGCGCGCGTCTCGACGGCGGCGACGCGGCTCCGGACCGCGTCCTCGCTCTTCCCCGCGCGTCGACCGCCCTTCCGGATCCTCCTCCTCCTCCTCCTCCTCCTCGCGCGCGCGCGTCGCGCGGTCGCGGAAGCGAACCACGGCGCTTTCGTGCACGGCGTCGCCTCCGGGGACCCGACCTCCGACGCGATCGTCATCTGGACGCGCGTGACGCCGACGGGGCGAAACTACCCCGGCGGCGTCGACCCGCCCGACGACATCACGTTCGACGTGAGATGGACCGTCGCGACGGCGCCGCCGCGCGGCCCCGCGGACGACGCCGTCGACGCCGCGTCCGCCGAGCGCGACGACGACGGGACGTGGGGGAGCTCCGAGACCGCGGTGGGCGTCGACGCGGACGCCGCGGCGTGGGGGTTCCCGCGCGGGTCGATCGTCAAGACGGGCACCATCGCAGGCGTGAGGTGCGTTCTATACACTGGTCCCCACACGACCCCGCACGCGTTGTGCTCGCCGATCCTTAAGGACTTTTGCCGTCGTCTCTCTCCGCCCACCCCTCGCTTTCAATCCCCGCCCGCGTTGCCTTTCAACTCCATCTGACGCCTTTCAACTCCACCCCGACGTCGCTTTGTATGGAACGACCCTGAGCAACGAGACGGACTGGACCGTGAAGAAGGACGTCTCCGGGCTGTCGCACTCGACGCGGTACTACTACGCGTTCAACATCGAGCGCGACGGCTTCAGACGCCGCTCCGAGGCTGGCACGTTCACGCTCCCGCCGCCGCCGGGGGAGGGAAACCAGCGGCGGATAAAGCTCGCGGTGTTCTCGTGCGCCAACTGGGGGTGGGGGCGTTTTCACGCGTACGACGCCGCGGCGCGAGGGTGGGGCGAATCGTTACAGCTGGACGCGTGGCTGCACCTCGGAGATTACACGTACGAGTACGGAGACACGCACTACCCGCAGGCGGACGACGCCGTGCGCGAGCGATTCTTCGCGCTGCGTCCGCGCGGGGAAGCTACCGCGCTGCGAGGCTACCGCGAACGGTGAGACCGCTCGCTCCCGCGCGCTCGCGCGGAGCTCATCGCGTCGTTTATTTCTTGAGGTGGAAAAGCTTTTTTTTTCTTTCGCGCGCCGTGAACCTCGCAGCACGCATCGCAGCACGTTTCTTTCGACGCGCGTGAACGCTCTCCACCGATGCGATGCCGCACGCGCGCGACTGACGCGACGCGCGGATGGATCCCCTCGACCGATCGCAGGCACGCGTTGCATCGCGCGGACGAAGGGCTGAGAGCGTTGCACGCCGCCGCGCCGGTGATGGCGATGTGGGACGACCACGACATCACGAACAACGCCTGGACGGACGGCGGGGAGAACCACCAGCCGGAGACGGACGGCGACTACGTCGCGCGGCGACGCGCGGGGATTCGCGCCTTCCACGAGTGGCTGCCGACGCGGGAACCGCGCGCGAGAACCGGGGACCCGAAGGACGATCCGGACGCCAACCTGCGGTACAACCGCGTCGCGCACTTCGGCGACGTCGCGAGCGTCGTGATGTTAGAGACGCGGCTGCTCGCGAGGACGGACCCGGCGGGGAACCCGGGCGGGAACGTGTTCGCGAACGCGAGCGGGACGATCGCGCGCTGGGTCGCGAAGAGGGAACGCGCGCCGGCGCGATGGCGCGGGAGCGATTTGGAGCGAACGTTTCTGTCGCTGCGCGACGACCTGGACGCGCATCGCGCGTCGCCGGACCGCGAGATGCTCGGCGCGGAGCAGATCGCTTGGATCGAGAAGACGACGAAGGCGTCGGCCGCGCTCGGCGTGAAGTGGCAGGTGGTCGCGCAAGCGTCGCCGGTGATGGACATGATGTCCCCGGATTTGGCGAAGGGCGCTGCGGCGTTGGACGAGAACGCGCGCGGCGACGCGCCGCCGCCGCCGCGCGGGCACGCGTCGTGGACCGCGGCGCTGCGGGCGTGGGTGGACTGGAACGGCGACGACGACGACGACGGCGGGGGAAGAACGCCGAACGCGAAGCGCGTCGGCGTCGGCGGGCGAGACGTCCCCGTGGACGCCGCGCGCGGGCTGTTGGCGATGGGAGAATACCGCCTTAACTGGAACTTCGACGACTGGCACGGGTACGTCGCCGACCGCGCGAAGCTTCTGCGCGCGGTCGTCCCGCACGCGAACGCGGCGGTGATTCTCGGCGGGGACTCGCACGACTCCTGGGCCGGGGTCGTGTCCGACGACGCGCGCGATTGGGAGCGCCCTCAGGGGTCGACGGCGGCGCCGCGACGCGTCGGCGCCGTCGAATTTGACGGCCCGTCCGTGACCCCGCCCGGGATGTTCGAGCACGCGCACGCGTGGTGTCCGCGCGCGCTGATCGACGCCGGGCACTTATCTAGTAACCCGCACACGCTGCGACACGCGCGGACGGGACAGAGGGGGTTCATGCTCGTGGACGCCACCGCGGAGGAGTTCGCCGTCGATTTCGTCCTCACGCCGTCGGTTCGAGACGCGTCGTATTCGCCGAGGTGCGACGCGTCGTTCGTGGCGAGAAAAGAGAGCGCGGGCGGCGACGGCGGCGGCGGCGGCGGCGACGGGTTAAGACTCGACGCGCGGACGTGTCCAGACCTCCCGGACGCGCTCGCGCGCCTCTCGGACCGCGGCGGAAACGGCGGGGACGACGCGAAGGCGGCGCCCGGCGCCTGGGCGGTGACGTCGCTGTTCGTCGTCGCCGTCGCGTTCGGCGCCGCGGGAGTCGTCGCGGGTCGGCACGCGCCGTGTTTCGAGCGAAGCGACGGCGGCGGCGGCGGCGGCGGCGGCGGCGGCCGAGTCGGCGGGGGCGGACACAGGCGGTCGAGTTCCGCGGTAGACGGGTACGTCTCCTCAAACGGCGGCGGCGGCGGCGATAGAAAAATGTCGGCGCGCGAGCGGCGGCGGTACTCCGAGCTCGTCGACGCGGACGTCGCGGACTCGCAGCTGGAGCTCGGGGAGTGGAGGGACGAGCGACGCGGTGGGGGGGGGAGGCACGAGCGCGAGCACTCGCACTGAACGAGACTGGCGGGGACGTTGAACGCGGCGCTTCGTCGGCGTCGAGAGACAGAAATATTTGAACCGAATCTTGTACCTTCGTACCTTCGTACCTACTGGCCGGTGCGGTCAGGTGGTTACAGTACGTGTAGTACACGTACACGTGTACGGACTCTCCGAACGCGAACGAACGCCTCTCCGAACATCAAAGATCACCACACAAAAAAAAACATATCTCGCACTCCTCCCTCGCGCGCGCGCGATACGCGCACGACTTCGCTCGCGATGGGTTGCTGCGACTGCTGCGGCGGACCCTGCGGGTTCTACAGCAAGAACAAGCTGTGGCTCGTGCTCTGTGCGTCCTCGTCCCCCGCGCCGCGCGCTTCCGAATCCCGCGCGCGCGATCTCGCATGCGCTTCGTCCCCCCCATCCCCCGCGTACGTAATGGGCTCTGACCTCCGCCGACGCCCCCCGCCGTCGTCGTCGCGCAGACTCGATCTTCTTCATCTGCCCTCTCCTGTTCGTGTCGTGGATGTACGGCGGACCCGGGATATGCCCGATGATGCCGATGTTCTCCCAGGCGCGTCGCCCGGACCGCGCGCGTCGATGACGACAACAGCCATCCCACACGTTGATCTTCGTCGAGCCGCGGCGCGGCCCCGCGGCTCAACAGTGCTCGACAGATACGTTTTTCCGCCCTCGACCGCCGCGCCGCCCGACGACCGATCCGATCCATCCCCTCCCCCCCTCCCACCCCCGCCGTCGCTCCCCCGCCGCCCAGATCGAGAACATCAACTCGAAGATGTCCAGCGGCAACCCCGACGGCGGCGCCGACCTCCTCTGGGGCACGGGCGTCTGCACGATCTACCTCAAGCCGTTCGAGAGCGACCAGTCCACCTCCGAGGACGGCACGTCCTTTGGCGTGAAGGTCGTCCTGCACGAGTACTTCCACTGCCTCCAGCATGGGCTCGTGTCCGGCGACGTCGACCCGAGCGTGCGGTACGACACCATCGACGTCTCCATCGAGGACGGGTGCGGGGTGAACGATCTGTACCACAAGAAGACGCTCGCCGCAATCAACAACATGCCCGCAGAGTACAAGCTCGTGAAAAAAGTCGTCGTGTTTTACGCGTGCGGCAAAGGCACGGAGTACACGTCGTTGGACTTGCAAGACATCGCGTACGGGTTCGGGTGCCCCGGCATGGACCCGCTGCGGACGCCGGTGAATAACCTCAACGGCATTGGCGAGGGCGACGCGGAGTACTACGCGCAGCAGATTCTCATGCCAGCCATCCAAGCCGCGGACACGACGAACTGGGACAGCTCGTACGCCACTCCCTACAACGGGGTCACGGAGTGGAACAACCGCGGCACCGATGCGCAGACCGCGTGCGGTTTCAAGAACTCTGGCGACGACACCGCGAAGGACAACTTCGTGATCGGCGACCTCAGCGAGGATCACGTCGACAGCAAGATGATTCCCACGCTGAGCGACGCGGGAAAAGATACGTGCCGGAACAACTACATCGGCGAAGCCGCGTTTCGGTTCATCTTGGCCACGTATTCGCCGTCCTTATCGAACGTGTTGAAGATGTGGCAGGACGCCGGCTCCGTCGGCATCGCGTCCGCGTTCGAGACCAACATCGGCGTCTCGTGGAACACGTTCACCGCCGCGTTCGAGAAGTCGGCGACGTACCTCGGCAAGAGCTCGTCTGACGGATACGACGGGCAGGCGCACGGGAGCGATTACGATATGGAAGAGCTCGTGTACGGCTTCGCGATCGTCGCGACGTTGTGCTGCCTCATGTCCGCGTTCTTCTTGATGCTGTGCGTTCGAAATGTGTGGTTCAACCCGAGGAGGATTAAGCGTCAGCAGAAGCAGCAGGAGCAGAGCGGCGGCGTCGTCGCCGGGCCGGGGCAGATGCCGACGATCGCGATGAAGTGATGATCATTATGAAGACGCGATCGATCGTGATCGTCCCGCGTCCGGCGGCTGAGGAGGTTGGTGCGACGAGACCGCGGTGGCGGTGTGGAAGTAAGACGCGTCGTGATGCGACGACGACGCGTCGTGGAGGAGGAGAGAGGCTGAATCGGTATGTCGGCGGGCGACCGGAGTGGAGGCTGGATCTTGTGTTGCATACGAACCCTGGTTGAGAAATCAATCACAAACCCGGCGGCGGAGGAGGTTGGTGCGACGAGACCGCGGTGGCGGTGTGGAAGTAAGACGCGTCGTGATGCGACGACGACGCGTCGTGGAGGAGGAGAGAGGCTGAATCGGTATGTCGGCGGGCGACCGGAGTGGAGGCTGGATCTTGTGTTGCATACGAACCCTGGTTGAGAAATCAATCACAAACCCGGCGGCGGAGGAGGTTGGTGCGACGAGACCGCGGTGGCGGTGTGGAAGTAAGACGCGTCGTGATGCGACGACGACGCGTCGTGGAGGAGGAGAGAGGCTGAATCGGTATGTCGGCGGGCGACCGGAGTGGAGGCTGAATCTTGTGTTGCATACGAACCCTGGTTGAGAAATCAATCACAAACCCGGCGGCGGAGGAGGTTGGTGCGACGAGACCGCGGCGGCGGTGTGGAAGTAAGACGTGTGGAAGTAAGACGCGTCGTGATGCGACGACGACGCGTCGTGGAGGAGGAGAGAGGCTGAATCGGTATGTCGGCGGGCGACCGGAGTGGAGGCTGTTTCTACGTGTGTGTGTGTGAAACTGTAAATATTGTGATGGAGGAGGTTGGTGCGACGAGACCGCGGCGGCGGTGTGGAAGTAAGACGTGTGGAAGTAAGACGTGTCGTGATGCGACGACGACGCGTCGTCGAGGAGGAGAGTGGCTGAATCGGTCCGTCGGCGGGCGACCGGAGTGGAGGCTGAATCTGCGTGTGTGTGTGTGTGTGTGAAACTGTAAATATTGTGATGCATACGAACCCTGTCTGAGAAAATCAATCACAAACCCTAGTACGCGCGACGCGACGCCGTCGCCGCGCGCGCCTCGTCGCTCACATCCCCGCGAGGTACTTCTTCCACCCCTCGTCCTCCATCTTCGCCGCCTTCCCGAGCACCGTCTGCTCCATGTCGTCCTGAGGGCCATTCCATACAAAAAAAAAGTTCACCGGTCAGTCGAAAGGAGTCGCGATCAAATGTTGAAACCGAGCGGTGGGTGAAAAACGTTTGTATCGCTGAACGCACCTGATATTTTTCCATCAACGCCAACGCCTCGGGTTCGTACGCGCCGACGACGCGCGCGGCGAGGAGCCCCGCGTTCGTGGAGTTCCCGATCGCGACCGTCGCGACCGGAACGCCGCGCGGCATCTGCAGTATCGAGTGTACGGAGTCCACGCCGTCGAGGTGTTTCAGCGGGACCGGGACGCCGATCACCGGCAGCGGCGTCATCGCCGCGACCATGCCGGGCAAATGCGCCGCGCCGCCCGCGCCGGCGATGATGCATCGTAACCCCCGTCGTTGCGCCGTTTTCGCGTACTCAAACATTCGCTCCGGCGTGCGATGCGCGGAGATGACCGTCACCTCGACCGCGATGCCGAACGATTCGAGCGTCTCCGCGGCCGCGGCCATCGTCGGAAGGTCGCTGTCGGAGCCCATGATGATCCCGACGCGCGCCGGTTTTTTTTCAACCGCGTCGGCGTCCCCGCCCGCGACCGCGACGATCTTATCGAGCTTCGCCTCCGCCTCTACGACGTGCGCGGCGGTCACGGTGAGATGACCCATCTTCCTTCCGGGCTTCGCGTCGGGCTTCTCGTACCAGTGCACGTTCGCGCCGTCCGTCGCGAGCGCCGCGCCCATCAGCGCGTGCATCTTTTTCATCGCCTCAGGGTCGTTCCATACGAGCGAACGTCGGGGTGGAGTTGAAAGGCGTCAGTTGGAGTTGAAAGGCGCCGAGGGCGGGGATTGGAAGCGAGGGACCCTGGGCGGAGAGAGACGACGGCGAAAGTCCTTAAGAAACGGCGTTCACCACGCCAACGCGGTCGTATGGGGACCAGTGTGAGATAGAACGCGCCTCATCGCCGTCGCCTTCGCCGAGAATGTTCTTCATGACCGCGCCGCCGACGCGCAAGGACGTGTCCCCCAACGGCCACCCTAAGATCGCGCGGACGTGGTTCTGGTACTGACAGCACGCGGTCGCCTCGATCGTGTAGTGCCCGCTGTTGTGCGGCCGCGGCGCGACCTCGTTGAGCAGGATGCGTCCGTCGGCGAGATGGAAGAGCTCCACGCCGAACACGCCGGCGCCCTCCAAGGACGCCACCGCGTTCGTCGCCGCCGCGATCGCCGCCTCCGCGGTCTTGAAGTCCACCGCCGCGGGCGTCCGCGTGATGTCGCAGATGTTGTTCACGTGCTCCGTCTCCGTCACCGGGTACGCCTTCACCTCCCCCGTCTTGGATCGGATCACCATCACGGCGAGCTCGCGTCGAAACGGGACCCACCGTTCGACGTATAACCCCGCGTCGAACCCGCCGAGCTTCGCGACCGCGTCGGCGACGTCCGCGGCGGTCTTCGCGACCGCGTTGCCCTTGCCGTCGTACGCCATGCGACGCGATTTGATCATCAGCGGGAACCCGAACGCGTCCGCGGCGGCGGCGAGCTCGGCGTCGTCGGCGATGGATCTGAACTCGCCTAGGGGCACGCCCGCCGCCGCGAAGTGCTCCTTCTGCCGGAACTTGTCCTGGATGATCGCCAGCGTGCGCGACGTCGGCTGGACGTCGACGCCCATCGCCTCCAGCTCTTCCAGCGCCGCGACGTCGATGTGCTCGATCTCCACGGTGACGACGTCGCAGTCGCTCGCGAACGCGAGAACGTCTTCTCTCGACTGGAACGATCCCTCGGTCGCGACCGCGGCGACGCTCGCGGGCGCGACCGGGTTCGGGTCCAGCGCGCGGAGGCGCACGCCCATGGGCGCGGCCGCGATGGCGAGCATCCTGCCGAGCTGCCCGCCGCCGAGGATGCCCACGTTCGCGGTGCGCTCGAGGCCGTCCGGCACGACCGCGCACGGGCTGTCGTTGGGTGGTTTTTTCTTCGCCGCGCCGGCGGCGCGGACGACGACGACGCGACGACGACGGGCGGCGGCGTAGCCGGAGGAGCTCGCGCGGGATCGCGGGTCGGCGATCGACGGCGCGCGCGAGGAGAGCGCGGCGGCGCCGAACGTCGCGGGCATCGTGCTCGCGGAGGCGCGCCGACGTGCTCCGATGGTTTGAATCTGGAGAACGATGGCGGTGCCGAGCACTCAAGTCGTTCCGCGCGGTCATCGGTATTGTACGTGAGACGAGAATCGACGAAAGCGCGTCGTGGGATCGCCGCGCGCGCCACACCACCCACGCGCGAGCGGCGGCGTCGCACGCCCTCGCACGCCCTCGCACGCACCCCGCGCGTCCTCGCGACGTCACGACCGCGCGCGCGCGTCGATCCTTCGAGGCGCAGAAGCGCGTCGGGGCGAGCGGGATAACGCATCGATCAGATTCAGATCAGCTCGCCGCCGGCGGCGCCGAGACGCGCGGCGATGACGAGCCGCCCCGCGAGCGTCCTCCTCCGCGCGGTCGCGCTCGGGTCGACGCGATGGTGTCGCGCGCGGTCCACCTCCGCGCGCGTGATCGTCGCGTCCGCGCGCGCGCGCACCGCGCCCGAGCGCGGCGCGGAGCACCCTGGCGTCAGGACGCGTCGCGTCGTCGCCGCGAGCGCGTCGTCGACGTCGTCGCGCGGCGGCGGCGGAACGTCGTCGTCGCTCGCGCGGCTGCTCCCGCGCGCGAGCGCGCGATTCTTCATCCGCGCGGCCGCGCCGTCGCCGTCCGTCGCGGCGACGGCGACGGCGCGCGCGTTCGCGCCCGCGTCGTTCCGCGGCGCGCGGCGCGTCGGCGCGCGGTTCTCCGCGGACGCGGCCGCGCGCGCCGCGGCGGGGGACCACGACGACGACGACGAGATCGACGACGACGACGAGACTGACGACGACGACGACGACGACGAGTTCGACGACGGCCTCGACGACCCTTTCGCGCACGTCGCGGCGCCGCCCATCGCGGACGACCACCCCGGACTCGCCGGCTCCGACGCCGAGTTCGAGAAGATGCTCGACGAGATGATGGCGGACGGCGAGCCGGACGACGACGCGGCGACGGACGGGGACGGGGATGGGGACCCGGATGAAGTCGATGGCGCCGCGGCGAAGTATTCCGAGCCGGGAGACGCGGCGCCGTGGCCGAGCGACGGGTCGTGGCCGGAGTGGGACGCGTTCCTCGCGCTGCTTCTGGAGAGAGGGTACGACCCGGAGAGCCCGAAGGAGAAGGCGCTGCTCGCGGGAGGAGGAGGAGGAGGCGACGGCGGGGAGGAGGGGTTGTCCACTCCGGAGTGGGCGAGGAAAGTTGCGGCGGAATCATCGGAATCCAACGCGTATTCGGCGTCGGCGTCGGAAGACTCAGACTCGATCGACGGCTTGGACGACCCGTTCGCGAAGATCGTCGCGTCGTCCGAGGACGGCGACGGCGACGGCGATTCGTCGTCGTCGTCGTCGTCCTACGAGGAAGGCGGCGTGCTCTCGTACGCGAACAAGAAGCGGCTCATCCTGGAGTGGAGCCGCGACCGCGACGACATCTTCCATCGCTGCCCCGAGCGCGAGATGTACCAGATCTGCGACCACCCGCTCCCGAGAGAAAACAACGCGGGCGGACGCAAGCAAATCAACGCCCTGAAGCGCATGCGCGCGTACCTCGGCATCGACGACGGCGACCTGCGAGGGAAGTGCGCCGCCGCGGACAGCGACGTCAGCGTCAGTCTGCGCGCCGGGACGACTGACCTCGGGAGGGTGTTGATGACGTACGCGGTCGACGTGACGGATCCATCAGGCGCGTTCTCCTTACACCGGTACCCATACGACCGCGTTCGCGCGGTGAACGCCGATCCTTAAGGACTTTGCCCGGCGTGTCTGTCCGCCCACCCCTCGCTTTCAATCCCCGCCCTCGACGCCTTTCAACTTCAACTGACGCCTTTCAACTCCACCCCGACATTCGCTTTGTATGGAACGACCCTCAGCACGGCCGCCGCGCGCGACGATGCAATCGCTGCTCCGACGGATCGTCGCGCTGACCAAGGCGGAGAAGACGACGATCCCGGAGGAGGTGTTGAACCGAGGGACGCCGGAGAAGAGGCCGAAGTGGATGGATCGGCGGGAGAAGCGGCCGCCGCGGATGGACTTCGAGAGGGAGGATCCGTACGTCGAGCATCAGCGACGCGCGTTTTCCGGCGGCCGCGGCGGCCGCGGCGGGCGATTTTCCTCCTCCGCCGGCGGCCGCGGCGGGCGAGGCGGACGAGGCGGCGGTCGCTTCGACCGCGGCGACCGCGGGTTCGACCGCGGGTTCGACCGAGGCGACCGAGGCGGGTCTCGGTTCGGCGCCCCCGCGAGGGTGGACCGCGTGCCCCCGCGGTTTGAAAACCGCGATCGTTTCGATCGAGGGGGCGGCCGCGGCGGCGGGTTCCGGGACAGGGACGCGGACCGAGCGGAGCGGTTCTCGACGAGAGAGCGCGACGAGGACTGGGGCGACGTGTCGAACTGGGACACGCGCCCGCCGCCTCGCGCGCGAAGGTTCGATGACGACGACGACTTCCGCGCGCCGCGCGGGCGCTTCGAGCGGGACGGCGACGGCCGCGGCGGAGGAAGGTTCGCGGGGAGAGGCCGCGACGACGACGACGACGAGAGAGGGTTCACGCCGCGCGCGTCGTCGTTCGACCGCGACGACGACGCGCGAAACGCAAACGCGAAGGACCGTCGGTTCGAACGACGGGTCGCGGAGCGCCGCTCGCGAAGCGCCGGCGGGTTCGGATCCGACCTCGACGGGCTAGACTTCGAGGACGACGACGCCCCGCGAGGCGCGCCGCGCGGGGGAAGAAGCGGGTTCGACCGCGAGGGGGCGCGGGGAGGACGTTTCGACGGCGGCGGCGGCGGCGGCCGCGGCCGCGGCCGCTTCGACCGAGAAGACCGCGATTACCGCGGCGGCGGGTTCCGCGACCGCGGCGGGCGAGGCGGGTTCGACCGCGACGACGACGGATACGGCGGCGGATTCCGCGATCGCGGCGGGAGAGGACGCGGACGAAACGACTGGGGGGACCAGGACGAAGGGCGCTTCGGCGGCGGGCGCGGCAGCGGGCGCGGCGGCGGGCGCGGCGGCGGCCGGTTCGATCGCGACCGCGACGACGATTACGGCGGGTTCCGCGGCGGCAGAGGCGGCGGGAGAGGCGGGTTCGACCGCGGCGGCGACCGCGGCGGCGGGAGAGGCGGGTTCGACCGCGGCGGTGATCGCGGCGGCGGGAGAGGCGGGTTCGACCGCGGCGGCGACCGCGGCGGCGGGAGAGGCGGGTTCGACCGCGGCGGCGATCGCGGCGGCGGGAGAGGCGGCGAGCGCGTGCGGATGTGGAAGCCCGGCGGCGGCGGCGGCGGCTACGACCAGTAGGCGCTAGTGTTGTTTTATCGTGCGTTGCGTTGCATTTTACAAGAATCATCGGGTTACTCTTACACCGCGGACGGACGCCGTCCATCGTCCTCCGTCTCGTCAGCGCGAGGACCTCGTGCGCGAGGACCTCGTCTCGTCCACCTCGACGCGGATCGGCACCGGCCGCGCGGAGATGTTGTTCGACGCGTCGACGCCCGGCGACGGCGGCGGCGTGTTCAACCCGCTGAATCCGGCGACGAGGACGCCGGCTTTGTACGTGAAAAATCCGAGCACCGCGGCGAGGGCTTCGCCGTACGCCGTATGCTGCCCGGTCGCGTCGATCGCCTGCGCGGCGTCGACGTGATGCGCGGCGGCGGCGCCGACGAGACCGAGCAGCAGCAGCCGCATCGGCCCGCTCGAGGCGAACGACGTCACGGCGTCGAGCGCGACGGCGGCGACGGGCCGCGCCTCGCCGCCGTTTCCGGCGGCGGCGCCTCCGCCGAGCGTGTCCACGCTCCGCGTGAGCATGTAGAGGTAGATCAACCCCACGCCTCCGCCGGACGCGAACGCTTTCATCGTCTCGAGGCCGTCGCCGCCGTGCGACAGCGCGGCGGTCACGCCGCAGCCGAGGACGACGCTCGCGCCAGTCGCCGCCAGCATTCGAAATTTCAACTCGCCGTACTCGCGCAACCCTTCCTCGCGCATCGCCGCGCGCTGCTCCGCGGTCATCCGCTTAAACTCGGAGGGCCTCAACTCGAGCGCGGCGTCGCGGCCGCCGACGAGGTCCATGCACGGGAACGACATCGTCCCCGCGTTGCCCTCGCTCGCCGCCGCCGTCGCCATCGACGACCCGGGGGAGCACGTCACCTCCACCTCCTCGAGGTACCACTCCCCGTGCGACTGAAGCGACGTCGGGGTGGAGTTCAGGGGTGCGTCAGAAGCGGAGTTGAAAGGCAACATCGCGGAGCGTGCGTCGGGATTGTGAGCGCGGGGTGGGCGGAGAGACGCGCCGGGAAGAAAAAACGCGGTCGTACGGGGACCGGCGTAAACGTGAACGCACCTCCGGCGCGATCCAGAGCGCGGCGGGCGCGCCGATGTCCGGCGCGTCGAAAGTCACCTCGTCGACGTCCCCTCTCTCGAACCGCGGGGAGGAGTACAGCGCGACGTCGCGGGAGGAGTCCGACGAGAGCGGCGTGAGTTCGGGGTACCGATCGACGCGTTGCATGAACGCTCGGCCGTCTGCGGGGCGGAGTCGAAAGGCGTCAGTTGAAAGGTGTCGCGGTGCGTCGGGATTGAAAGCGAGGGTTGGGCGGAGAGAAACACTCGCCGGGAAGAAAACTCCTTAAGGAACGGCGTGCACCGCGCGAACGCGGTCGTATGGGGACCAGTGCGAGAACGCGAGAACGCACCCGCGCCGATGAGCATGACTTGCACGCCCGCGTCAGGGGCGGAGAGGCCGCTGCCCATCTTCGAGCCCGTGTAGAAGCGGATCGTGTACTTCACGATCGGCGGCGCGTCCGGGGACGCGTCTGGTGATCACGACGGGGGTGGTGGGGGGAGGGGAAGCGGAGGGGCGATCGGTGAGCGACGGCGTCGGCGGCGGCGAGGGGCGGAGGTCGTCGCGGCGATTAAGAGAAAGCGCGCGGGAGAGATATTTTTTTCGCGCGAGAAAAGAATGAATGACGCGCGCGCACCGGAGAGACCGACGAGGGACGTCGGGACGGTGTAATCGCTCGACGTCGACGCGCGCGTCGTCGTCGCGACGCGCGCGCGGCGCGAGATCGCGCGTTTAGAGGCGCGTCTGAACGTCGCGCGGGGCGACGCGAGCGCGGAGGACGCGGCTGTCGCCATCGTCATTTGTGAACGTTGAACGGTCGAAGGAGACGAAAAGCCCGCGGGTCAATCCTTCGCGAATCTGGCGACGCGGCGCGCGCGATGCGTGCGCGCGGACGGGTCTCGCGCGATGCGTGCGCGGTGCGCGGCGGGGACGCGACGATGCGACGGCGTCGGAGCGACGTGCGACGTCGCGTGTCGCGCGCGTTGGGTTTGACCGGGCCGCGCGGGCGCGGACGCGAAAACAGCGCTTTTTAAAAGGACTTTTACGCGCGAGCGGCGAGATCGGCCACGTGGCACTTCTCGAGGCTCCAACGGCCGACACGCGAGGCCGGCCACGTCGCGCCTCGTCTCGGCACTCTCGTCGTCGCGCGCGCCGGCACGATGGCGTCGTCGTCTTCGCTCGCGCGGACGTCGCCGACGCTCGCGCGTCGTCGCGCGCGATCGTCGCCATCGTCATCGTCTTCCTCCTCCTCCCGCCGAGCCGCCCGCCGACGCGCGACGACGACGACGCCGCGCGCGTCGTCCGCGCCGCTCGGGACGCCGCTGTCGCCCCCGACCGAGATCGACCGCGCGCTGTTCGGTGACGGCGCGTACGCGCCGTCGCCGATGGACGCGTCGACGATGCAATCGCAGGGCGTCGTCCTCCTCGTCGTCGGGATCATGACCGCGTACTGGTGGTACGTCCTCGTCCCGGGCGCGAGGGTGAACCTCGCGGTGAACAAGAAGAGCGGGCGGCTCCGCGCGTACCTCGAAGATCTCAAGACGGACGACGGACGGAAGTTGGAGCGCTTCTTCTACGCGAAGTGGCTCGCGAAGGTGGACCCGGAGACGCGGTATCTACTCCGCGACGAGCCCGATGGCGAGGGCGAGGCGGGAGAGGTCGCAGCGAAGACGATGCTGTCGGACACCGAGGGCGTGACGCGCGACGTCGGGGAGGAGAGCGTCGAGGAGATCGTTCGAAGGGCGAAGAGGACGCCGAAGTTTTGGAGCGGCGACAACCCCGTGCTCGTCGGCGCCGCGCTGAGCATCGGCGCCGCGGGGCTCTTCGGCGTGATTCCGCATTAATTAGAGAGTGGTCCGCGCGCGCGTATCATAAGGTAATTATTACTAGTAGTCGTATGAATACACAAAGCGCTAAGTGCTATGATATGATATCGTGTGCGTCGCGCGCGCGCGCGTCGCGCGGTTCTTTCCTTCCTTCCTTCCATCCGCGATGTCGGGTCGGTCGATCGTCACTCTTCCTTCGCGTCGCGTCGTCGTTTAATACGACAGAGACAGCAGCCCGGCGACGCCGCGTTTGATCCAGTGATTCTGCGGCTTATCCGACGGCACCGTGAGGTTGATGACGAAGTTCGACGAGTGCCCCGTGGTGGCGAGCACGCCTCTGCGCTCCGCCGTTCGGTAGATGGGGCAGAGGTAGTGCGGGAAATCCGCGCGCTTGTCGTTCGTCGTCGGCTTGAACCAAAACACGGGCATCTCCGTGAACAGAACCTTCGGGTCGGACTCCACGAGCGCCATCTTCGTCTCGCTCCACTTGCATCCCTCGAGGAACATCCCGTCGCAGTACGCGCCGTCCGCGGGTTTCTTCGTGAAGTCGTCCGTGGACTTCATCGCCTGAAAGTCAAAGACGACGGTGTCGATCGGCAGCTTGTATTTCCGCGCGTAGTTTTGAAGCACGCCCGTCAAGAACGCGTGCGTGAAGAAGAACCCGGTGATCCAAAACATCGGCGGCGACCCTTCGTCGATCCACTTCTGCAACATCGCGATTCGTTTCAGCAACTCCGTGACGTACGCCGCGAGAGGTTTCAGCGACGGGTAACTCTTCTTCGCCCACATCGTCGGAATCTTCCCGTCGTACATCGCGTGTCCGAGCGCGTCGAGGTCGCCGGTCATCACGATCAGACCCTTCAGCGCGAGAGAAAAGTCGCCGATGGACTTGTGAATCACCGAGAGCAAGCGGTTAAACCGAACGAGCTCTTGGCAGAGCACCGAGTTCATGCTCTCGTAGTAGTCCACCGGGTACTTGTAATTCGCAACCTCGAGGTCGAACACGGGCGGGATGCTGTCTCGGATTTGCGCCGCCACCTCCGCCAAGACCTCGTCTTTGCTCTTCCCGCCGCCCGAGCTCGCGTTCCCTTGCGTGCTCAAGATGGAATCCAAGATCAAGTCCGTCTCGCCCTGGTCCTTCGTGATGTCCGCGTTGGCGTGAAGTCCGAAAACCTCCGGTTCCACCGCGATCGGCAACGATTTGAAATACTCCAAGTACGACTCGTAGTCCCCCTCCGGCGGCGCGAAGAAATTCTTGCTCGGGGAGAACGCGTACGCGTCGTCCATGACGTTGACGTGGAACGGGCCGCCGTCTTCGTCCGTGAGGATCGTCATCAACGTCCGACGGTCGTGGCCGTCCGTGACTCGACCGCCGTAGTTGCACTCGCCGACGAGGTACACGAGCGCCTTCAACGGCACGTCGAGCGGCTGGTCCGGGGACGCCTCGTTCAAGAACATCCGGAGCTGCCGCAGCGAGATTTTCAGGTCCGGGTCGTTGAAGCCGTACGGGATGTTCCATCCGAGCGGGCCAAAGTTTTTCCGCTCTTGAATGAACGCGTGGAAAAACGCGAGGCCGACGAGGAGCTTCTTCCACTCTTTCGGCCGCGAGCATCCGTCGAAAAACGCCGGGTCCGACACCGGGTCGGACGTGAACGACTGCATCATGTTCGCGCGCATCCCCTTCGGAGGCTCGTTCGTCATCTTGATGCCGTTCTGAAGCACCGCGACGGGGAAGTGCGGGGACGGATACGACGTCAGCCAGATTCGAAACGCTTCGTGCGGCGGCTCGTCGTTGGTGACGAACTCCTCGCAAATCCGATCGAGCGTCGTCATCCACGACACCGCGAGGTGACAGTTCTGCAGGACGACCCACGAGCCCTTCGCGGACGCGTCCTTGATGAGCTTCTCCGCTTTCGCGCCTTGCCCTTGCCCGAGCGACAGCGACTCGAGGTGGATGCCTTTCGAATCTCCGTACTTTAGAAGCGCGTCCATGGGGTCGGACCCCGGGGAGAGCACGAACACCAACGGCGTGAAACACGTCGAGTCGGCGTAGCACTGATCCAGATCGAACGGCGGCGGCTCGATGAACTTCCGGCCCATGCTCGCGTCGACGTAGAGCTGAATCGCGCGCGTGAGCTTGTCCGGGCGAATCGTGCGCAGGACGAGGAGCTTCTGAAACGCGTCGAGGTCGGATCGCCACGGCTCCGGGATGTCCTCCGTCTCGGGCGTCGCGCTGTCGTAGACGTGCTTCCACGCCGCGGGGTCAGCCTGGAACATCTCGCAGAACGACGGCTTCTTCTCGCGCGCGTCATCAGGCTCCGGCTCGGGTTCGGGATCCGGTTCCGCCGCGGGCGCGTCGGCCGGGGCGTCGCCGTCCGCGACGGCGACGTCTTCGGGCGTCCCCGGGGTCTCCTCCCGCGGGAGCGGCGGCGGCGCGCCGCTAAACTTCGGCAGGTCGCTCAGGCGCATCATCTCGAGCCAGAGCTTCTCGCTCAACCACTCGCACGGGATGTTCTCCGACCCAGCCTTGTTCCCCAAACCGCCGGTCAACAAGAACCGGTACTCGGTCGGGTCCAGCGTCCCTTTGTACCCGAAAATCGTCGCCGCGAGCGTGAACGAAAACAGCAGCTTGTCCTTCTCGAACAACGACCGGCAGATGTTCTTGTACAGCGAGTACGTGAAAAAGTCGATGAGGTTATCGAGACGTTCGGTCAACTCGGACGACTTCTCCGCGTGCTCGATCGCGTGCGTGAACAGGTTGACGTACCACGCGAGCGAGTACTGGTACATCGGCTCGATGTTACACAGCTCTCCGACGTTGAAGAAGAGGTGCGCGACGTGAATCGCTACGGGGCGGTATCCCAGGCGCGTGGCGTCGATCTTCTCCTCCGTCTTCGCGGCGATCTCCTGCTTCCGGTTGATCTCGTTCGAGAGCTCCTTCGCGCTCGAGATGACGTTGATCGCGGTCTCGGACTCGAGGATGCTGCCCTCGCTCGAGCCCAAGACTTCGATGATCTTGTCTTCGACCTCTTTCAGTTGCCGCGCGTTCTCCGCGCCCTGAAGCACGAGCTTCACCTTCTCCTCTTCGAGGTCGGGACGCTCTTTCGCGACCGCGATCCCGAGGAGTTGATCGGTCAAACCGTCGATCGTGATCATCATGTTCAGCAGCGTGACCTTGACCGAAGTCTCGGGGAGGTAGTGCGGGTTGCGGAGCTTGGACGTGATGTAGAACCGAAAGTTTTCGTGGTACTCCACGGTGTTGTCTCCGAGCTTGATGCACATGCTGCCCCCCTGCTTGAAGACGCTCTTCAAGAGGAGCGGCTCGAGCGTCGGGTCGAGCTCTTCGCCGACGTTCTCGAGCAGCACGGGGAACCCGAATTGGATCGAAGATTCGAGCTTTCGTATGAAATCGCCGTCGGTCAGCTTGACCACCGCGAGCGAGTTCTTCTTCTCCATGTTTCGAATCCACTTGTTCGCCTGCCCCTGCGGGTCGATGATGAGCGGCCACCGCCGCGACTTGCTCATGACGATCGCGTTGTCCACGCTGAACGAGTCGTTCGGTAAGCCGTCGATCGTCCAGTCGCGGATCTTCACCGGCTCGCCGAGCACGGTCGCGAGCTTGAACGCGCTCGCGCACGGCACCTCCTTCTCCTCAAGCGCCTCCTTCCACGATTGCAAAACTTCTTCGCGGTACGGGAGCGTAAACGCGCCGAGATAGGCGATGTACCCCGCGCATATGAGCACGTCCCCGGTGAGGTTGGCGTAATCCACCGCGAGTTCCGCGGCGACTTCTTTCCATCGCTCCTTCTCCCCGCCCAACCCGCCGATGAGCTTCTCCGCGCGCTCGAGCTTCTTTTCGCACATCACGACGTCGTTCTCGAGCTGCACCTTTTTCGCCTGCATCGCCTCGAGCTTATCGTTCAGCGCCTGAAGCTTGTCCTCCACCTCTTGAAGCTTCGCGCGCTTCTCGTTGAGACCGTCCATGAGCACGTTGTACTCCGCCTCCGCTTCCGCGAGTCTGGCCTTCTTGGGGGCGACGACTTTCGCGACGCGGTCGTACGCCTCCATCGCGCGGGCCCAACAACATAAACCGTACGCGGCTTTGGACGCCTTCAGGATCACCTCGGGCTCGAACTCCGGCATCGCGATGAACGGCTTGATCGCCTTGATGATTTTCGGGTCCATGTTGTCCTTGTCGTACTCGTGCAGAGACGGCAGGAAGCTCGTGTCGCCGAGCAGTTTCTGCGACGGACCCCAGTAATCCGGGACTTTCTTCAAGCCGCCCTTCGGGTCCTTGACCATGTCCGGTTTGATGCCTTTCAGGATGCACACCGCCTCCATGACGAGCTTCACCCCCGACGGCGGGTTCTTCATCGCCTTGACCTCGGTCACGTCCGCCTTGGTCAGCGTGTTCAGCGCCTCGAGCGCGGCTTCGAGCATCGGAATCGCGACGGAGAGCTCCTCCTCGCACTCGTCTTTGATCGCCTTGGCCTCCGCGGCTCTCTCCGCGGCGAACGCCTCGTCCTTCGCGACGACTTCTCGAACCTTATTCGCCTCGACCGTCTCCTCGGCGACGATGACGAGGATCTCGTCGGTCTCGACCTGCGTGCGTTCGAGCACGGGGCCGAGCGCGATGAGCTCTTCTTTCATGACGCCGACCTGGTCCTCCGCGTCGAAAATTTGCGCGAGACCGCTCTCGTAACGGTTCCGCAACGCGCTCACGGACGAGCGTTTCTCCGCGAGTAACGTCTTGTACGTCCCGATGAGCTCGAGGTACGACGTCGGGGTGACGTAGTAGAAGCGGCCTTGATCGGAGAGGAATTTTTCCGCGAGCGTGCGCACGGACTGGTGCATCATCTGACAAATCTCGATGCACGCGTCGCGCGTCTCTTCTTTTTCCATCTCGACGTCTTTGAGAAACTGCGACGCGACCGACTGCAGCGCGTCGGACGGCCACTCGCTGAACCAGTCGATCGTGCAGCAGTTGACGAGCGACGGGAACTTCCGAAGGCGCTCGCGGAACGCGTCGCCGACGGGGGACATGCACAGCACCATGTGCAAGTTCGCGCGGCACTGCTGCACGAAATATTGGAAAAGCTCCGCCATCGTGCCGTCGGGCGCGCCCGCCTTCTTCGCCCTGACCGCGACCATGTCGCACACCTGCGCGGTCTCGTCCTTCGCGAACAAGTTGGGCACCTCGCCGGTGTTCAAAATGTTGTTGATGTCCTCCAGGAAACTTTCGAGCTTGATCTGCGTGTCGTTGAACAAAAACACCGTGGGTTTCCCCTCCCCGCCCGCTTTCCTGAGCACGCTCTTCAGGTCTTCGTGCCACTCGAACACGCCGTACGACTTCGAGATGGCGATGCTGTACACCGCGTACTCGGACATGTACGCCGCGATCCTCGTCAGCGATTGCCTTCCGGACCCGCCGACGCCGACGAGGAGCGCGTTCCCGAGGTCTTGACGAATGACGCGAGAGATCCGGCAGATGTGCTCGGCGGCGTAGAGAAAGAGGACCAAGTCCATTCGCGTCTTGGACTGTTGGTTGTAATCCACCAACTGCTCCTCGACGACGGAGAGGAGATTGGGAACGTCGAGCACCTCCGCGTAGGCTTGGTCGCCCTCGACGAAGTCCGCGAACATGAGCTTGCGGAGTTCGACGATGTCGATAATGCCGTTATCGTCCGCGTCGAGGTGCGCGAACACCTTGTCGAACTTCAACCCGCTGTGCTTGTCGACCATCTTGCGAATGAAATCGAAAAACCACAGCCGGTCCTCGTCGTTCACGAGCCTGTCGTGAAACACGCGCAAATTCTCGTGCGCCCACAACCGGACGAGCTCCGGGACGTCCTTCGGCGGCGCGCCCACCATGGACACGCCCTGCCACACCTTGGATATGTCGCGCATGTTGTACGTGTAGTGCGACTTGGCCGGCGTCGGCAGAAGCTCTCTCTTGATCGTGTTGTAAATCTCCAACGTCGCCTTGACGAGCGTCGACGCCTTCCCCATGACCTCGGACGAGAGCTGCGCGCGGTCTCCCCACCACTCCACGATCGCGGAGTACACGCGCGTGAGCGACGCGTCGTCGAAATCGCACACGGATATCGTGTTGAAGTGGCGAAGCAGACGCGGGGTGACCGGGTTCCGCCCGCCGCCGGGCGGACCCATCGCCGCGGCGAACTGAATGTCCACGAGCTTGCGCATGACGAGCTCGCTTCGGTCGTACCACCCGCCGTGATCCATGAACTGCCGCAAGAGTTCTATCGGCGGCTGCGCGCCGTACTCCTCGAGCTGCGGCATGTTCAGGTCGTCGATGAAGATGACCGCTTTCGTCCCGAACGGCGGGCCGAAGATGCCTTTGCGTCGCTTGTCGAGCTTCCCGTCGATGATGTCCTGGATTTGGTTCGCGTTCGTCTGCGCGCTAAACGTGCTGCTGATGCTCGTCCACTTGCTCCGGTCCTGCGAATTCAGAGCCTGCTTGATGTACACCGTCTTCCCCGTACCCGTGGGGCCGCCGAAGAGGACGTGCTTGCCGTGCGTCGTGAGTAAGTCGAACAGGTAGCGATACCGCACCGTGTCCACGGTGGTCACGACGATGTTTTGAAAGTCCAACTCCGGGTTCAACGGCTCCGCCTTCGTCGTCTCCAGCCACGGGCGCCAGCCCATGAGTTCTTTGTTGAAGAAGAAGTTGTACACCGTCCCGGCTTTCGCCGCGGGGAGCGGTTTCCCGAGCTTCTTCGCGGGAGGCGTGATCGTCAGCCCTGGGCCGAGGTCAAAGTCCTTGCGCTCCTCGGACTTGTCCACGCGGTTTTCGACGAGCGCGCGGAAAAAGTGGTCAAACTTGATCCGCCCAGCCGTCTCCGTCGTGCCGCCTATGGACCATATCGTCGCGAACAAGAACGAGCAGTCGATAAAGTTGATCTGATGCTTCTCCTCGACCTCGCAAGGCTCGGCTTTGAACTCGTCGATCATGCTCTCGAAGATGTTCATCAGCGCGAACGGGAGGTTGATGTCCGACGTCGGAATCAGCTCTTTGCAGTTCTTTCGAACGAACCGCATGCACGGCTCGACGAGCCAGGCGAATAATTCCTCGATCCGCGGCTTGTGCGTCTCGAGGCTCGCGGGGAGGGTGTTCATCCACGACTCCTTGAGAGGTTCCCAGCCCATCATCGACGGCTCGACGTACACCATCCCGCACCGCGACACCGTCGCCGGGGACGCGACGGCTAAATCTTGCACCTCGAAGATCATGTTCATCGAGTTGCTCATCGCGATGATCTCGCCAGACATGAGACACAGCTTCTTGTTGTCGTCCAACACCGTGTTCATGTTCTCGATCCAGATCGCGTCTACCGGTCCGTCGAACATGACCCACTTGCGGTCCGGCGACGTGTCCACCGCGCACTGGCGGTACTTCGTCGCGAGGATGCCGTCCTGCCACTCGTGCGAGACGGGATCGAACTGTCCGTAGAGCTGCCCCATGTAGATGCTCTTCGGGTTGATGACGACGATTTTCACCTTGTTCTCTTCGAGTAAACCCTTCCCGTTCAGATCCTTCAGCGCGCCCGCGAGCATCCTGTACATGGACGTCTTCGCGCCGTAGGAGTATCCCACGAGCATCAGACCGTGGCGCACGAGAATCATCTCGTACAGCTGGAACGTCTTCTCCATGAACACCGGCGTCGGCTGCAGGTTCGCCTTTTCGCACTCAGAAAGAAGCGACGCGCGCATGTGGTCGTAGTCCGGCTCCGGGAGCTCCACGCCAGGGAACAAATCGCTCAGGATGTTGTTAAACAGCGGAATGTCCGGCGCGAGAAACTTCGGGAGGTTGACGTCCTTCAACGAGATCAACATCAGGATGCTCTCGTCTTGGTCCGGGTATTTCAACTTCACCGCGCCCGCGGCTCTGAGCACGGAAATCACCGCGCGCATGCCGTAATCGTAATGCGACTGACTCGAGAGCTGCTCGGAGCACAGTTTATACGTGGCGACGAGCTTGATCGCGAGCGCGCGCGCGTCCAAGTACCCGCACGAGTACAGCATGATCTCCGCGATCATTGCGTAGTCGGGGACCATCATCGCGACGGTGCGAAACAACGCCTTGAGGTTATCCGGCAGCTCGGAGCGGCCGGCGTACCCGGGGTTCATCGTGATGAAGACGTTACACGTCCGCCGAAGCGGCAGCATCGTGCCTTCGAACTCGAACACGAGCTGTCGCTGCGCTTTCGCGCGCGTGATGGTTAAGATCTGCTGCGCGATGACGGATAAAACCTCGAGGTCGATCCGGTTGAACTCGTCGAAGCACGCCCACGCGCCCGACGCGGCGAGGCCTTTGAAAAATTTCGCCATCGCCAGGTAGTCCAACCCGTCCGAGCAATTGAACACGACGCACTGCATCGCGATCGCTTTCGCGAGATCTTTCGTGGTCTCCGTCTTTCCCGTGCCCGCGGGGCCCTCGGGCGCACCGCCGACGTCGAGGTGCACCGCGCCCATGAGGGTTCGGTAGCACCGATCCGTCAGAGGCGTGATCACCAGCCGCGACGAGTTGCCTAAATATTCGTTCCCGTAGGGAATAGCCGCGTTGATCATTCGCACCATGACCGCCTTCTCGCCGTCGATCGTGTCCCAGGTGTACCGTAACTGCGACGCCCACTCAAAATCGTCCGGGGTGGGGACGTTCTTCGCCGCGAGATCGGCCACGACGTCTCGAGCGTGGACTTCCAACACCACGAGCGCCGAGAGCGTCTTGCGCTGCAACTTGGTCAGGTTCCCTCTGACCTTCTCGACGATGTCCATGAGCTGATCGCTGCACATCTTCGCGTGCGCGGGCATCTCGCCCTTCGTGATCGCCTCCTCCGTCTGCGCGGTCCAGTACAGCGACCCGATGCACAACACGACCTGGCCGGGCCACTTCACCATCCAGTCCGTGCGCTTCGACGTCGCGTACGCCTCGGAGGATTTCACGCACACGTCCGCGACGGTTTCGCGTTGCGCGGCTTCGCACTCGATGAGCCACTTCTCGACGTTCCCGCCCGCTTTTTTCGGGTTGAAGCTGTTTTTGAACTTGACGCGTTCGCCTTCTTCGGATAACATCGCGGTGACTTCGAGGTTTTTCTGAAACTCCAGGAGGTTGATCGCTTCGAAGACTTTCTTCAAAAACGGCTGCACGCGCAGCGGGTCCTTCGTCTCCGAGAGAATCTCGAGGAGCTCGTCGTTGGAGAGGAAATAAAAACGCGGAAACGCGAGGCGTTTCGTTTCCAGGTACTCCGACAACCCCTTGTTCACCTCGTCGAGCAGCCCGTTGGATTTGTTCAGCGTCGCGAGGAGCTCCTCGTCGCTGCCGACGATGATAACCTCCGCGGTGACTTCGAGCTTGAGCATCGTCTTCCGCCACGTCGTGTCCACGGTTTTGAACTTTCGCCCCTCGGTCGGCATCTGCGACATGATGTCGTCCGACCCGAAGATGGGCTCGAGGTACAGCCATCCGTTCTGACACTTCAACCACGCGTCCATGACCTCTTGTATCGTGTTGATCTTCGCCTCCCACAGCTTCACGCGGTCTTCGAAAGGACCGATGTACGGCGACGAGCGCATCGACTGCGTCTTCACGATTTGGTCGTCGAGAAGCATTTGCGTCTCGTCCAAGCCCTTGAGGATCGTGCTGCCCGTCTCTCTCCACGGCGCGGTCTCGAACACGATACCGGTCCAGTCGCCTTGCATCTTATCCAGCGTCCTCTCGAGCGAGTACTCCTTGCTCGCGTTCTCGGAGACGCCTTCGATGACCTCGAGGTGCGCGGGGAGATCCAACTGCAACGCGCGCGCGATGCTAAAGTCCTTATCCGCCTTCACCGCGAAGCCAACCTTCTCGCTGATCGTCGCCCAGTGACGGTCGCGGAGACCGGGGTTGCGCATCGCCGCGATGAGCGGCATGCGCTCGCGGAACTCCTCGATCTCCCCCTTGAGCGTCTCGCCCACGGTAAGCGGCGGGCCCTTCAAGTTTTTGATGATTTTCAAGAGCGCTCTGTACCAATTGTCGATCTTGTTCGACATCTTCTCCGGGTCGAGCGACGTGAACGGCCCCGTCATCCACTGCGGGACCGTGTTCGTGAAGTCGCCGCACAGCGCCCACATCGTCTTGTACGGCTCGAACGCTTTCGTGACCATGACGAGCTGTGGATAGTCCGTCTTCGGAAGCTCGAAGAGTTCTTCCCGCGACGCGTACAGCGCCGCCTCCGCGCCGAGTCGTTTCAAGACGTCGTCGATGTCCTGCGATTTGATCACGCTGTCCTCGACGTCATTGAAGTCGCCCGTGCTCACGAACTTGTCCACCTCGATCCCGATCTCGTCCGTGTCGTCGGAGAGCTTCCGCTGATCGTTCTTCAGCTGCTTCTTGAACGTCTTCTTCCACTCCTCTACCTTTTCGTCCGTCCCGGCGAGAAGCTTGAGCATCACCGCTGGCCACATCACCGCGGACCAGTACGTCTCGACGCTGTCGTTCGACAGCACGTGACCGTTCGTTTCGAACACGTCGTTCATCTCCCCGCAGACGATCGTCTCTTCTCTGATCTTCGCCATCTCCTTGTGCGCGTTGATGCAAAACTTCATGAGCGCGTCGAGGTCCTCCGCGGTATCGCAGTCGACTTCTAAACCTTTCGCGAATTTCGTAAACTTGTCCACGATTTCGCGGTTGATCGCGTCGAACTCGTCGTTCAGCTCGGTCAAGAGCGCCGTTCGGCGACCGAGCGCGGTGTCGATGAGCGACGTCTTGATCGGCTTGCAGTCCGCGCCGATCATGCGGAACGGCACGAACGTCTCCGTGTGTCGGTCCACGGTCACCGCGAGCGCGGCGAGGCGCTTCACCTCCGCGTCGATCTCGGGGAGCGTGAGCTTTTTCTTCTCCTTCGCCGCGGCGGCGGCGGCGTAGTCGTCGTCGCCCTCGTCGTCCTCTTCCTCCTCGACGACGGGCTGCGGCGGCGGCGGCGCGGCGGCGGCTTCGCCTTCGGCCGCGGGCACGGCGTCCGCCGCGGGCGCGGTGTCGCCCTCGGCGGGCTTCTCCGCGCCGGCTTCGGCTTCGGCTCCGGCGCCCTCCGCGGGCGGCGGCGCCTCCGCCGCCGCCTCCGCGCCCGCCTCGCCCTCCTCGACAGCTTCCGGCTCCGGCTCCGGCTCCGGCTCCGGCTTCTCCATGAGCTCCTCGAACTGCTCGTACGTCTTCGCGAGCTCCCTCGGTCCTTTGAAATTCTCCGCGACGACGTCTCGAATAATCTCTCGAGCCTCTTTGATCGTCGGCTCGTCGTCCGCGGGCGTCGCCACCGGCTCCGGCGGCGCCGCGTCGTCGTCCAGCTCCCCGCTGTCCTTCGCGAGCTCGTCTCTGACGTCGGCGATGCCTCTGACGGCGGCGAGCGCGTCGTCGAACAGCGCGAGGACGACGTCATGGACCGTCTGCAGCGGCGGATCGAACGCGGGCGCGCCGTCGCGGACGACGAGGTCCACCCTCAGAAACGGGAGGTGGTAGTTGACGACGGCGGCGACGGCGGCGTCGCCGCCTTCGAACCGCGACCAAAAGTCGCGGAACCCGGTCACGCTGTTGAGCACCACCGTGCGAATCTGGTCCTTGATCGTCAGCGATATTTGGCGGACGAACCGCGGCATCGTTCGCTCGCGCGCCGCCGCGCTCGCCGCCCTCGCGTCGCGGTCCTTCTTCGGAATGGACTCGTGGAGCATGAGCGCCTCGTGCTCCAAATCTTGCAGCGCGCCCACCGTCTTCGCCACCATGCTCGACTTGAGCGCGTCCTCGCACGCCTCGAGGTGGTTCCGTTGGTACTCCTCGTACGTCTTCAGCGTCATCGGCGCGCGGAGTTTACTCAGCGCCGAGCCCGGGGCGTCGTCCGCGTCGATTAGCGTGAGCTCTCTCGCGTCGATGTCTCGGTAAAACTTTTGCGCCGTCGCGAGGTACATCTTGTCCGCGACGGGTAAAGACGCGATGACGTCGTCCTGCACGTCGTAGAACGGCCGCTCGCCGTCGTATTCCGCGCACGCGCGCGCCGGCGTCGGCGGCGCGAACTTGATCTGCTCGACGCCGTCTCGCTCGCGCATCCGCTTCGCCTTGTTCGCGACTCGAAGATCTAGGTCCACGACGGATCGCTTCACCGCGCGGCGGTAGTCCTCTCGCGCAGCCTCGATCTCCTCGTCCACGACGTGCGGGAGCGCGCACGCGAGGTCCCAGTCGCTGCCGCGCATCACGCGGCGTTTAAACTCCTCGTTTAATATCGCGCGGTCGTCGTTCGTAAACGACTGCTTCTCGACGAAGGCGTGATACCGACTCCGCGCTTCGTGCCGCTCGCGCATCGTCATCGCCGCCGCCAGCCTCGTGCGGAACCGCGGGCGCGACTCCGCGTCGAATAGTACGTTCAATCGCTTCACCTTCTTGCGCGACCCCGGAGTTTTCTTCCACTCGATGAGAAACGTCTCGTCCGCCTCGTCGTACGCGACGGCGTAGCACGGCTCCCAACTGAACTGCCCGTGCTGCGAGTAATACCGCGACTTCGCCGCGCTCCCGGGCGCGTCGCGCTCTTTATCCGCCTTCTCCAGCCAGTCCGTCATCGCCTTCGACGTCTCGAACTCGGGGTCGTCGAACCACTCGAGCGGCGCCGCGGTGTCCACGTTCAGCGGCAGCTCCGCCGTCGTCGGCCGCACGCGGTGGCCCTCCTCCGCGCCGTCGTCGCTTGGCACCCATCGAAACGCGCCGCCGAGGATCGGATCTTCCGACGCGTCGCCGCCGGCGACGGCGCGCGAGGGCATCGTCGCCGTGTGCGGCGCCTCGGTCCAGTCGCCGGGGAGTCGCGGCGGGAAGCGGCCGACGCGCCCCATCGACGCGTCGAACCCGGCGTCCGCGGTCGGCCGCTCGTCGTCGTCGCGGTCGCCGCCGGCTATGCGTTCGCCGCCGCCGGTCGCGCGTTCGCCGCCGCCAGCTGTGCGTCGCGTCGTCGGGACATGCAGGCGCTCGATCGACCCGTTCACGAGCCCCGGGTAGTTCTCCTCGCTCGAGTCGGACGGCGAGACCGACGAGCGGCGCGCCTCGACCGCGGCGGCGAGCCGCGCGCGTCGCGTCGAGGCCTCCGTCGGGGTCGTCGGCCGCACCGTGCCGGTTCGGAACTCCGCGGGGAGCTTCACCTTGTACACCGCCATGTCGTTCGCGACCACGCCCTCGACGCCGCTGCGGTGGGAGGACGGCGCGGCGCGGCGGGTGAGAGGAGGACGGAGGAGGGACGATACGATCGCGCGCGAGGGGCGCGCGGAGGACGAGGAAGGACGAGCGATGGACGAGCGATGGACGATCGCGGACTGCGAGGCGAGGGAGGGAGGAATGCGCGACGCGCGGAGGATCGATCGGATCGCGCGGGATGGGGCGCGCACCGTCGGCGCTTCGCCGCATCGCGCTTCTGCTGGAGGCTCTGGCCGATCATCTCGGCTCAGCGCGCGCGACCTCAGCGAACCGGGAGGTCTCGACCGCGCGCGCTCGACGCGGACGCGCGCGCCCCGCGGTCGCGCGTCGTCGAAAACGCGAAGAAGACGTCCGCCTGGCGCGACTGGGGTCGCCGCGGTCAAGTGGAAGCGCCGAGCCGACCGCGCGCGAGCGTCTTGGCGTTCGGCGTCCACCCCGCGCGCGCGACGTCGCTCGTCCCGCCCGGTCTCGATCCTAATCTCCGCGCGACCGTCGAGGCTCGCGGGGGGCCTCAACGCGCTGGAGTGTGCCCTGGCGCGGCGACCGTCTTGCCGTTGATGCTCATTTTGGGCGTCGTCGCTGCAGTGATGAGCTTGGCCAGAGACCACGCGTTCTGACTGGTTCGCATACGAAAGGGCGGAGTACACGGATACATTTGTATGCACAAACGGTGAGGTCGACGTTACGCGTTTCGTTTCGAGGAAAACACGCACGCGGCGAAAAGTGTCGACGACGATTGAACGCGCGGCGCCCGCGCACTCTCGCGCGCGCTCGACTCGCTCAAGGTGCGACCCCTCCCGTCGTCCCCTCCCTCCGCCCGCGCGCGTCCGCCTCTCTCCCCTCCCCCCTCGCGTCGCTCGCGCGCCGACGTATCTGGGGAGCGCTAGGCCGGGTCCCTAGGGAACCGCGCGAATGCGCGCTCCCTTCATAGCTCGGCGCAGATTCAACGTAGGGTACGCCGCGACGAGCGCGCGGGGCTTTCCCCTCGCGCGCTCTACTTCATCGCGACCCACATCACTCGCGCGCGCGCGGAGAACGCCGGCGTCGTCGTCGTCGCCGCCGCCGCCGCCGCCTCGTCGTCCCGCCGCTGACGTCGCTCGCGACCCCCCGCGTCTTCGCCTCGATCCTCGGCGCAGCGGCGGTCACAAAAGTCGGCGGCGGCGGCGAACGAGCAGAGAAGAGACTAAGCGACGCACGATGTCGTCGTTCGCGTGCCGCGCCATCGCCGCGCGCCTCGTCACCGCGGCGACGAGGCGCCGCGGCGCCGGCGTCTCCCTCGGGCGCCGAACGTCCCCCCCCGTCGCCATCTCCACCTCGCGCGGGCTCGCCACGACGTCCCGCACCGCCGCCGCCGCGGACGGCGACGCGGCGACGAAAAGCGAAGGCGCGCGTTCCGAAGACGCTCAGCAGACGCTCGCGGAGGTCACGAAAAAGCTCATGGACTGCCGCAAGCGCAAAGCCGCGGCGAACGCGGTCGATCTCCTCGTCGGCCTCGGCCACGCGGGCATCCAGCCGGACCTCCTCGCGTCCACGGCGTGCCTGGGCGCGTGCGTCGCCGCGGGGAAGATGGACCTCGCGTTGAAGGTGTTCGAGGAGGTTTTCGACAAGGGCGTCGTGAAGCCCGACGAGGTCGTCTTCACCGAGCTCATCCGCGGGCACCTCCGCGCGGACCCCCCGGCGTGGGCGCGGATCACCGGGCTGCTGAACCGCATGCCCGAGCACGGCGTGAACCCGACGGCGCTGACGTATAACCTGCTGCTCGCGAGGTGCGCGGACGATAACGAGCTCGAGCGGGCGGAGGCGCTCGTGGATCGAATGGCGGACGACGGGATCGAGCCGGACGGGTGAGACTGCTTCCCATACGACCCCGTTCGCGTGGTGCACGCCGTTCCTTAAGGACTTTTGCCGTCGTCGCTCTTCACCCGCGCTTCCCTTTCAACGTTTGACCGGTAAGACGTTCGACTGACCGATCGCTTCACCCACCCAGCCGGACGCTCGACGCGGTGAAGAAGCGGCGGAGCATTCGATCGTACGCGAAGAAGGTGTTGACGCTTTAGGGTGGGGGGTCGTTGAAGCTGCTTTAGGACATCACGTATCGATCGCGCGACTTGTTAGTAATATCCCTTCGCGCTTGTATTAATCTGGTATTAATCGTTGGAGGATGAATCACCGCGCCGCCGCGACCGCCGTCGCCGCGTCGCTCGTCATCACGCGATCATGGCCTCCGGCGCGTCCGCCGCCGTCGCCGCGGCGTCGCGGACCCACACCTTCGCCTTCCTCCCCCCCGGCGTCTTCGGCGCGGCGAACGGCCTCGCGTCCGCGCGCATCAGCGCCGCGGAGTTGGACGCGGCGTCGTCGACGATGCCGACGCCCCTCGTGAGCGTCGGCGTCTTTCCGCCGAACGCCTCGAACGCCCCCTTTCCATTTCCACCCTCGGTCGCCAACTTCATCGCGCGCTCCACGGACGTCGCGGACGCGAACTCGATGATCACCGCCCCGCCGTCGGTCGTCACGACGTCGCTCGCGCCGCCGCCGATCGCGGCGCCCTCCACGCGCGAGCGCCTGACCGCGCCGCACCTGGAGAAGACTTTCTCCGCCGCCTTCACCGTCGTCCCGCGCGGCAGCCCGCTCACGCGAACGCCGCACTGCGCCGGCGTCGCGTTGACGTGGTCGATGACCGCCTTGTATACGGTCTGTTTTCGCGTCATCTGCTTCATCTGGTTCGACACGATCTTCATGCGTTTCTTGATCTCCGCGAGCTCCCGCTCCGCGTCCGTTCGATCGTCGTGGTGATGGCGCTGGCGCTTCTTGGCGTTCGTCGTCGCGTTCGACGACGTCCCCGCCGCCGCCGCCGCCGCCGCGTCGTCGCCGTCGTCGCCGCATCGTTTATACTCGGGCTCGTAGTCGAACCGCGCGTCCGCGTGCGGCGGCGCGGGCGCGTTCTTCGCCGCCGCCGCCGCCTCGGTCGTCGCGGAGCGGAGAATATCGACCGCCGCGCGCGTGCGCGTCGGCTCGCGTCGCGTCCGACGACGATCGTCCTCTTCCTCGTCGGCGTCGGCGTCGGCGTCCATCTTCTCGCCGCCGCGGAAACCGCCGCGTCTGGCCTCTCGCCCGCCCTCCTTGAACGCCCTCGCGAACATCGCGGCGCCGCCCGCCGCGGCGGCTTTCGACCGCGCCCTGCGCTCGATCTCCTCCTCGTCGTCCGTGCCGTAGTCCGGCACGAGCGCGTCGTCGTCGCCGCCCTCCGCGAGGGGGAGCGCCTCCGCTCGAAACCCTCCTCCGTCTCCGTCTTCCGTCTCGTCTCCGCGATAATGCCCGCCGTGCTCGCGCGGATCGCCGGGCCCCCTCGCGTCGCTCCACCGCGGGCCCCTCTGGTCGCGGTCGTCGTGCCCGAGTCCGCCGCGGCTTTTGCGGCGGACGACGACGACGCGAGGCGCGCGTCGAGACGCCGCCGGCGGTTTAAACGAATCTCGGTCGTCGCCGCGTCTGCCGTCGCGTCGGTCGCGCGAGGACCATCGCCTCGCGCCGCCGCCGCCGCCGCCGCCGCGGCGGCGGCGGTCGCGCTCGCCGCGCGACTGCGACCGACGTCGGCGCGACCGCGACCGCGACCGCGACCGCGACCGCGACCGCGACCGCGACCGCGACTCGGACGCGCTGCTGCTGCGCGAGCGGCTGGACGAGCGCGAGGATGCGCGCGGGCGTCGGCCGCGTCGGATCGCGTCGTCGAAAACGTCGTCTTCGTTCTTCTTCTTCTTCTCCGAGTCCGTCTCCATCGCGGCGCCGTCGCCGCCTCTATCGCCTTCGCCGGCGCCCTCGGCGCCGCCGCCGTTCAACTCCGCGTACGCGCTCCTCTCCTTCCACAGGTGCGTCCAGAGCCATCGCGCGAACCCCGGGGCGTCGTCGCCGAGGAAATCGTGCAGATCCTCCGCCGCGCGCTCGAAGTGTTTCCCGTGCTGCACGAGGACGACGACGTACTCCGCGAGCGACGCGTCCGACTGCGCGCCCAAGACTTTCTCGAGCTTCGCGTTGACGACGCCGTGGAGCTTCGCGGCCGCGGCCGCGGTCGTGAACTTCACCGGCGGCGCGCCCGTGTACGACGCCATGGCGTTGTGACGACGACGCGCGAGCAGGGCGAGGCGAATCTCGGAAGAAGACGAAGGACTTCTGTTAGAGTTTGACTTCTGAAATGAAAGGACTCATCAGATCTCGTCGACGGCTTCTTCCAAAGGGGCGCGCGCGCGACGGTCTTCTCTCCGCGGTCGACCCCACCCACCCCTCCTCCTCCTGCTCCTCCTCCGCGCTGTTCCGATGTTCGGCCGCTTCGGGGGCGGCGGCGCGTTCGTCGCGCAGTACCGCGTCTACCCCGTGTCATTCATCGACCGACCGCAGCTCGAGAACGGCGACAAGGTCATCCTCCCTCCATCCGCGCTCGATCGACTCACGCGCGCGGGGATCGACGAGTTCCCGATGCTCTTCGAGATCACGAACGTGAAGCAGAAGAAGAAGACGCACTGCGGCGTCTTAGAGTTCGTCGCGGACGAGGGCGTCGTCTACCTGCCGTACTGGATGATGCAGAATCTGCTCCTCGCCGAGGGCGACGTCGTCAAGTTTCAGAGCGCGAAGCTCCCGAAGGGATCGTACGTGAAGCTGCGGCCGCACACCAAGGACTTCATGGACATCTCCAACCCGAAGGCGGTGCTCGAGACGACGCTGCGCTCGTACACGTGCCTCACGAGCGGCGACTCCATACTCATCTCGTACAACAACAAGCGGTACTTCATCGACATCGTGGACGCCAAGCCGGCGCCGGCGATATCCATCGTGGACACGGATTGCGAGGTGGACTTCGCGCCGCCGCTGGATTACGTCGAGCCGGCGTTCGAGAAGCCCGCGGAGGCGCGGGCGGCGGCGGCGGCGGCGGCGGCGGCGGCGGCGGGAGGAGGAGGCGCTGAGGGTGCCGATGGGGGTGCCGAGAAGGGCGGCGAGATCGCGCCCGCGGAGGCGGCGGACGACGCGCCGAAATTTCTCGCGTTCGCCGGCGGCGGCCGCCGACTCGACGGCAAGTCCGCGCGCGACGACTTGAAACCCGTGGAGGTGGAGCTCCCGACGACGTCGCTGAAACTATCGAAAGAGTTCGAGCAGTTCATCCGCGGGCCGAAGCCGGTGAATGAGGGGAAGGAAGGCGGCGCGAAGGCGAAGAGCGAGGGAGGCGCGAGCGGGTTGCCGCGAAGGAAAGCGGGGAAGCTCGTCTTCGGGGGCGCGCGCGGCGGCGGCGGCGGCGGCGGCGGCGGCGGCGGCGGCGGCGGCGGCGGCGAGGCGAAGGCGGAGGAGGCGAAGAAGGAGGACGAGAAGAGCGGCGGGTTTAAGGCGTTCCAGGGTTCGGGGAACAAGCTGAAGTGAGCGACGACGACGTCGACGCGCGAGCGAGGATAGAACGCTGAACGAGAGTTGAAACACGCAGAGCGAACGAACTCGAACGAACACCGCACCGCCGAGGCGACCGCGCAGTTCCACTCGCTTCGTTCGTCGCTCGCCCTAAATTTTGCAGTCGTCGGCGTAGTCGCCACATCGCGACGCCCGCTGCCTCACACGCGGCGCGGTTGACACGACGCGGAGGCGTGATCGCGCGACGACCGACGCATGCGCTCGAAGTCGATTAGGTGATCATCGCGTCTCGCTTCCCTCGCGCCCGAACCCTCGCGCGAACGCGCCGCCGTTCGGTCGGTTCAATTCGTTCGTCCGTCTGGTCGCCCCATCAGCAACTACTGCAACGGCGCGAAGCGTGCCAGGCGCGTCCGGCGCTCACCCGCACACCACGAACGATCACAGGCACCGCGCGGCGGAGTGAGCGGAAACGCGCGCGGACACTAGGGCGGCGGCACATCACATCAGATTAAGCATCGCGCGGCGACGTCACCGGTTGGTCCCCTCCCCGCGTTTCGACACCGCCCGCCCGTCGGATCTCGCGTCGCTCGCGCGATCTGCTGCGGTGATAGGTGATCGGACGGCGACGCGCGAACCCTCGCGTCCGTCGACTCAACCCCGCCGCTTTCGCTTTCCTCTCATCGTCGCCAGCCGCCGCGCGGGCGTGGACACCGCCGCGCGTCGTCATGGGGAGGGCCGTCGCGAAGAGCCCGAAGAAGTCGCCCGCGAAGAAGACCGCGGCCGCGGCGTCGTCGAAGGGCGACGACGACGATAAAGACGAAAAGGAGCGATCGCTGCGCGAGAAGGTTCGCGAGCGATTGAAAGCGAAGCAAGCCGGCGACGCGTCCAAGCGCGGGCGCGGCGACGATAAAGATAAAGATAAAGACGACGACGCAGACCGCGGCTCGAAGCGAAGGAAGAAGGACGACGACGACGACGAGAGAGCCGCCGCGAAGGCGGCGGCGGAGGCGAAGGAGAAGAAGAAGGACGCGGCGGAGATGGAGTCGCGAAAGAAACGCCTCGCGGAGTTCAAAGCGAAGCGGCAGAAGGAGAAAGAAGACGCGGAGAAGGCTGCGTCCACGGCGGCGTCGGACTCCCCCGCCCCAGACGCCGACGCCGAGGAGAGGCCGCGCGCGCGGCGGACGACGATGGACCCGGACGACGAGCTCGGCGGGATCGCGTCCGACGACGACGCCGGCGGCGCCGCGCCGAAGGACGACGACGACGACGACGACGACGTCGACCCGCTCGAGGCGTTCATGGCCGCGAACGATAGCGTGATGGACACGGAGAGGGAGGCTGCGGAGAAGCGGCGCGCGGAGAAGGACGCCGCGGCGGCGAAGCGAAGAGAGGAAAAGGAAAAGATCGTCGAGGCGGCGACGACGGCGGCGGATTTCATCGCCGTCGCTGCCGCGGCCGCGAAGGCTGCGGCGAAGGCGGTCAAGGGCGCCGACGGCAACGCCACCGAAAAAGCCACCGACGCCGCCGCGGACGACGACGACGACGATGACGACGCGAAGTTCCCGTCCGTGGTGAGGAAGGAGGAGGACGAGGATGTCGATCCGCTGGACGCCTTCATGGCGGCGAATGAAAAGAAGGCGACGGCGCTCGCCGCCGCCGCGCTCGCGGAGCCGCCGAGACCGACGCCGATTCCCAGGCCGACGCCGATCGTGGGCGGGCTCCTCGTGAAGAACTCGTCGGGGTTCTTGAAGGGGCTCACGATCAAACGTCCGGTCGGGTCTTCCGCTGCGGTGTCGAAGCTGGCGAAGAAGGCGCCCGGGGCGAAGAGCGGCCGCGGGGGGGGGAAAAGCGCCGGCGTCGTCGCGCGACGGTTCTTCGACGCGGACAGCGACGCTTCGTCTTCCTCCTCTGGCGATTCTGATTCCGACGCGGACGTGAAAGCGTCCTCCGACGACGACGACGAAGCTTGGGCGCGGAAGCAGAAGAGCAAGCTGTCCAAAGCGGACAAGCTCGGCCTCGCGGATCACGCGTCGATTGACTACGCGCCGTTTCGGAAAAACTTTTACATCGAGTCGTACGAGATCGCGAAGCTCACGAAAGAACAGACGAAGGAGCTCCGAGCGGAGTTAGAGGGGATCAAGTGCCGCGGGAAGGACGTCCCGAAGCCGATAAAGACGTGGGCGCAGGCGGGTTTGAGCAACCGCGTCATGGAGCTCATCCGACGAAGCGGTTTCGAAAAGCCGATGCCGATTCAGTGCCAGTGTCTTCCCGTCATCATGTCCGGGCGGGACTGCATCGCGGTCGCGAAGACGGGGAGCGGGAAGACGCTGGGGTACATCCTGCCGATGTTGCGTCACATCAAAGACCAGAGGGAGATCGCGCAAGGGGACGGCCCGGTCGGGATGATCATGGGCCCGACGCGCGAGCTGGTGACGCAAATCGGGAAAGATTGCAGAAAGTTTGGCCGGTGCGCCGGCATGGTCGCCGTCAGCGTCTACGGCGGCAGCGGCGTCGCCGCGCAGATCGGCGAGCTCAAGCGCGGGTGCGAGATCGTCGCGTGCACGCCAGGGCGAATGATCGACATCCTCACCACCGGCGCGGGGCGGATAACCAATCTGCGACGTGTCACGTATTTCGTCCTCGATGAAGCCGATCGCATGTTCGACATGGGATTCGAGCCGCAGATCACGCGCATCATGAACAACCTGCGCCCGGACCGGCAGACGGTGATGTTCAGCGCGACGTTCCCGCACGCGATGGAGGCGCTCGCGAGGGCGGCGCTGACCAACCCGATCGAGATTCAAGTCGGAGGGAGAAGCGTCGTGAACTCGGACATCGAGCAGCTCGTCGAGATGCGTCCGGAGGAGGATCGGTTCTTACGCGCGCTGGAGCTCCTCGGGGAGTGGTACGAGCGCGGGAAGATCATCATATTCGTCGCGTCGCAGGACAAGTGCGACAGGATATTCCGCGACTTGCTGAGGAGCGGGTATCCGTGCCTGTCGCTTCACGGGGGGAAAGAGCAGACGGACCGAGAGTGCACGATCGCCGATTTCAAGTCCGACGTGTGCAACATCCTCGTCGCGACGTCCGTCGCCGCGCGCGGTCTGGACGTCAAGGATCTGCGCTTGGTGATCAACTACGACACGCCGAACCACCTCGAGGATTACGTCCACAGGGTCGGACGCACGGGAAGAGCGGGGAACAAGGGCACGGCGGTGACGTTCATCTCAGAGGAAGAGGAAAAATTCGCGCCGGATCTCGTCAAGGCGATGACGGACGCGAAGCAGCCGGTTCCCGCGGACTTGCGGACGATGGCGGACGCGTACTCGAAGAAGAAGAAGGAGGGCCTCGTCGGCGGCCGGAGCAGCGGGTTCGGCGGGAGCGGCTTCAAGTTTTCGCGCGAGGAGCAAGACGCGGAGAAGGCGGCGAAGAAGGCGGCGGCGAGAGCCGCGGGATTGGAAGTGGAAGACTTTGGAGAGAAGGACGACGACAGCGACGACGAGAGAGGGCTGTGGGACGACGACGGCGAGCCGATCTTTGCTACGCGGGGCGGTGCGGCCGCGGCGGCGTTGGAGCAGAGCGTCGCGGCGGCGGCGGCGCGGCAACCGCCGCAGGTTTCCGTCGGCGCCGCGGGCGCGGGCGCGCCCGCGATCGCCTCCTCCGCGACGCCGGTCATCTCCGACGACAAGACGTCGATCCTCGCCGCGGCCGCGAAGGCGGCCGCGGGGAAGATCTCCTCCAGCCTCGGCGTCGCGCCGTCGGACGCGCACGCGCCGCCGCTCGCGGCGCCGTCGGCGGCGTCGTCGCAAGCGTTGACGCTCGCGCAGGCGGCGTCTGGCGCGCTCGTCGCCGGCGCGACGACCGGCGCGGCGCGAGCCGCGGCGTTCGCGGCGGCGCTCAACGCGCAGCACGCCGCGGGCGCCGGCGCCGCGAAGAGCGGGATCGTCGCCGGGGAGAAGCACTTCGAGTCCGAGCTCGAGATCAACGACTTCCCGCAGCAGGCGCGGTGGAAGGTGACGCACAAAGATTCGCTGTCGCAAATCTGCGAGTTCACGGGCGCGGCGATCACGACGAGAGGGCAGTACTACGCCCCGGGGAAGCCGGTCCCGCCGGGGGAGAGGAAGCTGTACTTGCTCATCGAGGGCCCCACTGAGCGGTGCGTGCAGAACGGGAAGCAAAAGCTGAAGGAGACGATCGAGGCGGAGGTCAATCGGCAGGCGCTCCCGGGAGGGTTCACCGTCGGGAAGTACAAGGTGTGAGACTGGTCCCCATACGACCCCGTTCGCGTGGTGAACGCCGTTCCTTAAGGACTTGTGACGCCCCGACGCGACGAGAAGATGATCGACCGACCGACCGACCGACCGACCGACCGACCGACCGGCGTCGTCTCGCGGCGACGGACGAAACGGGGAGGACTACTAAACTTAGCGATCTAATAGAGGTTTCTCGTCTACCCGACGCGATGAAGCCATCGCGCGTGTGCGTACGGTGCGCGCGCGCGTTTCACTTATCCTTCTTCGTCTCCGAGGCGACGTCGGCGTCGCCCGAATTCTCTTCTTCGCCGCCCGCGCCCGCCGCCAGACCCGTCGCCGCCGCGCCGTCCTCGCCCGTGAACCCGAACTCGTTCACGCGCGTCTTGTCCACCTTGTATATCCACCGCTGGTACAGCATCGCGAGGAAGATCACGTCGTCTCTGAAAACGCTGAGGCGATGCATCAACGGCATCTTGATGACGAACGCGAACAAGTCGTCGATGATCGTGTTCAAAAACTTGTACGTCATCTGTCGCCACGGAAGATGCGCCACGGACTTCAGCTTGTAGTTTATATACAGCTGCGGCGTCATCGTTATGAATCCGAAGAGGTACACCGCGCCGACGAGGACGTTTAACACGAACGAGTACCAGCCCTTGTGCTCGTTGTACAACACCGCGTACACCGCGTAACACCCGACGAGCGGATACAACGCGTAGGATAAGTACCGCATCGCGACCTCGTCGTGCTTCGCGGTGTCGGACGCGCGATACCCGTGCTTATCCTTCACGGTCACGTACGGGAACGCGTTGGCGTCGAACGACACGTCCATCGCCTTCGTGATCTTCCAAAACTCGATCAATAATCCGACGCCGCTGCTGAGCAAGATCATCCACGACGTGTCGTTGTCCAAGAGGTACAGAAACACGACGCACTGACAGCACGCGTTGAAGACGATCGTCCGCGCGCTGAGACCCTCCATGCTCTTGTTCGCGCGCCAAAACGTGACGTCGTTCTTAAACGCGAGCGCGTCGAAGATCATGTGCAGAAACGACACGCATCCGGTGATGGCGAGCAAAATTGGGTTGCCCTCCAGCAGCACCCTCTTCAGCTCGTCGCTGTCCTTCTCCCCGGCCGCGCCCATCGCGCGCTGCACCTCGAAGTTCTTCTCCATCTGCAGCATCAACTGCCACTTCCACGGGCTCAGCGGCGCGATGGACAGCGTCAAGTTGACCGCCGGGACGGTCTCGTTGATCGGCACGAGGTAGTCCCGCAGCAGCCAAAACTCGTTCATGAAGACGATGGGGTAGTAATCTCCCGGGTGGTCCGCGGAGGACGCGTTCCCGGACTCGAACCGCATGTGCTCTCGCATCTGCTGCGGGAGGCCCATTCCCGTGAGAGGGAACGCGGCGAACTCGTCCACGATGGAGACCGTGACGTTCGGCTTGAAGTGCGGCGTCCAGCCGCCGCCGTCTGAATCGAAATCGGAATCGTCCGAATCGTCGTCGTCGCCGCCGCCGCCGCCGCGCGCGTCTGAACCGTCGCCGTCGGAATCCGAACCGGCGCCGCCCCGCGACGACGACGACGACGACGACGACGACGACGCCATCGTCCCCGTCAGCAAGTTCTTACGCTCGCTCTGCCGCGATCTCTTCGGGTAATACCGGACGAGCGGCATGCTTCCGCCGAAGACGTCTCGCGCGTCGTACCTCGCGTCGGATGGATCGATCGGCGATCCCGGCCGCGCGAAGAAGACGTGCAGCCACGGCGTCGCGTTCCTCGCGAGCGCGTCCTCCGTGATCACGTGCGCGATCCTGTATTCCCGCGCGCCGTCGTCCGCGGCGTCGGTCGGGAGGGTCGGCGCATCGCCGCACAGCGGCAGTCGTTCCTCGCGCGCGACGAGACGACGACGGGCGTCGTCGTCGTCGCGGTCGTGCGCGAACGTCGCGTCTTCGGTGACGTACGCCCACATCTCGAGCGGCTCGCCCTTGGCGTACATCGGGCGCGTCCTCGGAATCGCGGCGGCGGCGGCGTCGGGCGATCCCGCGCGCGTCGTCGTCCCCCCGCGATGCTTCGGTCCGAAGAAGGAGGAGAGCGCGTAGAAGAGGAGGAACGATCGAACGACGGTGACGACGGCGTTGCTCAGCGCGTTGCCGCCGCCGCCGCCCGCCGCGGGCGCGGGCGTGGGCGCGTCCGCCATGACGCGCGCGTTCGCGCGGTGCGCCTCGCCTCGCGTCGCGTCGTCTCGCGCCGTCTCGCCCCTCGCGCCCCTCGCGCTGTGACGCCGCTTCGCGCGAGCGTCGTCGAAAGTCATGGATCTGTCGTCTCGAACGACGAACTCGCGAACGCGCGATGCGGTCGTCGCCATTCCCGGCCGCGCAGCCCGGCGCTCCTCCATCATGGCGTCGCGCATGGGCGCGCTGCTCCACCGCGAGCCGGCGGCGCCGTCCACCCCGCCCGACGCGCCCGACGCGCCCGACGCCGACGCCGCGACGAAGACCGAGCCCGTCGTCGTCGACGACGCGGCGGCGGCGGCGGCGGCGGACGACGAAAAAAATGCCGTCGTCGTCGTCGCGGCACGTCCGCCGCCGGTCGCCGCGGAGGGCGTCGGCAAGCCCATCGAATACGGCGATCTCGTGATCGTGTACGAGGGCTTCAATAAGGCCAAGGCGGTGACGATCGCCCCGAGGGCGCAGTACCAGAACAAGTACGGGAACTTCTTCCACGTCGATTGGGTCGGGAAGCCGCTCGGGAGCAAGGTGTTCGGCCGCGGCGAAAACGGCGGCCACGTCTGGCTCCTCGCGCCGACGCCGGAGCTCTGGACGAAGGTCCTGCCGCACCGGACGCAGATTCTGTACCTCCCGGACATATCGCTCATCACCCTCGAGCTCGAGCTGCGGCCGGGGAGCGTCGTCATAGAGAGCGGCACGGGCTCGGGATCGCTGACGCACTCGCTCATTCGCGCCGTCGCCGGCGGCGGCGCGTCAACGTCGTCGTCCGCGGTGGAAGATGGAACGTCAACCGTCGCCGCCGCCGGCGGCGGCGACGGGCACGTGTGGTCGTTCGAGTTCAACGCCGTGCGCGCGGCGAGCGCGAGCGCGGAGATCGTCGCGCACGGCTTGTCGAAACACTGCACGGTGACGTGCAGGGACGTCGAGCGCGACGGATTTCCGGCGGCGTTGGAAGGCTGCGCGGACGCGGTGTTTCTCGACCTCCCCGGCCCGTGGAAGTGCATCGAGTCCGTCGCGCGGTGCCTGCGACGCGACGGCGTCGTGTGCGCGTTCTCGCCGTGCATCGAGCAAGTGCAGCGGACGTGCGAGGCGCTCGAGCGTCACGGGTTCGGAGACGCGAGAACGGTGGAGCTGTTGGGAAGGGAGCACGACGTCGAGGTCAGGGAACTGCAGACGGATCTGAGCAAATCGCAGCCGAAGCTGAAGAGCGGCTGGAAGCGAGAGTCCGCGAAGAAGGCGGCGCGGAAGCGGACGCGCGTGGACGGCGACGGCGACGGCGACGGCGGCGCGGCGTCGGACGCGACGGCGCCGAAGAGCGTCGTCGTGTCGTACCCGCGTCAGGCGTCGCAGTCGCACACGGGGTACTTGACGTTCGCGCGGCTCACGCCGTACGTCGATCCGGAGGTGGCGAGGAAGGCGCGAGAGGACGGGTGCGGCGGTGGCGGCGGTAGAAGGGGGGGGCGTCACGAGTACGTCGCCGACGCGAACGAACTCTCGGAGTGAGCGACGACTGATGACTCTCGTCGGAGTCGACTGGAATAGTCCACCGTTAGAATTCGACGACGCGCGCGCTTCGTCTCCTCCTCCTCCTCCTCCTCCTCCTCCTCCTCCTCCTCGCCACTAACCTTACTTCTTCTCCTCCGGCTCGAGCTTCTTGTTCACCATCGCGAGCGTCTTCACGTCCCCGGTGTTGTACGCGTGCGTCCTGAGCTCCTTCAGTCGCACTTGCTCGCGGAAGTTTTCCAGATCCCCCGAGCTCTTCATCTTATCGTACGCCTCGCGCTTATACTCCGCGGTCCTTCGCGCGCGCTCAATCTCGATCTCGCGCTTCCTCTCCTTCTCGTCGTCGAACGCGGTCCGCTCCTCCTTATCCTCGCCTCCGCTCGCGGCCCTGCGTGCAGCCTCCTCGCGGCCCCACTTGTCGAGATCGTAAAACTTTTCGTGCGGCAGCGTCGACGTGTTGTAATCCTCCGCGAACTCCTTGAACAGCTCTCGCTCCTCCCACTTCTGAAGCGACTCCGTGGACATCCCCTTCACCTCCTCCACCCACGCCCTGAACTCGGCCTCTTTGTCGTACTTGTCCGTCTCCTTCAAGAACCCGCGCGCGCCGAAGGACGTCTCCGGTCCCGCGGCGGCGCCCCGTCCTGTGGGTGAAGCGATCGGTCAGTCGAACGTCTTACCGGTCAAACGTTGAAAGGGAAGCGCGGGTGAAGAGTGACGACGGGAAAAGTCCTCAAGGAACGGCGTGCACCACGCGAACGGGGTCGTATGGGAAGCAGTCTCACCTGCGCCCCTCGTCTTCATCATCGCCCTCTTCGCCTTTCCGTCGCCGTCGCCGTCGTCTCTGTCTCTCTTGCGCCGCTTCTCCTTGTTGCCGTCCTTCTTCTTGCTCTCCTTCTTAGAAGACTTCTTCTTGCTCTCTCTCTCTTTCTTCTTCCCCGACTTGCCGCGTTTCTTGTGTTTCTTCTTGCTCTTCTTGCGGCTCCGCGAGGAGGAGGAGGAGGAGGACGACGACGACCCATCGGAATCCGAATCGTCCGAGTCCGACGACGAGCCGCCGCGATCGCGCCTCGCCTTCTTCCGCTTCCGGCCCCCACCTCCCCCCCCCCCGCCGCCGGCGCCGCTCTCCGTGCTCATGAAGCTCTTGAGCTGGTGGTACGCCTTGTCCGCGTCCCAGTCCGTGCCTCGAAGCGCGGCGAGGCACGTCTCCGCGCTCGCGGCCGGCATCGCGCGTCGCAGCGCGCCCAGGCACGCCTCCTGCATCGCGTTCTTCTGCGCCTCCGCGTGCTTCTCGACCATGCTCTTCGCGGCGGCGCGGCCGTCGTCCTCGCCGGCTTTATAGCGCGAGTATTCCATGACGCGACGCGGGTCGTCCGTCCGTCGCGCGCGGGGGAGTGCCGACGAGACGAGATCGCGCGCGATCGCGGCTCTGCTCGTGGCGTGAGTGCGTTCAGTGTGAATGTTTTTCACCCAGCGCTCGGTTTCAACATTTCATCGCGTCCCCTTTCAACTGACCGATAAACTTTCAGGACTGCGCTGGCGCGCCGTCTGAAAGTCTGATCCTGTCGCGCGGGCGTCCGAGTCAGACTCGCCTCTCCGCCTTCCCGCCATCGCGATCGGCGACGCGCACAGCCGCCCGCGCGAGACGCATCGCGACCGCGACCCGGAAACTTCGTCCACCCCGACACCCCCGCGATGGCGACGACGGCAGCGCGCGCGGGCCTCGCCCCGCCGGTCGCCTCCGTCGCGCCGCGCCGAAGCTTCGACCGCGTCGCCGTTCGAAAATCATCGCGCGGCCTCGCCAACTCATCGCGCGTCGTCGTCGTCGTCGTCGATCGCCGTCGTCGACGCGCGGCGGCGACGACGACGACGCGCGCGGGGATCAACACGGACGCGGACTACAACTGCGTCGTGCGAAACGACGGCGTGATCATCTCCTCCGACATTCCCTCCGGCGTCTACGAGGTGTCCTCGTGGTGGCACGGCAGCGGCGACGACGGCGACCCCGCGCGCGCGCCGCGATGCGACAGCGAGCGCCAGCGCGGATGCGAGGTGCGCTGCGAGATGACCGCGGAGGGCGAGCTCGTGTGCGAGGGGTTGACGAGCGGGCGGTACAGGGTCATCAACGCGGAAGACGCGGACGCGGAGTGCAGCGTCGAGGACGGCGCGTTCGAGTGCACGACGTCGTTCGACGACGACGGGCCGCCGACGCAGGACACCGGGGACGTCGACCTGCAGGAGAGCGAGGAGAACAAATCGTTCAGGATGGGAGGCTGAGGCGCGATGTAGCCGTGTGATGCGCGAACGAAACGAACAAATAAACGACGCGCTCGACGACGCGAGCGAAAGGACGAAGGGACGAAGGGACGAAGGGACGAAGGGACGAAGGGACGATGGGACGCCGCGGCGCGTTCGAAGGAACCGTTCTCCTCGTCCATCTCATCATCCGGTGCCAAAAAACTCATCAGCACCCCGGCTACCCGGCTACAACTTTTTCTACCACAGCACCTCGCTCGCCCTCACAACTCCAGCCGCCACGCGCTGCGCTCCCACGCGTCCCGCGGCACCCTCGCGCGCATCTCGCGCACGGTCGCGCGCGCGATCGCCGCGCTCCTCGCCCCGAGCCCGCCGCCGGCGTTCACGGCGGCGTCGAGAAGACGCGACAGCGCCGCGTCGCCCCCCGCCGCCGCCGCCGCCGCCGACGACGACGACAGCGACGGCAGCGTGAACGGCAGCGCGTCCAGATCCCCGTCCACGGAACCGTGCGTCACTCCGTCGCCGTCTTCGTCGCCGCGAAGCACCGCGGACGCGGCGGGACAGAACGCGGCGGCGAGGACGCCGAGACAACGCGCGCCGTCCTCGGCGACGACGGCGTCGTCCGCCGCCGCCGCCGCCGCGGCTTCCTCGAGCCACCGCGCGCGCAACCCCACGCTCGCGCCTCGCAGCGACGACGCGAACGCCCGCAGCCGCGCCGCGCGGCCGCGCGTTTCGCCCCACGCGCTCAGAGGAGGGAGTTCCGACGACGCGAGCGCGCCGGTCGCGGCGAGACGCGCGCGGAACGCCTCCGCCGCCGCCGGCGACGCGCGCTCGACGCCCGCCGCGAGCGTCGACCACGCGAATCTCCCGCCGCCGCCGCCTGCTTGGGTGAAGCGATCGGTCAGTCGAACGTCTTACCGGTCAAACGTTGAAAGGGAAGCGGGGGTGAAGAGTGACGACGGGAAAAGACCTTAAGGAACGACGTGCACCACGCGAACGGGGTCGTATGGGGAGCAGTCTCACCGCCGCCGCCGCCGCCGCCGCCGCCGCCGCCGCCCACCCTCGGCGCGTGCGCCACCGCGTGGTCGATGATCGCGCCGCGCGGGTCGCGAAGCGCGCCGACGAGGACGCGCGCGGCGTCCACGAGCTCGCGCTCGGGCCACGGACCGCGCGGGAGGCGCGCGGACGCGTCCGACAGGGACGTCCAGAGCGCGCCCGTGGCGTCCGCGGCGGCGTCCGCGGCGGCGGCGTCGGCGGCGCGCCGCGACGGTTCGGGATCTGAAGCGTCGCTCGCCGCCGCGACGCACGCCCTCGCGACGACGTCCGCGCACCGACGCAGCGCCGCGACCGCGGCGGACCGCGGCAGCGACCGGACGCACGCGCCGAGGTCGCGCAAGACCGCGGACGGAGGGAGCGCGGCGAGCGGCGGGGGGGATCCCGTGACGTCGCCGCCCGACCAGCCGTCGACGTCGACGTCGCACGCGCGCGCGTCGTCGTCGTCGTCGTCGCCGCCGTCGCCGAGGAGTCGCTCTAAAAGACCCGCGCCGACGGCGGTGCCCGGGTGCGCGACCGCGAGAGCGATGCACGCGTCGTAGAGGTCGTCTCGAGCGCGACGATCGACGGCGCTCCGCGCGGATTTTCCAAAGCTGTCGCCGTCGCCGACGCCGCGCGCGAGACGGACGAGCCGACGCAGCGCGCCCGGCCAATCCCCCGCGGGGACGCGATCGACGCGCGACAGCGCACGCAGCGCCCTCGACGCGCGGCGCGCGGCGGCGGCGCGCCGCGACGGCGACGGTTCGGGATCCGAATCGTCGCTCGCCGCGCTCGGGGAGGAGAAGAGCGCGGCGCGCGCGAGAACGCCGAGCGCGCCCGCGACGACAAGCGCGTCGTCCTTGTCCTTCCCCGCCCCCGTCCCATTCGTCGCGGACGCCGCGGCGCGGCGTCTCGCGCGCTCGCACGCGGACGCTAACCCCCACGCGGCGACCTCCCGCACCTCCACGTTCACGCTCGCGCTCGCTGCTCTATCGCCGTCGAGCTCTTTCGCCTCTCTCGTGCCGTCCGCGGACGCGAGCGACGTCAACGTCTTCATGACGTCGCGCGCGAGCGACGCGCCGTCGCGCGCGCCCCACAGAAGCGGCGTCGTATACACGTCGTTCTCGTCGCCCCCGCGCGCGAGCGACGACACCGACCGCGCGTCCTCGACCGCGAGGAGCCCTCTCGCCGCGCCGACGACGGACGCGAGCCCGCACGCCGCCGCCGCGCGCGCGCTCGACGCCGCCGACGACGACGACGCGATCGACGTCAGCGCGCGCACGACGTCGCGCGCGAGCGCCTTGGGCGTCGCGACGCCGGCGGCGAGCGCGGACTCGAGCGTCGACCCCGCCGCGGTCGCGGCGGCGACGACGACCGCGACGTCGTCGTCCGATCCAAGCGAAGACGATCCAAGCGACGATCCGAATGATTCGCATCGACGCGTCGCCTCGCGCGTCGCTCGGAGGACGAGCGCGTCGACGCGCGCGTTCGCGGACAGCGCCGCGGTCGCGGCGACGGCGACGCCGGCGAGGCAGCCGCACGCGACGACGCGCGGACACGAGCCTCGGACGGCTTCGAGCCGCTCGACGAGCGCGCGGGTCAGCGCCGCGGACCGCGACGTCGTCAAAGACGTCTTCGTCGCTCGATCGCCGCCGCCGCCGCTCCCCGACCACAGAAGCCGCGACGACGCGTCGTCGAGCGACGCGTCGTCCAGCGCGCACGCCGTGAGCGCGAGCCCGGAGACGAGCCCGGCGACGGCGTCGGCGTTCCCGGACGCGCCGCCGCCGCCGTCGCTCGCGTCGACGTCGCGCCACCGAAGACCTAGGGTCGAAGGTCCACGCGAGCGAACGTCGGGGTGGAGTTCAAAGGCGTCAGTTGGCGTTGAAAGGCGTCGAGGTGTGTCGGGATTGAAAGCGAGGGACCCTGGGCGGAGAGAGACGACGGCGAAAGTCCTTAAGGATCGGCGTTCACCACGCCGACGCGGTCGTATGGGAACCAGTGTGAGATAGAACGCACCACCGAAGACGTCGTCCGCGTCCTCCGGCGACAGCGCCGCGGCTTCGACGGCGCGCGCGACGAACGCGCGCGAGTGCTCTCTGAGCAGCTCCACGCGCCACGCCCCCGCGCCCGCGCCGTCGCGCCGGACGTCGCCGCCGAGGCGGACGAGCATCGCGCCGAGGGCTTCGCACGCGGCGGCGACCGCCGCGGCGCCGTGGCGGGCGAAGCTCTCGGCGTCGAACGCGCGGCGACTCAAGCGCGACGCGACCGCGCGGCGTCTCTCAGCGTCGCCGACGCGGCACGAGCCGACGCACAGTCCGAGCGCGAACGCGACGCCGCGCTCCGAGCCGTCCGGTTCGCGCGCGTCGTCCAGTCGTTCGAGCAGCGCGTCCGTCGCGGTCTCCGCGCGTCTCGGATCGCGTTCGACGTCGTCGTCGTCGTCGTCTCGTAACCCGGTTCCGGTTCCGAACGCGCCCCCCGTCGAGCTCGAGCTCGAGCTCGAGCTCGAGCTCTCGTCTTGCCGCAACAACGCCGGCGAGCTCAGCGCCCTCGCCGCGCACTGCGCCCCGTCCGCGGTCGTCGCGTCGCGAAACGCGTCAAGCGCCGCGCGAAACACCGCGTCCTTCGCCTCCTCGAGCGCGCCGTCGCCGCCGCCAGACGCGGTCTCCGTCCCCGCCGCGCCCGCCCTCGACGCCGCCTCCGCGGCGATCCAGCGCCGCGCGAACGCGTGCGTCGACCGCGCCGCGAACGCCTCGTGCCACGACCACGACGCGGGCGGCGTCGACAACCCCAACCCGCCGCCGCACAGCGCGCCGCAGAACGCGCGGCGGTACGCGTGCGCGCGGTCGCGGCGTTCTCTCGCGACGGACGCGGCGCGGCGGGCCTTCGCCTTCTCGCCGTCGCCGTCGTCGTCCGACGTCGGCGGCGGCACGCGCGGACGGAACAGGAAGAGATGCGCGCCCGCGCCGCCCGGGCAAATCTCCGCGGCGCTCGCGTCGGCGTCCTCGCTCCCGGACGACGACGACGGGCGCTTCGCGCCGCCGCGGAGCGACGGCATCGTTCGCAGTCGCCGCGGGATCGCCTGCAGCGCGCGATGTAACGTCGCGTCGGCGGCGGCGAGCGACGCGACGGCGGCGCTCGCGCCGCCGCCGCCGCCGCCGCCGCCGCGCGCCGCCGCGGGCGCGAGCGCGGCCCTCGCGAGCGTCTCGCTCTCGCATCGCGCGAGCGCGACGACCGTCGCGATCCCGGCGTCGACGACGTCCCCGAACGGCGTCGGCTCGTCGAGCATCGCCTCCGCGATGGCGGCGGACGAGACGCGCCGGCGCCGGCGCCGACCGTCCGTCTCTTTCTCTTTTTCCTTCTCGTCGTCGTCGTCGTCGTCGTCGAACACCCCCTCGACGACGACGACCGGGTCGTACGCGCCGAGCGCGGCGTACGCCGCGGTCCGCGTCGCGACCCACGCCCTCGCGCGTTTCTCTTTGTTCTCACCGTCGTCGTCGTCGTCGCCCGGACCCGGTTGGTCCAGACCCGCGGTGAGCGCGCCGAACGCGGCGTCCGCGCACGACGCGGCGGCGGCGGGAAACGCCGCCGCGTCCGTCGCGCCTCTCCCCAGCAACGCCGTCCACCGCGACGCGACGATCGGATCGCTCGGCAGCGACGGCATCGCGCCCCTCGTGGCGACCACCTTGAACGCGGCGTAGAACTCGAGCGCGTCGCCGTCGCACATGGACGCGATCGCCTCGAGCGAGAGCGCTTTGGCCGCCGGCGGCGCCGTCGGCGACGTCAAAAAAGTTTTCAACGCGACGACGAGCTCCGTCGCGGCGCTCGGGTCCGCGGCGGCGGCGAACGCGCACGCGCTCGCGGCGCCGACGACGACGTCCGCGACGCGGCTCGCGCTCGCGCGCTCGCACGCGGCTTTCAGGCGCGGGAACGCGCCGCGGTGGTGGCTCCAGAGGCGCGCGAGCAGCGCGAGGGACAGCGCGCGCGCGCGCGCGTCCGCGCCTGCGCCGGTTTTTTCGTCTGAGGGTCGTTCCATACGAGCGAATGACGGGGTGGAGTTCAAAGGCGTCAGTTGGAGTTGAAAGGCGCCGAGGGCGGGGATTGATAGCGATGGATGAGCGGAGAGATGCGCCGGGAAGAAAAGTCCTTAAGGATCGGCGTTCACCACGCCCACGCGGTCGTATGGGGACCAGTGTATAGAACGCGCCCGACGCGGCGACGAGCGGCGCCAGCGTCTTCAACGCCACGGGCGCGCCGAGCGGGTGCGCCGCGCCGCTCGCGGCCGCGCGCAGCGTCTCCAGAAGCGCGCGCGCGGACGCGACTTCATGGGGGATGTTATCATCATTCACGGATGAACCATAATATCCATGGTCGTCTTCTGTGTTTGGGTCTTTTACGGATCCGTCGTCGTCGCGGCGTCTCGACGCGGCGGCGACGCGCAGTAGCAACGCCGGCGCCGACGCGGGCGCGCGCGTCGGGATCGCGCGAACGCGCGCGCTCAGCGACCTCGCCGCGGCCTCGCGCACGCGCGCGCTCGGGTGCGACATGAGCATCAGCGGCAGCAGCGGCGGCGCGTGCGGTGACGCGGCGCCCGACGCGTGGACGGACGCATACGGATCCGCGGGGTCAGACCCCGCGTCGTCGTCGTCGTCCCCGGCGGCGTTTCTCCGCCGCGCGCGGCGGCGACGTTTCTCCGACGTTTCCGACAGCTCGGACGCGCCGTCCGCGGCGAGCGCGCTCAGCGCGCGCGCGACAGCGATCGGATGGCTGTCGTCGCGCCACGTGTCGCGCATCGCGTCCACGAACACGGCGTCGATCGTCGCGCAGCGGCCCGCGCGGCGGCGTTCGGACGACGATTGAGAGTATCTGAATCCCGGCGCCGGCTCCGTCGCCAGCGCGGCCGCGACGCGCCCGCCCTGCCCCGCCGGCAGCGCGAGCGCGCACGACGCGCGCGCGGCGATCAGCGCCGCGACCGCGCCGCCCGCGCGGGGATGCGAACCGTCGCGGGGATGCGAACCGTCGCGGGGCCCCGCGAAGTACCGCGCCAACGTCGCGGCGAGCGCCGCGGCGGCCGACGCGCTCTTCTCCGTCGCGCTCGGCAGGCACGACGCGAGGTCGCACGCCACCGCCGTGGCGTCGAAGTCGTCGGCACCCTCGTCGGCACCCTCGTCGGCACCACCCTCGTCGGCACCCGCGACGCAAATCGCGAAGAGCCGTCGAAGGACGCCGAGCAACGGCGAGACGTCGTCGCCCGCGCGCGACGCGTCGCGACACGCCGCCGCCGTCGCCGTCGCCGCGCGTCCCGCGAGCGCCTTCGCCTTCGCGACGATCGACGTTCCACATCCCGCCGCCGCTTCGCGCTCGTACCGCGACGCGGCGTCGACCGCGTCCGCGACGTCCGCGGCGGCGGCGGCGACCCACGCGCGCGCGGCCGCGTCGCCGCGCGCGTACCGGTACCACGGGAGGCACCCGACGAGGAGATCCGCGACGGCCGCCGACGCCGCCGACGGCGCGCCGCACGCGACGCGCGTCAACCGCGCGTGAAGCAACGCGCGGAACGACGACGACGGCGTGAATGTGGAATGTGGAACGACGTCAGCCGTCGCCGCGTCGGCGCCCCCCTCGCTCAGCAGCGCGTGCCGGAGGAACCCGCGGAGCTCCGCGAGCGCGACGACGGCGGGGACGCCGGCGCCGGCGCGCGTCCCCGTCCCCGTCCCCGTCCCCGTCCCCGTCCCCGTCCCCGTCCCGCCCCCGCGCGCGCTCAGCGCGCTCGTGACGCACGCGAGGGCCGCGGCGGGGGCCGCGGCGGGGTGCGCGCGGAGCGCGCGCGAGAGCGGGTGCGCGGGACCGCTGTCGCGGTACGACGACGACGACGACGACGACGACGACGACGCGTCTGCCATCACGACGCACCCGATGCCGCGAACGATGGACGTCGCGGCGGCGGCGTCGCCGCCGCCGCCCTCCGCGGCGAGCGCGGCGAGCGCGGCGAGCAGCTCGCCGACGAGCTCGTCCGCGCCGAACGCGCCGCTCTCCACGAGGCGTCCAGTCGCCGCGCACGTCTCGTCCACCGCCGCGCTCGGCGCGCCGCGACTCAGGCATCGCCGCAAAATCTTCGTCGCGTCCGAGAGCGACGCGGAACGCGCGACGAGGAGATCGACGACGCCGCGGATCGCGACGCGCGTCACCGCGGGCGTCGCGTGCGCGTGGTTCAACAGCGCGGCGACGTCCGCGTCCGCCGCCATGACGCCCTCCGCCGCCGCCGACGCGGTCCTCCGCCCGCGCCGGGTCGTTGTGAACGATGAATTTACTCGGCACCGTCGCGCGCCGTTTTTCGCCCCTGCGTGACGAGCTCATTTCGAACGACGCGGATCACTGCGCCGCGCGCGAGGCGCCGCGAACGATGTCGTCGTCGCTCGCGCCCGAGCGCGTCCCGAAGGTCCGCGTCGCCGTCGTCGGCGACACCGGGTGCGGGAAATCCTCGCTCGTGCGCCTCATGCTCGAGTCCGGGGAGCCCGGCGCGACGACGTCGTATTCGACGACGCGTCGGCGCGGTGGTAGTCGCCTGCCAGACCGAACGATAGGATGCGAGGCGGAGGTTCGCGTGCTCCACCACCCGCCGCCGGGCGCCTCCGGCGATTCAACGCCGCGGCCGCACTTCGTAGAGATCTTCGACATCGGCGGCCACGACGAGTACAAGGGCGAGCGGTCCGTCTTCTACGACGAGCTCGACGGCGTCGTCCTCGTGCACGACCTGTCGTTCCGAGGCAGCGCGAAGAAGCTGGAGCGATGGGCGAGAGAGATCGCCGCGACCGGGACGTTCGCGCCGGCGGCGTCGACGCCGCAGTGGAACGCGGCGCCGGGCACGCCGCTCGCGATGCCGCCGTCGTCGTCGAACGTGCTTCACGGCTTCGGCGGGCTGCCGGTGCCCGCGCTCGTGGTGGCGAACAAGGCGGACTTGCACAAGAGACGAAGAGACGACGAATCAGACGACCGCGGCGGAAAGGGCGGCGCGCGACGCCGAAGACGACGGTTCCCGTCCTTCGGCGGCGACGAGAACGAGATCCCGGGCGACGGGATCGTGACGTTCGTGAAACGGCTGTGGGAACGCGTCGCCGTGGCGCTTCATCTTCCACGAACCGTCGCGCGAAAGGTCACGCGAAGGGTCGCGTCGTTCGGCCGGCTCGACGGAGCGCTCTTGCCGACGCACGTCGGCGACGCGAGCGATCCGAACGCGCCGGGCGCGGCGTGGACGGACGCCCGCGCGGGGTACGCGGGGTTATCCGTCGGGAGTGGGTTACGGTGCGTCGCGACGCGCGGGAGGATGGACCGCGCCGTCGTGGACGCGTTCTTTCACGAGCTGTTGACGCGGCGGTTTGGGGGCGAGGGGGCGGGCGGCGCGTCGTCGTCGTCGTCGTCGTCGCGCGGAACGACGTACGGAACCGCGGGCTTCGCGTCGGGGTCGACGGACGCGCAGCTCAGAGGCGCGCCGCGGTCTCAGTGGATGGGCGGCGATCGCGTGGACGCGGGCGTGCACGGCGACAATTTGACGTAGGCCCACGTAAACCTTAGTCGCGGGGCGGGGGCGGTCGCTCGTCGTCGGATATCTTATTTCGTAGAAGACAACAGAACTTATAAACTTAGCTAGTCGCGTCACATCGTGTTCACGCGCCGTCCTTGCCCTCTGTCGATCGCCCCGAAACTCGGCGCCAAAATCTCGAGCAACCCGTCCGGATTATCGATGTGCACCCAGTGCGACGCGTTCGCGAGGTAGTGCACGCGCGCGCCGTACGACCCGATCCGTTCTATGGGTCGTAGTTTCATACGACGAAGCGACGTCGGGGCGGAGTTGAAAGGCGTCAGTCGGAGTTGAAAGGCGTCGCGGGCTCGTATTGAAAGCGAGGGACCCTGGGCGGAGAGATGCGCCGGGAAGAAAAGTCCTCAAGGATCGGCGTTCACCACGCGAACGGGGTCGTATGGGAACCAGTGTCAGGATAACGCGCCTATGTCCTCGTCCGTCCACACGAACGCGCTCCGCTCCGCGCGCACGAAATCCACCCGCAGTCCCCTCGGCTGCGTCTCGAGCATCGGCCACAAGTCCGTCGCCTCGTACGACGCGTACATCTCCACGATGCCCTCGATGTCGAACGTCCACGTCAGCTCGCCGTTGCTCGCTTTCGATTGCTCGCTCACGGGCTGCAGATTCGTCGTCATCCACTGCGCGCCCTCCGGCGTGAACCCCGCGGCCGTGAGGTCGTCCACCAGCGCCTTAGGGTCGTTCCGTACGAGCGAACGTCAGGGTGGAGTTGAAAGGCGTCAGAAGCGGAGTTGAAAGGCGTCGAAGGAGGGGATTGAAACCGAGGGGTGGGCGGAGAGAAAAGATGGGCGAAAGTCCTGAAGAAACGGCGTTCACCGCGCCAACGGGGCCGTATGGGGACCAGTGTGAATACGAACGCGCCTTCCTCGACGCGATTGGCATCGGGATCGTCCGCGCGTGCGCGATCGTGTCTCTCGGGTGATCGCCCGCCTCGCACCACACGTCCCCCGGCACGGTGTCCAACACCCACACCTGCACCGGGCGCGGGAGCTGCTTCCCGAACTGGTGCACCATCGACATCGCGACTTTCCCGCCGAACGAGTGGCCGATGAGCGCGTGCGGGTACATCTTGAGATGATTCAGGACGCCCAGGACGTCCTTCGCCGCGGACGTCACGTCGTTCGTCGCGTCCCCCCGCGGCGGCCCCTCCGAATCGCGCGTCCCCGCGGTCTGCCCGTGGCATCGCAGGTCCACGAGGAGGAACTGCCACGACGGGAACGCGGCCGCGAGGCGCTTCGCGAACGACAGGAGGTTGCGTCGCGAGCCGAGGATGCCGTGGACGAGAACCGCGGTCGGCGGGTGCGGGCCGGAGGGCGACTCGACGGACCACTCCACGAGCGCGCCCTTGACGATCTCGTACTTCAACGGCGCCGAGGAGGAGGAGGAGGTGGTGGTGGAGGAGGAGGAGGTGGAGGAGGACGACGGCGGGCCCTCCGTGGACACCGCGGCGGCGCGCGAAGAGGAGCGACGAAGATGATGACGACGACGCAGCCTGGCCCGTTCGTTTTCCATCATCCTCGTCCGCGTCGTCGGCGACGACGCCGCGCGCGCGCGCGTCGCGTCGCCGGCCGACGCCGCGCGCGACGGCGGCGACGCGCGATGACGCCGCGAGAACAGCAGATCGCGGCGACCGGACGTCGTCGCGGTGGCCGTCGTCGACGGCATCGCCGTGGCGCGCTGCATGGCGGTGCGGAGCGTTCTGTGCTGAGCTGGCGGGAGCCTCGGGGACGCGCGGCGCGGGAGCTCGATCGTTTTCGTGGCTCTCGTCGCGCGCGCCCACGCCTTCGATGCCGCATCGAACCGTCGCGCGCGCACTCACGCTCCGCGCGCGCCGACGCCTCGACGCCCGCCGCGCTCTCCACGACGATGCACGCCTCCATCGCCGCCGCCTCCTCGCGCGCCGCGCTCCCGCCGCGCTCTTTCGGCCGCCGTCGCGTCGGCGTCGTCCGCGTCGTCGTCGCAGCCTCCGTCGACGTGGCATCATCAACACCATCATCGTCGTCGAGCGCGCGACGATCGCGCGCCGTCGTCGTCGCGCCGCGGACGCGGACGCGGACGCGAACGTCCGCGCGCCGCGTCGTCATCGCGACGCGCGCGGCCGGCTCCGACTCGGAGGCGTCGTCGAACGCCGCCGCGGCGTCCCTCGCCTCCTCCGCCGACGACGCGTCGCGCGACGACGCGGCGTCGACGACGCCGACGACGGCGCTCATCGCCGCGACCGTCGCGTTCGCCGCCGCACTCTCCTCCCCCGCGGACGCGCTCGCGGCGGCGGCGTCGGCTTCCTCCTCCTCCCCCTCCGAGCTCGCGACCGTCGCGGCGGCGTTCGGCGGGTTCCACCCGGGGGAATGGCTCACCGCGTCGTGGGCCGCCGTCGCCGGCGCGCTCGCGTCGCCCGAGGCGAAAGAGCTCTGGATGTACACGCTCAAGACGCTCATCTCTTGGGGCGTCCCCGCCGCGGTCGTCGGCGTCGTCGCGTTCGCGGTCATCGCGTCGTCCCGGCGCGGCAAGGACGGCGTGGGCGGCGAGAAGAGGGGCGGCGGCGGCGGCGTGTTCGGGTTCCTCGGCGGGAAGGGCGGCGGATCCGGCGCGGAGCCGTCGCCGTTCGTCATCAAACGTCTCAACGATAAACTCGATTCCTACGCGTACGCGTTCGGCGAAGCCACCGGCGGCGCGGAGGCGGTCGAGATCGCGCGCAAGCGCGAATCGTTCGGGAAGAAGTACGCGAGCACGCTGGGGAGGCTCACGGTGAAGGAGCGCGACGCGATCGATCGCGCGACGTCGACGTGGGCGAGGAAAGACGCGGCGTTGCGCGCGGAGATGGCGTCGGCGGCGCGGCGGATGCGCGCCGACGCGGCGCGAGCCGCGAACAAGGGAAGGAGCGACTCGGACGCGGACGCGGACGAATCTCTGACGCCGCTGGACGACTTCCCGCTGTTGGACGAGGTCGAGGACGAGATCGAGCGCGCCGCGCTCGCGGACGCGCGCGCGTTCGCCGACGCCGCCGACGCCGAGGCGATGACGAAATCCACCGACGAGGACGACGACGAATCGCGTCGAATCGCGTCGGACGGCGGATTCGGATTCAAGATGCCGAAGCTGCCGTCGCTGCCCGGCGGCGGCGCCGCGAAGAAGCTCGCCGCGCTCGCCGCGAAGCGCGCGGACGCGGAGGCGGAGTACGTCAAAGCCGTCTCCGCCGCGTTGCCGTCGCACAAACGCGCGAGGCTCGCGAAACTGCTCTCCGATCCGCGGATGTCCCCGGGGTGGGAGGGCGACCGCGACCCGCTCGTGGTCCCGGAGGCGAGGCTCGCGCAGCGGGATAAGCCGCACGTGTTCGTGCTGCAGTTCTTCGGCGACGTCCGCGCGTCGCAGGCGGCCAACTTGCGCGAGGAGGTGACCGCCGTGCTCCGCAACGCGAAGAGATCGCGCGCGGACGAAGGTGCGTTCTATACACTGGTCCCCATACGACCGCGTTCGCGTGGTGAACGCCGATCCTTAAGGACTTTGCCCGGCGCATCTCTCCGCCCACACCTCGCTGTCAATCCCCGCCCTCGACGCCTTTCAACTCCACCTGACGCCTTTCAACTCCACCCCGACATCGCTTTGTATGGAACGACCCGAAGTCGTCCTCGTCCTCAACACCGGCGGCGGGACCGTCACCGGCTACGGCCTCGCCGCCGCGCAGCTCACGCGGATTCGCGACGCGGGCATCAAGCTGACGATCTGCGTCGAGCAAGTCGCCGCGTCGGGTGGGTACATGATGGCGTGCGTCGCGGATCGCCTCGTCGCGTCGCCGTTCGCCGTGCTCGGGAGCATCGGCGTCATCTCGGAGGTGCCGAACCTGTACGAGCGCCTGAAGAAGGAGGGGATCGAGTTCCAGGTGCGTTCTCTACAAAAAACTTTTCACCCATCGCTCGGTTTCAACATTTGATCGCTCCCCCTTTCAACTGACCGATGAACTGTTTTTGTACACTGGAATGGCCCTCAGACGATAACCGCGGGGAAGTTTAAGCGGACGCTCACGCCGACGAAGAAGATCGAGAAGGCGGACGTCGAGAAGTCCACGAGAGACATCGAGGACGTGCTGACGCTCTTCAAAGGGTTCGTGAAGTCACAGCGGCCGGGGTTGGACATCGACGACGTCGCGACTGGAGAGACGTGGTTCGGCGAAGACGCGATGAACAAGGGGCTGTGCGACGCGCTGCAGACGACGGACGACGTGCTGCTGCAGCTGCTGAGCGACGGGAAGGAGATCTTCTCGGTGAAGTACGCGCCGCCGCGGACGGGCGCGGCGGCGCTCCTCGGCGGCGCGGGCGCGGGCGTCGGCGGCGGCGGCGGGGGATGGGGCGCGCTGCGAGCCGCCGCGCTCGGCGTCGCCGGGTTCGCAGCGGCGGCTGGCGGCGACGCGGCGGGGGCGTTCGCCGGGTCCTCTCTCGGCCTCGGCGGCGGCGGCGCGGGTAACGGTAACGGCAGCGTCATGGCGGTCGACGGCGAGCGCGCGGCGGAGAAGGTGATGGCGAGGGACGGGTACTACGCGATGTGGGACGCGCCCTACGGCGACGACGCGGACGAGCTCGTGTTTTGATTCTTTCTTTTCTGGGATGATTCTTTCGACGATTGATTCTTTCGGCGCGCCGCTCGAGTGTATAGTATGATACCTTCGTTCGATGACCGCACGGTGTGGTGCGGAAGGCTCGGGCAGCGGGCGGCGCTGATGCGTGGTATAGTAACGTTTCATAGATGTGCGTTTCGATATGAGGATGAAACGCACGATGGACGCGTCGTCGGTTGTCGTCTTCGCTCTACCGTTTCCTGATCGTTTCGGATTTTCCGAGAAGGCGTTTTGGCTTCACGATCTCTTCACACGCGCACACGTCATAGCGAGGCGCGCGCCGCCCGGCGACGCCATGATCGCCGTCACGCTCACGTGTCCAATATGCATGGACGTCGCGTTAGACACGATGTGCGTCCCTTGCGGTCACACCGTCTGCCGAGCGTGCGTCGAGGCGCACCGCGCGAAGAATCTGAAATCGACGCGACGAAAAGCGACGCGGGCGCAGACGAGCGCGGGTGGCGGATTCGAGTGCCTCTGGGGGTGCGGCGCGTGAGTCGAGAGCAGCCACGCGATGTACCTGCCGGCGCCCGATCAGGTTTTGGCGTCGCGCGACGTCGACGTCGACGCGGACGCGACGCGCAGTAGCAGCGCGGTCGCTCCGACGGCGTCGTCCCCCGCGAGCGATGGGGATGTCGTCTCCGTCAGCTCCGACGGGGATCTCGTCGTCGTTTCATCCCTCGACGACGAGTACCTCGGCCGGCGCGTCGAGGTCTACTGGCCGAACGACGACCCGCCGACGTGGTACCCCGGCGTCGTCGCGCGCTTCGACCCGAATAGGCAACACGCGCGGTATCGCGTCGACTACGACGACGGCGCGGACGAGTGGGTCGACTTCCCGGAGCCGACCGTGCGGTTCGTGTCCTGGACCGACTGGGCTCGAGACAGGACCGCGGAGGAACTGGTCGAGTGGACGGAGAACGAACGCGACGTCGAGATGATACGGAAGACGGCGCGCGCGGTCGACGCGATGGTCCGCGACGAGATGTTGCTCGAAGCCGCGAAGCGCGGCCGCAACGCGCGCGTGATCAAGGCGCTCGTGGACGCGGGCGCGGCGATGCCGTATTATCGACGCAAAAGCGGCGGAAGCGGCAGAAAGAGATTGCGGGGACACCTGTGGTGTACGCTTCGCATGAAGGAATACGACCGCATCAGGAAGCGGATAAGAAAAATGGTCCAAGGGTAGCTAGCTATCGCGCCGCGTCACGACAGCGCGCGGATCGTGCAGTGCAACGCGCCGTCGTCGAACCACGCGAACGCGCCCGGCAGCGCCGCGTCGACGGCGTCCCTAAACCGTCGCACGACGGCCGGCGCCCTCCCCCCGGGCGCGACGCGCGCCACGAGCGTCGCGCCCGGGGCGTCCTCTCTGTAGTGGCGCTCTCTGTTGCCGTCGCGCGACGCGAAGGGGTGGTACGCCGCGACGGACGCGTCGTCATCGGCGTCGTACGCGCGCAGTACCGTCTCCGTCTGTTCCCGCTCCGTCGCCGCCGCGCGTCCCTCGTCCTGAGGGCCGTTCTATACAAGCGAATGTCGGGGTGGAGTTGAAAGGCGTCAGTTGGCGTTGAAAGGCATCGAGGGCGGGTATTGAAAGGGAGGGGTGGGCGGAGAGAGGCGACGGCGAAAGTCCTTAAGGATCGGCGTCCACCACGCGAACGGGGTCGTATGGGGACCAGTGTATAGAACGCGCCTCCTCCTCCTCCTCCTCCTCCTCCTCTTTCCCGTCCTCTCCCTCTCCCTCTCCCGCCCTCGCCCTCGCCCTCGCCCATCCTTCGCACGCCACGACGCGCTCGCTCGCGACGCGCTCGAGAGAGCGGCACGCGTATCGCACGATCGAGAGGCGGTCCACCGCGACGCGGCCGCCGTTCGCGGTCGTCGCGTCTTCGTCGTCGTCTTCGTCGTCGCTCCTACTTATACGCCTCCTCGTCGGCGATCGAAGCGCGTCCTCGAATCGCGCGCAAGCGCGCGTCAGCGCCGCGAGCTGCTCGCGCGTCAGCGTCACGCCGTCGCGCAGGCACCCGAGCGTGCACTTCGCCCACCTCGACCCGGGGTTCTCCGCCGGGAGCGACGCGCCGAGCGTCGCGTCGAGCGCGCGCTTCGCGGACGCGATGGCGGGAGGGAACCCCTCGAACGCGAGCGCGAGGACGCCGCTCCACGCGACGAAGAAGGCGCGCGGGCGCAGCTCGCACGGCGCGCACGTCGTGGCGACGGCCGCGACGCGCGCGTCGCGCGCGTCGTCGTCGTCGTCATTCTCGCTCGCCATCGCGCGCGGCGGGACGCGAGGCGTCGCGAGATGTGCACTCGGCGTCGCGGGTGCTCACTCTTCAGAAGGTCGGACGGCGCGTTCCAAACGTTTTTCACCCACCGCTCGGTTTCAAACTAGATCGCGTCCTTTCAACTGACCGATGTTTTTTCTACCCCAGTGTCACCGCATATGATAAAAACATCGTCGCATAAAAGCGGTTAAGTTATGTTTATTTCTTGCGGTTACAATTATTACATTCGGTCGTTGCAGAACGCGCCGCGCGTCCTGGCAGGATCGCGGCGACCATGGCGACGCGATACGACAGCACGTCGGGCGCCGGAGATCGCGCGTCGTCCCCCGAAAAGAAGCCGAGGCCGCCGAAATCGCTGTGGTGGAACGTCTTCGCGAGCCGCGCGTGCCTGTGCTTCCAAGCCCTCGGCAGCGTCATGGTCCTCGTCGTCCTCGGAGTCGTCGCGCTCACGTACTACACGACCGTCGTCCTCGTGTACGGCCCCGCGGCGTTAGATGATCGCGACAACAACAACAACGCTGCTGGCGCGTGGGTCGTCCTCGCGATCTACCACGTCTTGATCGTCATGACGCTGTGGAGCTACTTCGCGTGCGTGCTCACCGATCCCGGTCGCGTCCCGCCGGGTTGGGCGCCCCCGCCCGAGGACGAGGAGGACGAACGCGTTCGAACCTCCAACAGCGAGAAGCGCCGGAGGTTCTGCCGCAAGTGCACGGCGTGGAAGCCGGAGCGATCGCACCACTGCTCCGTGTGCGGGCGATGCGTGCTGAAGATGGATCACCACTGCGTCTGGGTCGCGTCGTGCGTCGGCGCGTACAACTACAAGCACTTCATCCTTTTTCTCCTCTACACCTTCGCCGCGTGCGTCTTCGACGCCGTCGCGCTCGCGTCCACGTTCGTGAGCTATTGGGCGGACGTCCACGACGGTTCGCATCGCGAAAAGACGGACGAGGAGAAGATGACCATGGCCGCGGTGTTCGTGACGTTCTTCGTCGACGTCGCGTTCGCCGCGTCGCTGCTGGGGTTCATCGTCATGCACGCCAACCTGAACTTCTCGAACATGACGACGATCGAGATGTACGAGAAGAAAAAGGCGCGTTCCGTTCCGTAGTCATTCATCGCCGCGCCGGTCCCATATATTAATTACGACCCCACCGTTCGTCGGCGCGGGATCCCACGCCGTGCCTCCTCGAGGACTTTCTTTTCAAAAACGAACGCGCGTTTCGATTTCGATCCCTCCCGACGCGCCTCGACGCCTCGCGACTCCGTCTGACTGACGCCCTCGAACTCCGCCCCGACGTCGCCTCTCAGACGCTGCCGTGGCGGTACGACCGCGGGAAACGGAAAAACTTCACGGAGGTGTTCGGGACGACGATCGCGCTGTGGTTTCTGCCGCTCCACAGCGCGCATCAGATGCGGCGGCTGCTGGACGTGAGTCGGCTCTCCGGCGGGAGCTACCCGAGGATGGTCGAGGATGGGCTCGACCCGATCGCGCCCGTGAGGTGCGTTCTATACACTGGTTTCCATACGACCCCGTCGGCGTGGTGAACGCCGATCCTTAAGGACTTTTCCCGGCGTGTCTCTCCGCCCACGCCTCGCTTTCAATCCCCGCCATCGACGCCTTTCAACTCCGCTTCTGACGCCTTTCAACTCCACCCCGACATCGCTTTGTATGGAACGACCCTGAAAGCGTCGCGGGGGATCCGCCGAGGGGTTCGAGGGGCGACGACGGCGAGGAGCTCGCCGCGTGCGGGCTGTGCGTCGGATCTCGCGGCGGCGGGGTTGTTGTTGGGAAGAAGAGCGGCGGCAGGTCGCGGGACGCGTGACGAGGAGCGTCGGTTTTTAGATCAGCAGCTTAGCACTCGCGCGGCGATCGGAAGGATGGACGCCCTAATTATGATAAATATTCTATTTCTCACGCACTCACGTCGAGTCGAGTCGATCGATCGTCTAGTAGCCCTATGCCTACGCGTCGTCAGTCATCCCCGCCGCTTGCTCTTGCCGTCCATGATCGCCTTCACCTCGGACGCCATCCTGCTCTCCGCCGGCCCGTCCTCCGCGAGGTACTTTCTCTCCATGAGCAGCTTCTTCTCCGCGCACGCCTCGAGGAGCCGGACGCGCAGCGCCGGAATCTGCGCCGCGCGATCCGCGTGCACCTCCATCGCGCGCGTCGCCGCGTCGCGCGTCGCCGTCAGCGCGCGATCCAGCGCGGGGATCTCGCTCTGCGCGTCCGCGTCCGCCATGATCACGGAGTTCAGAACCCGCCCGCGCATCGCGTCCGCGCTCGCGTCGACCGCCGCCTCCGCGTTCTTGCATCGTCGCGCGAACTGCGACGCGAACGTTCGGTTCCGCGTCGCGATCGGCTCCGCGAGGTCCGCGCCCGCGGAAACGCCGAGGTCCGCGCGGTCGCCGCCGGTCGCGGACGCGAAGCCGAAGTACCCCGCGTCCGCGACGCCGGGACCGGCGAGTTTCGCCATCGTCCGGGGACGCGGCGCGCGCCGCGGCGGAGTGAAGCGCGCGCGAGGGGGCGCGGGCGAATTCGCGAGTGTGTGTCGCGTGAAAGAGCCCGCGCCGCGCGCGCGGTTTGGAGCTTAGGTGCGTTATACAAAAGTTTTTCACCCATCGCCCGGTTTCAACATTTGATCGCGTCCCCTTTCAACTGACCGATGAACTATTTTTGTATGGAATGGCCCTAGCTTTGGACACGGACACGTCGACCACGACAATTGGATAGGAGGGTGCTCACATCGCGGGCGCGCGAGGCGGCAGGCGGCGACGGCGTCGCTTCTCCGTCGCCATGAGCCTCCCGACCGCGGCGTCGTTCAACCTGCATCACAAGCTGCGCGACCGCGAGCGCGTCGCCGCGCGGCCGGGGACGCACGTGCACCGCATTCGGACCTTCTACGAGAGCGTCTTTCCGACGCGCACGGTGCGTCGTCGTCGTCGTCGCGTCTCGTCCGTCGTCGTCGTCGCCGCCGTCCTCACGCTCCACGTCCCCCCCACCCCGGGGACCCCCACCTCGCCGCGCGTCACAGATCCACTCCGTGAACTTCCCCGAGGACGTCCACGTCAAGCGCTTCACCGACGACGGGCGCTATCTCCTGTGCTTCAGCCGCACGCAGCGCGAGCTCGTCGTGTATCGATACCGCGGCGCGAGACGATGCGAGCGCGACGACGGCGGCGACCGCGGCGTCGCCCCGACCGCGCCGGCGACGCCGGAGAACGACGGCGGCGGCGGCGCGGGCATGGACGCGCCGCTTCTTCGCGAAGACCTCGACGAGCGCGACTTCGAGACGCACTTCGAGCGGCTGTACGCGCTCCCGCTCGTGATCGACGCGGACACGCTCTGCAAAGATTTCGCCGTGAGCGTCCTCGCGGGCGACTACGTGATCGTCGCGTCGTCGACGCACCCGGAGGCGGTCCAGCGGCCGATGCCGCCGCGGACGGACGCCGCAAACGCCGCCGGGGGCGGCGGCGCGGGCGCGACCGGCGCGGGCGCGGGGAACGGCGTGGAGGAAAGAAACGCAAACGCCGCCGGCGATGACCGAGACGACGTGAGCCAGACGGCGGCGGCGGCGGTGGCGACGGTCGCGTCCGGCGCCGCCGCCG